CGCGTCTCGCGGTGAGCAACGTTCCGATCGTCCGACGATGAGCGGTTGCGTCAGCCATTGTTGCGCCTCCTTGTGGCAGCGAGTTGCAGCATTGTAAGGACGAACAAGACCACGCCCAGAACGACTGACGACGCGGACGCAAGGCCAAAATTCTGAACCTGATTTGTAAAGCCGGTGTTGTAGATGTACTGGACGATGAATTGTGTGGCAGTGCCGGGCCCGCCGCCCGTAAGTACGTAAACCTCGTCGAAGATCTGCACACCCTTGATCAGCGCCAACACAATGACGACAAGCATATTTGGCCACAAAAGCGGCAGCGTGATCCGCCAGAAGACCCTTTCCTTCGACGTACCGTCCATTTCCGCTGCTTCGTAAAGGTCTGGCGGAATGGCCTGAAGCCCGGCAAGAAGAATGAGGGTGTAGAAACCCATATGTGCCCAGATCGAGACGAACACTGCCCAGAACATCGCCCATTCGGGCGAAACGAAGAACAGTATTTTGTCGAGACCGAGCGACACCAGAAATGCGTTCAGGATACCGTCACGTAGAAGAATCCACTTCCAGATCAACGCAACGACAACCGGCGACAGAAGCACGGGAAAGAAGAAAACAGCACGGAAAAAGCCGCGCGCCCTGATCTTGCGATTCAGGATTATGGCTGTGATCAGGGAGAATATGACAAGGAATGTCACCTGAAACAGGACGAATATCGCGGTGTTGAAGATGCCCTTCCAGAAGCGGTCTTCCTGGCAGGTCGCGGACACCATGTAGTTTTCGCATTTGAACAGAAACGAGTATTGCTCGCCTCCGACATACACGCGGTCCTGCAGGAACAGATTGGTTCCGCCGGTGAGCGAGAAACCGAAATTGATGAATAGCGGGATGATCACGAACATCCCGAAAAAGGCGAGATTTGGCAGAAGAAATACGTATGGCATCGACCCGATGCCGCCCATCTTCTGTATCCCGCGAAGCGGGATGTCGAGAAGTCTGAAAAACATCTGCAACGGCCAGGCAGCAATGGCCTGAAGCTGTTCTGACGCCGTTTTACTGGGTTTGGGAGACATGGTTCAACCTGGCGGGAAAATGCCAAAAAAAGGAATGTATCCCGGCCAGAAGGCCGGGATACGGACAACACTCAGTTGCCGCGTTCTTTTTCGGCAAGCTGCTTTTCAACATCCTGCGTCATGCGGTCAAATGCCTGGTCCAGCGTCAACTCACCGACGATTGCCTCGCCGAGGCGTGAAATCAGGGCGTTGAACATCACACGGTTGTTCGCGTATCCCTGAAGGTCGAAAGCGGTCGGCGAAATGCCCGGTACGGCATTTGCGAATGTTTCGAGTGCATGTTTGGCACGCGGGTCGTCGGTGGCAAAGTCAACGCCACCTGTCGCCAGCCCGAGATGACCCGGAATAAACAGGTTCTTGCCGTAAAACTCCGCCAGGTTTTCTTCCTGCGCGAGGAAGTCCATGAGCTTGGCAACCTCTTCCGGATGATCGCTGTCTTTCATCGCAACCAGGGCCGCTCCACCGGGCATGCCTGTACAGGCAGCGGTTCCGCAGGGCGCAGGGACAGCCCACCAGTCAAACGCGTCACCGATTTTGTCGGCAAATTGCGGGATTTGCCACGAACCGGACATGTACATCACGACCTGTGCGTTGGCAAAATCCTCGTTGGCGCCAAGATAGGTAGACCCGGACACGGACCCCCACAGCTCCTTCGCCATTGTGCCGTCCTGATGCCAGTCGTACAGCTTGGTTGCCATTGACTTGAGACCGTCATCGACAAGTGCAGGGTTGCCGTCATCGTCGAACATTTTCGCGCCCATCGCGATCGCCGGTCCCGATACCCGGTGTCCCGACCTGTCCCATGCCATCGGAATGGGGATGTCCAGCTTGGCGGCGACTTCATTGACGGCTTTGGCCCAGTCGTCCCAGGTCGCACCTTCTCCTGGCATTGCGACACCGGCTTGCTCAAAAAGTGTCTTGTTTACATAAGGGCCCGTAACGGTCAGCTGTGTCATGAAGCCGGAGATCTGGTCTCCGTCCGGATCGAGCCATTTAAGGAACGGACCGAAATTTTCGCGCCAGTAATCGGCGTTTTCCAGGTACGGCGTCATGTCCAGATAATACTTGGACAGACCACCAAGGTCGGTCACGCGGGCGATGTCGGGCCCATCGCCAGCAGCAAGCTGCACAGGCAGACTTTCAAGAATGGCCTTGTAGGGAACAACGTCGAGCGTGACGGATATGTCAGGATTTTGCTTCTCGAATTTGTCGAGCAGAGCCTGCATGGCTTCACTCTCATTGCCGTCGTTGTACCAGGTCATGCGCAAATCGGCTTCCGCCATTGCGTTGCCTGTCAAAAGCGCCAGCGACAGGACGCTGGTGCCAAGCAGTGTTTTCATTCGATTGGTCATGGTTACTCCTCCCGACCTTTTGCTAGCCATCATCGGCAGGCAATTGTGCCTGCAGCTGCAGCAATGTGCCGTTGTCCGGCACCAGTTCCAGAACCGAGTGCACATGCTTGCGCATCTCCAGAGCGGCTCCGTCTCCATCCCCCGCCGCAATGCGGCGGACAATCTTCAGATGATCACGATATGCCCGCATCGACCGATAGGGAATGCCCGACATCATGCGGAAACGTTGCCGGTCGACGTGGCCCTTGACCGAATGGACGAGGCGCCAGGTGTTCGGCACTCCCGCCAATACAGCCAGTTTTGCGTGAAACTGCTCATCTTCCTGAAAGAATGTTGCATAATCATCGGCATCGGCCGCCAGCTTCTGTACCGCAAAGGATTTTGCCAATACCTGGCGGTCAAGCCCTCTTTCGGCCAACCGGCGCACGACGGCTTCCTCAAGAACCGAGCGCATGAAAACAGCTTCTTCAAGGCGCTCGGTATCCAGCATTGCAACCACCGAACCGACCTGCGGCCGCGTGACGATCAAACCTTCTCCCGCCAATTGTTGCATGGCTGTTCGCAAGGGAGTTCGGCTTATTTTCAACTGGGCCGCAAAAATGCCTTCGCTGATTGGAGCGCCGGGCGGCAATGTGTTGTCAACAATGCATTGCCTTAGGAATTCATAGGCTTGCGGGGCGATCGGCAGCGACGGATTGACTTGCCAAGTGGAAAACAGGTCTTCCGTATCGCGGGTCAGAGCTTTCATGCCGTGAACGCCCTGGTTCTGAATTCGCGCAATTCAGCTCCCCGGACCGTGTCGGTGCACTCGCTTGATGCGGATTTGCAGGACGTAATCGCGACGTTCACCGTGTCGAGTACGGTGGTTTCGGCATCATTTCGGGGCGGAATGTTGCTTTCGGTCGATTTCTGAATTCGCCGTCCCGGGAAATCGTCCTTGCTCCCCGCTGCGGGGGCGGGAATATGGTAAAATGCCTGGACAACACCAAAGACTTCCAGCTGCCGACGATCCGGCAGTTTGTCTGCATATTGCGGCTCAGTCCATTTTCGCATGTGCTGCACGGGTGGCGTTCCTGTTCCCTTTAATACTAGTATACCAGTATACAGATTTTGGCAAAGACTGTGCTGCACCATGAAACTGAGCAGGCGAAAACTCCGGAATTTGACTGGTTGCCAGGCGCAACGTCCGGGCAAATGGGTAGAGCACCGTCATTGGACGCAGTCGGGTATTCACTGTTTTGATGGTGTCATCGAATGTGACCTAGACCCTTTGCCGGCCAGAGTACTGTGTCCACTGGAGAAAAATCGAAACGGAGCGGCTGTTCTTTATGGGCATGCTCATGGAAATCGATACGAAATCGGCATGACAGAAGTGTCTGACGGACGGCCGAGCCTGTTGCAGCCGCCGGTGGGCCTTTGGCTTGCAAGCCTTGGATACGTGGTGCTTTGCCCGGAGATGCCGGGTTTTGGGCGCCGGCAATCTGAGGGAACGGAGTCTGAGCTCAGCAAAAAGGCGCTGTGGCACGGTCGACCGCTTCTGGGCCTTATGCTTGACGACATGGATCGGGCATATTCTGCTCTGTCTGCATTTCCGGGGATAGAACGCGGCCGCGTTGCCACTTTTGGCTTGTCCATGGGAGCAACGCTTTCCTATTGGCATGCAGCACTAAATCCTGACATCGCCAGATGTTCACACCTGTGCGCATTCTCCAGCATTGGTGAGTTGATCAGGACCGGGGCGCACGATCTTCATGGGATTTACATGACCGTCCCCGGTCTGTTGCCGGACTACGATATGGGAGATGTTGCAGCACTCATTGCACCAAGACAGCAGTTCATCGGGGCGGGTTACATGGATCCGCTGACGCCGCAGGCCGCATTTGAACCTGCGTTCGCGCGCGTGACCGACGCCTACGCGCGGAACGCCCGCGACCTGAAAACTTTTATCGAGCCGAACGGTGGACACGCTGAAACAACAGGCATGCGTGCGGCGCTGAAGCAATTTCTTGCCCCGCTTTGATCACGCGCCGATCCAGGTGACGAAGAATTCAATCTGGTGTCTGACGTTTCGTTGTGACGCCCATGTCATGTCGGGTCACTGCAAAGGGCCGCAGTGATTTCGACCAGAACAGGTGCGTTTCTGGGTAAGCTTCTGACACCAATGACAGATCGCGAATGACGCCCCGCATCTCCAAAATACTCTACCAGCAAGATTGATGCAGCGTCCGCGACCTCGGAGATTTGCGTAAAACCCTCTGCATGAGCAACAAAGCATTTGAGACGCAATATGCGTTCGATATTGTCCAGGCCACCCGCTGACCTGTTTAGCCATGCAAGGGCCTGTTCAGCGCAGATCTGCGCGGCCGCTTTTGCTTCTTCAAACGACACGCCACTTCCGACCAGGCCACAATAGGCAAGTTTTCCCTGATGTTTTGGGATCTGACCTGCAATATAGGCAATGCGTTCATGCACGGTGATCGGTTCATAGGCAAAAACAGTCGGTTCGGGTGGCGGTAGTTTCCATTCACGCCGGGAGGCCACCGGACCGGTTGTCTTTGACGAATTGGGGACCAGCTGGTCGTTATTCTTCATTGCCCACTTTTCCAATCAATCTGTGTCCAAACCGGTGCCTTTGCAGTCCAGTTACCAGCGCAATGACCACAATCGCCGCTGCATTGAACGCCGGATCGTGTGTCACGAGCATCACGGCCGCGCCAACGAGAAGCGTCCGACCTGTCCACTTGAGAGGGCGTCCGCAGAGCCACCCTGTCACAGCCATCGCAAGGCAGATGATTGCCAAGGCAGAGCGCGCCAGAACCAGAAACAACATCGACCAGTCTCCCTGGCCAAGGAGCTCAGGATTGGCAACAAACAGGAACGGAATGACATAGACAGGGATACCCAGCAGGAAGGCACGCCATCCAACCGAGGTCGGGCTTGTGCCTGCTATGGGTGCTGCTGCAAATGCGGCGACCGCTACGGGAGGCGTGATCTGGCCAAGGACCGCATAATAAAAAACAAACAGGTGAGCAGCCAGCGGTTGCGCCCCCAGATCCACAAGGGCAGGGGCCACCAGTGTTGCCTGGATGATATAGGCTGGTGTCGTCGGCATGCCCATGCCAAAGACGAATGCCGCAAACATCGCGAGCACGAGTGCCAGGTAGAGATTGCCGTCAGCGAATGAAATCACCAGACTGCTGAAACGAAATCCGAGGCCTGAAATCTGCACGATCCCGACAATGATACCGGCAGAGGCGCAGGCAATTGCCACCACCACCGCCGCTTTTGCACCCAGTTTTAGCCCTTCGGCGAGAACAGCCGGTGATACCATTGTGCTACGCCGCAGGAACGGCGTCGCCAGTGTTGCCATGACACCATAAAAGGCGCAAAGACTGGGCGTATAGCCAAGCAAAAGAAATGTCATGATGACGACAAGTGGCAGAAGGAATGTCCAGCCGGCCTTGAATTCCCGCCAGGTTGCACCGCGTTGCCTGCGCTCCATGGGTTGAAGGCCCTGCTTGAGAGCTTCCCAGTGAACGGCAATGAACAGGGACAAGAAGAAAAGAATCGCGGGGATGGCCGCGGCGGTTATGACTTCCTGGTAGCTGATACCCAGGATCGCCGCCATCAGAAAAGCTGCCGCGCCCATGATGGGTGGTGTGATCTGTCCGCCTGTCGAGGCAACGGCCTCAACCGCACCGGCAAATGCCTTGGGATATCCGAGTTTTTTCATCAACGGGATTGTAATGGCACCGGTCGTGGCGACATTGGCTACCGCGCTGCCAGACATGGTGCCCATCAGGGCGCTGGCCATGACCGCCATTTTTGCGGGACCGCCACGCGTTGCTCCTGTGGCTGCACGTGTGACATTGACGAAGAAATCGCCGCCACCTATGACCTGCAACAACGCACCAAACACGACAAACAGGAATATGAAGTCGGCCGAAACACCGAGGGCGACACCAAATATGCCCTCGAAGCTGAAATACATCTGGTCGACAAATTCATTGATGCCGACGCCGCCATGCGCGAGCGGACGAAGCATGTCCACATATCGCAGGTATGGTCCGACAAACCCGTAGACGATGAAAACGACGCACAGCGCTGAGATCGTCAAGCCAAGGCTTCGCCGCGTCAACTCCAGCACGGCTATAACTGTGCCAATAGCAACGAAGAGTTCGAACGGCGAAGCCTCAAGGGTCCAGGGAGGACGGACGACAATTTCCGCGTGGTTGAAAATCAGATAGCCAAGACACACCACGGACAGGGCAATGAAAAGACCATCGACCGGACCGCGCAGGCGTTTGATCGGAAATTTGTAGATCAAATACCCGATCAACAAGGCGAACAACAGATGCCAGCCCCGCAGAATGATGTTTGGCATCAGGACAAACGGAGAGGCCGCTGCAAGGTGAAACACTGCCATGGCGACTGCCAATGCACCCGCGACCTGTTCGGACTTAAGACGCATGCCTGAGATGTCTCTCATTCAGGGTTTCAAACACGTGGTGAAGTACCCAGGGCGGATCAGTTCAGGGCCGGCTCATCAAACGCAATACCCTTGTCCTTGTAGAACTGTGCGGCTCCGGGATGAAGAGGTACGGCCATTCCATGGCCTGCCGTCTCATCCGAGATGAAGTTCAGCAGGGCATGGGTCTGCTTGAACCGGTCGAGATTATCCCAGATTGTCGAGGTGACCTTGTAGGCAACGTCATCAGGCATCTTGTCGGAAGCAAACAGGAAAGTTTTTGTGCCAACTGAATTTGCCGGTGCTGACTGCCCCTGATACAGACCAACCGGGAGCTCTACTTTCTGGAAACCACCACCATGCTTTGCCAGGTATTCGTCAAGTTTGGCTTCATCCAGTGAAAGAACCCTGATCTTGCGGGCCGTTTCGGTGGCAAGCACCGTCGAATGCGGGTAAAGCGCTACCCACATGACCGCATCAAGCTGGCCATTGCGAAGTCCATTCTGGGACTCCTTCCAGCTGAGTTTGTGCATGGTGCCGCCATCAGCTTCGATATCATCCGTCGTCATGCCGTGAACGGCGAGGAGATTGTTGAATGCATTCCAGGATGTCTGGCCAGGTTGACCGGCGCTGACTTGTTTGCCCTTCAGATCTTCAATGCTGTGAATGTCGGAATCGGCGTCCACCCAGATCTGGATAGCACTTGGAAAGAATGTCATCAGTCCGCGGACATTCTTGATTGGCTTGTCCGGGGTTGCCGGGTCACGCCCGTGCCATGCATCGGTCGCGTTGCTGGCAGACGTCAGGCCGATATCAGCCTCGCCAGCGGAAACGCGCAGCAGGTTCGGGCCGGAACCGCCTGGTTGCACGCCAACAACGCTGTCAGGAAATGCTTCGCGCATCAGGTTTCCAAGGCCGGTGGCGACAACGTTGAAGGTGCCGCCACTTGGACCGCCACCAATGTTGAGAAATTCAGGATCATCGGCACTTGCGGGCGTTGCCATGCTCAGAACTGATGTGACGAGTGCGACGCTAACGGTGGAAAGGATCGAACGTCGATTAATTGTAGTAAGTGCCATTGTATGAATTCCTCCCATCAATGATGGGCGGAGGACACTACGTGATGTTCGGCGTGGCAATCATTTTCATGTGATTTTTTGATAGAAAAGCACCATTTATTTGAAAAAATTATAAATGAACAGCCATAGGCTATCGAAGCCACTGGGGTTTGAGCACCTCCCGCATATTGTCAACAAAGCCTTGCGCAGCGGGCGAAAGAGCACGGTTTGCGCGGGTGACCAAACCGATCTTGCGGTAGAGTGGCGGGTCGAGAAGCGTTCTAAACACCAGGTCGCGTCCATCGGACCGCATCGCCATTTCCGGCAGAGCAGCAATCCCAAGGTTGGCTTTCAAAAGGGCGAGTACTGCTGCAATATTGGAGCCTTCAATCCAAGGCGACGAGATGTTGTTCGGTGTCGGGTCGATCGTATCGAGCAGTGGCCTGATTCCTGTATCGGCACCGAATGAAACAAACGGGTATCCCTCAAGTTCGCTCCATCTGATTGGTCCTGTCTCGCCTGCCAGAGGGTGGGTGGGATGCATCACAGCACCGAAGGGATCCCTGATAAGGGTCTCAAAATGAAGGCCTTCTTCAGCCTGAATACGTCCAGCGATGCCGAGGTCCACTTCGCCATTGCGCACCTGTTGCCAGATTGCCGCCGTGTTGTCGTCACGCAGCGATATCCGGATGTTTGGATAGGCAGCCGAAAACTGGGAAATTGTGGCCGGCAGCACATTTGTTGCAATGGAAGGCAACACGGCGACTGCGACCCTGCCTCTGCGACGTTCAGCCGTTGCGCGCAAATCCTGTAAAGAGGCCTCCAGGTCGTCACTCAGTCTTTCAATAGTCGGCAGGAACGCTTTGGCCTCCGCAGTCAGGTGGAGTTCTTTTGTAGTGCGATCAAAGAGCCGAAGCTTCAACTCCGCTTCCAGATGTTTGATTGCTGCGCTTACAGATGGTTGCGACGACGACAAGCGTTCTGCAGCGCGCGTGAACGATCGTTCGCGGGCAACGGCAATAAAGGTTCGAAGTTGGGTCAGCGTGATCTTCATTTCTTGTTCCATGCGCCAGCCGGTTCCTGCGAATTAGTCGTGTTTTACGTGAGCTGTTGAAATTGCCCTGAATGTGTGTGTACGCGCTCAAAGCGCAGGCAAACAAAACAATTTGTGTTACCTGGTTTCGAGTGGCTACGCAGAGTTTTGGACGGGCCGGGTTTCCTCAGATCCCCTAGGTTTTTAGAGTGGAGACAGCGTCTTCCGCGGCATGGATGAGACCGTTGGCACGGCTGTCGGACTGAATGAGCAGGATGAACATGAGATCCGCGAGGGCGAGTTGAGCGTCACGGGTGAAGATTGCCGAACTGCGGGCCTGGTGTTCATCTGCAACGATATAGAGCTGGATTTCCGACAGGTCGGCAAGGCGATTGGGTTGAACGCCTGTTACGGAAATCACGGTAGCGTTCTTTTTGAGCGCTGTCTCGGCGATGCGGCGGCTTTCAAGCGTGTCGCCCGAATAGGAAAGCGCGATACACAGATCGCCTTTTTCAAGCGTTGCGGCATTGGCAATCTGGATGTGGCTGTCTGCGTCGAACAACACCATGTAGCCGATTTTTTGGAGCTTGTAGGCGAAGTCCTGGGCTACGAGCGAAGAGGCGCCGACGCCGACAAGCTGGATCCGCCGCGCTGTGCGGATTGCGTCCAGGGCTGCTCGCAACGTTTTCTCGTTGTTGACTGAAAGCGTTTGCTGCATGGCGTGGATCTTAGAGCCGAGCAGTTTTTGCAGTATGGTCGCGAACGGGTCGTCACTGCCGATCGTTCCGTGAATTACTCCCGCTGGCACCTGCCACGTTTGCGACGCGGCCTTTGTCACCGCGACCTTGAAGTCCTGATATCCACGGCAGCCGAGTTTCTGGCAGAACTTGACGACGCTGGACTGGCTGCGACCGGTCTGTTCTGCCAGTTCAGCGGACGAAAGATGGATCATCTCGTCAGGCGAGGCGAGAACAAACTTTGCAATCTCGCGCTCCGCAGCCGTAAGGCTGTCCATTTGCCCCTTCATTATTGTCAGAATCGACATGGTGCATCCTTGTGAAAGGTTCGGAATCATCATTTCGCAGGAACCGTTCAAATGGAATAGATATTTCCATCGCCGCGAATAGCTTCGTTGTTGTCTATACTCCGGAGCAGGGGCGCTCTCTTTCAGCAATCTTCTAAGTGCATGAATTATAAATTGAATATTCTGTTCTTTGCCCCAATGATACAATACGTGCAAATAATAAGGAATAAAAAATTGAACAAATCGTTGACTATTGGAATAATTAAGTCGAAGATCATGCGAAAAGTAACAGGGGGTTCCAATGTCCGATCCGCTGTCGGTTCGTTCACTCCGCAATCTTGTTTCCGAGACGCGAAATCCGCGCACGACGGATGTCGACCTGCTGCCGGTTCCTGAAGTGGTTGGCCGGATCAATGCAGAAGACAAGATGGTTGCGTCTGCCGTCGAGGCGGAACTGCCGGTCATCGCAACGGCGGTCGAAGTCATAGCCGATGCGTTTCGCGCCGGAGGACGTTTGATCTATATCGGCGCGGGAACGTCCGGCCGCCTGGGCGTTCTTGATGCTTCCGAATGTCCGCCGACTTTCTCGGTGCCGCCGTCGATGGTCATTGGCATTATCGCCGGAGGTGACCGGGCGTTGCGCCATGCCGTTGAAGGGGCCGAGGACAGCGAGGCCCAGGGAGCGGATGATTTGGCGGCCGTGTCCTTGACCGAACTGGATGTGGTTGTCGGTATCGCCGTTTCGGGCCGGACACCCTATGTGATCGGCGCTCTCGACTATGCCTCGGAAGTGGGCGCGCGCACCATGGCGCTCACCTGCAATCCCAATTCCCTCTTGTCACGCCATGCCGAGATTTCCATTGCACCGGTCGTTGGTCCTGAAGTCGTCACGGGCTCGACCCGGCTCAAGTCAGGTACGGCTCAGAAGATGGTGCTGAACATGCTGACCACCGCGGCAATGATCCGCCTTGGCAAGACTTACCAGAATTTGATGGTTGATCTGTCGATCTCAAATTCCAAGCTGCAGACACGTGCCGTCGGTATCCTGTCGGAAATAACAGGCGTTGAGCCGGAAGAGGCCACTGTTCTTCTTGCCGAGGCTGGCAATGACGTCAAGCTGGCAATCTGCATGAAACTCACGGGACTCAACCGGGATGCCGCCAGTGAGGTTCTCGCGGAAAACGGTGGTGTACTGAGGAAAGCAATAGACAAGACGCGGGGAACAATCTGCGCAAGACTGACGGACTAGATCGCCTAATCGTTCTACAGAGGGAGATTGCATTATGTCAAAGATGATTACCAAGTCACTTGGGACGGTCGGCCTGGCCGTAATACTGAGCACCACGGCGTTAAGTGGCGTGTCAATGGCCGAAAACCTCAAGGTCGCGTGGTCTCAGGATGCCACCGGCCTTGATCCGCATAAACAGACTGCCTTTTCGTCGATCCGATTCCTTGAACTGATGTATGAGCCGCTTGTGCGCCTCGACAAGGATGCCGAGATCGTTCCTGCACTCGCCGGTTCCTGGCAGTTCAACGACGAAGCCACGGTTCTGACCATGAAACTGGACGAGGGCGCCAAGTTCCACGACGGCTCGGCGGTCACACCCGCTGACGTCAAGGCCAGCTTCGAACGCATCCTCGACGAAGAAGTCGGTTCGGCAGCCCGTGCGAATTTCACCGCGATTACCTCGATCGATACGCCGGATGACATGACTGTCGTCTTCAATCTCGACGGCCCGAACGTCCCGTTCCTGACCGCTCTCGCTTCGGTGAATGCAGCGATTGTGCAAGCCAGCGCAATCGAAGCTGGAACCATCGGCACCGAGGTCGTGGGATCCGGGCCGTTCAAATATGAGAGCTGGACACCGAATTCGAGCGCCACCCTGGTCGCCAATGAGGACTGGCACGGTGGTGAGGTCGCCATCGACGGGCTCGATATCTCGGTCCTGCCGGACGAAACCTCGATTCTTGCGGCGCTGCGTTCGAAGCAGGTGGATTTTGCGCTGATCAACGATCCTTTTGTGGCAACTCTGATCCCGCAGGCATCAGGCCTCAAACTGGCCAAGGCGCCGGTCCTTTCCTACCACGTTCTGCAGTTGAACCCGTCGCGTGGTCCGCTGACCGAACAAAAGGTTCGTCAGGCGATCTCCTGCGCTGTCGATCGTCAGGACGTTCTCGACACTGCGCTCCTGGGCGAGGGGGCTGTCACCGGGCCGCTGACCATGGCGGCTTATGCGACGCCGCAAGATCAGCTCTTCTGCTACCAGCAGGACCTCGAAAAGGCCAGGCAACTGATGGCCGAAGCCGGTTTTGCCGATGGCTTCGACATGAATATCATGGCCGCAACCGGAGAGCCGCCAACCGCTGCCTCCGAAGCACAGGTTCTCCAGTCGCAACTGTCTGAAATCGGCATCAATCTGACGATCGAGATGAAAGAACTGAACGTCTATGTCGATCACTGGCTAAAAGCTGATTTCGACATGGCCGTGGCATTGAATGGCGGCAAGCCGGATCCTTACACCATGTACAACCGCTACTGGACCAAGGATGGCAACCTGCAGAAAGTTGCCAATTATATCGATGACGATCTCGATAGCCTGATGGCACAGGGCAGGGAAGAAACCGACCCGGCCAAGCGGAAGGAGATCTTCCAGTCCTTCGAAAAACATCTGGCGGAAGTGTCGCCCTGGGTCTGGCTTTACACGGGATATTCCTATGCCGGGACACAGGACTTCGTCGACGGTTTCGAACCGACACCCACCGGTTCGTTGTTCGGTCTCGCTAACGTCAGTGTAAACAAGTAGGCCTGCAGACGGAGATCCTCATGTCCTACCCGATCAAACGCCTTCTGGTGTTTCCGCTGGTGATGCTGGGCGTGTCGGTCTTCGTCTTTATTTCCATCCGGCTGGTGCCGGGCGACGCGATCACTGCGATGCTTGGCACCGAGTCCGGTCTGCTGACCCCCACTCAGCGTGACGCTCTCAGGGCCTATTTTGGCCTCGATCAGAACTGGTTCATTCAGTTCTGGAGATGGTTCGCAGGCGTGCTGCAGGGCGATTTCGGAATTTCAACGACATACGGAAAGCCGGTGATGACGATCATCTGGCAACATTTCCCGCTGACGCTTGAACTGGCGATCCTGTCGATGCTGATTGCCCTGTCGATCGGTATCCCCGCCGGGATCTATGCCGCGACACACAAGGACCGGCCATCGGATCTCATCGTGCGCATCGTCGCAATGTTCGGTCAGTCGACGCCTAGTTTTGTTGTCGGACTGCTGCTTATCTATCTGCTCTCCGTGGGCTTCGGCGTGTTGCCCGAAATGGGAACCTTTGTGCCGATCACCGAGGACCCACTTGCCAATCTTGCACAGATGATCCTGCCGGCCATCACACTCGGGACTGCCTTTGCTGCCGCAGTCATTCGCATGTCACGCTCCACCATGCTGGACATCTTGCAGGAAGACTATGTTCGAACCGCCCGCTCCAAGGGCATGTCGCGCCGCCGCGTGATCTGGCGTCATGCCCTGCCAAATGCGCTGATCCCGGTGATCACGCTCTCGGGAGTCGAATTCGGGTACCTTCTTGGCGGTGCTGTGCTGGTTGAACAGATATTTGCGCTGCCGGGTCTAGGACGCACCGTTCTCGATGCGATTTTGCAACGTGACTATGCTCTCGTTCAGGGTTCGGTTCTCTTCATTGCCTTTAACTTCATGGTTGTGAACCTGCTGGTGGACCTCGCCTACGCAGCCCTCGACCCGCGCATTCGATTCGAAACCAAATGACAGCTCTCCTGAAAGATCTCACGCGTCATCCTTCGGGGCGTATAGGTCTGATCACATTTGCGGTTTTTCTGATCGCTGCGGTCTTGGGCAAGACCGGCTTCACTCCCTACGACCCGCTCATCCAGGACCGTATCGCCAGGCTGCAAGGCCCCTCGGCCGCTCACTGGTTCGGGACTGACCTGTTCGGGCGGGATGTGTTTTCGCGTTTGATGGACGGGATCGGTCAGAGTTTCATAATCTCGTTTTTCTCGGTAGGCATTGCCTCTTTGCTCGGCGCCGTTCTCGGCCTGACAGCTGCGTGGTTCGCCGGGCTGTGGGATGGTGCCGTCATGCGCTTCATGGATGTTCTGCTGGCCTTTCCGGCTATCCTGCTCGCCCTCTTGATCATCACGATCTTCGGGCCGGGCACCTGGACGTCGGTCCTGGCCATTGCCATCGTCTACACCCCGATCTTCACACGTGTCGTGCGCGGGCCCGCCCTTTCGCTGCGCCGCCGTGACTTTGTCGACGCCGCCCGTACCTTCGGCTCGTCACGCAGTTACATCATGACGCGGCATCTGGCACTGAATCTCGTCGCACCGCTGACGGTCCAGATTACGCTTGCACTCGCGTGGGCGCTGGTAACCGAGGCGGGATTGAGCTTCCTGGGGCTCGGTACCCAGCCACCCAATGCATCGCTCGGCTTGATGCTTTCCGATGCCCGAAACCTCATGGAGATGGCTCCCTGGCTCCTTTGGATGCCTGCGGTTGCTTTGATGCTCGCCGTGCTCAGCTTCAACCTGCTGGGCGATGCCTTGCGCGATATCCTTGATCCGAAGACCCGGAGGAGGCTGGCATGAGCCTTCTTTCTGTTCGAGACCTGAAGGTTGGCTTCGGCCCACGGCCTGAGGAAAACCAGGTTGTTCACGGCGTCAGCTTCGATCTCGATCCCGGTGAGACCCTGGCCATCGTCGGCGAAACCGGGTCGGGAAAATCTGTAACATCCATGGCTGTGAACCGCCTCGTAGACTATGGCGGCGGCCGGATCACCGGCGGTTCGATCAGTTACACGCGTTCCGATGGCGCGTCGCTGGACCTTGCCTCGGCTGCCGAGAGTGAACTGGAACAGATCCGTGGCCGCGAAATCGGCATGATATTTCAAGAGCCGATGACATCGCTCAACCCGGTGATGACGATCGGCGCGCAGATTGAAGAGATCTTCCGGCTTCAGCAGGGGCTGACCAGGGCAGAGGCAAGGGAAGCTGCGTGCAAGGCCCTGGAACGTGTGCGTATACCCGATGCCGCCCGGCGTCTTGGCGATGCGCCGCATCAGCTTTCCGGTGGCATGCTTCAGCGCGTGATGATCGCGATCGCGCTCGCCTCAAACCCACGGATTCTGATTGCGGATGAACCGACAACCGCGCTTGATGTGACAATCCAGGCGCAGATCATGGGATTGCTTTCCCAGATGAAGCGCGAGACCGGGACGGGGATGATATTCATTACCCATGACATCGGCCTCGTCGCCGGTATCGCTGACCGGATCATGGTCATGCAAGATGGCAAAGTGGTGGAGCAGGGACCACTCGACAAGATCCTGGACAACCCGCAGCATCCCTATACCCGGCACCTCTTGAGCGCCGTTCCCCACTTTTCGGACGGCAAATCGGTCCGGAGCGACAAAGCCTCTGCGGATCGAGTGCTGAAGGTTGAAGATCTGAGCGTCCGTTTTCCGGTTCGTACGGGCCTGTTCCGCAAGCACACAGGCAACATCCACGCCGTCGATCGAGTTTCGTTTGAGTTGAGGGCTGGCGAGACGCTTGGAATTGTCGGCGAATCCGGATCTGGAAAATCGACGACCGCGCGCGCCATTCTAGACCTCGTCAAGCCGACCAGCGGCGTGACCCAGGTTGACCGTACTCGGATTGGCGGCACCGAAAAACCGACACAAATGGTGTTCCAGAATCCAAATGCCTCATTGAATCCACGTCTCACTGTCCAAAGTATTCTTGCGGAACCCATAACCGCTGTGGGGCGCCGTATTGATGAAGAGGCCATCACCCGGATGGAATTACTGCTGAGCCGTGTCGGCTTGCCCGCCGACAGCCTCACGCGCTATCCGCATGAATTTTCAGGTGGTCAAAGGCAACGGGTCTGCATCGCCCGGGCACTCATGCTGAAGCCTTCCGTTCTGGTACTGGACGAAGCGGTTTCGGCTCTCGATGTCTCTATCCAGGCGAAAGTGCTCGATCTGTTGATTGACCTGCAGCGGGAATTCGGCCTGGCTTATCTCTTCGTGACCCATGACATGGCCGTGGTCGAGCGCATCGCGCACCGCATTGCCGTGGTTTATGCCGGAGAAATCGTTGAAATTGGCGATGCCCGTGAGTTGCTGGCGAACCCGCGCCACAGATACACTAGGCAGCTGATCGAAGCCGTCCCTTCACTTGAACGCCGTCGTGCCGAATACAGCATCGATTCCCGTGCGATGCCTTCCCTGGTGCGCCCTATTGGTTTTACACCCGAAGTGGAGGCATGGCTGGGGGCAGGCGAAGATCATTTCTACCGGCAGGAGGCATGATCCTTGGACAGACAAGCCTCCTTCGATGTTGCATTTGCCAGGTTCGAGACCGCCGTGACCTCAGGGAATGTTCCGGGAGGTGTTCTTGGCTTCGTCTCACGGGATGGCGCTCGGATGACCCGTGCCGCCGGCCAGGCGCAGCTCGTGCCTGAACCCCGGCCGATGACCGTGGATACGTGGTTCGATCTGGCTTCTCTCTCCAAGGTCATTTTAACCACCGAGCGGATAATGCGCCACGCCAGGGAGGGCCGCATCAATCTGGATGCGCCGCTCACTACGCTGATACCGGACCTGCGCCAATATCACCCGGACACCGCATGGGAGCGGCAGCTGACCATTCGTCAGTGCCTTGGCCACCAGACAGGATTGCCACCTGTCTTTCCGATCTACACCTATGGCAGTGATCCGGATCTTTTGCGCGCCTTTGTGTTGCAGCATGAATGGCCCCGTGGAGAGGCGGTGTACTCCTGCATTAATTTCATTCTTCTCGGCATCGGGCTCGAGCGGCTCGAAGGGTGCCGGATACGGGACATGGATCCGGGCTTTGGCTTCGCCTTTTCCGGAAACGCACCCATCACGGCAGCGACCGAATATTGCAACTGGCGCGGCCGTGTGCTCGTCGGCGAGGTTCATGACGAGAATTGCTTCGCTCTTCAGGGTGCGGGCAATGCGGGCCTCTTCGGTACCGTGAGCTCCGTTCTGGACTTTGCACAAGACCTTCTCGACAAGGAAGCAGCTGGAGACAGTCATCCGCGCCTGTTGCGGACCCCGGTCGGGTCAACCCGTGGTCATGGTTGGGAATTGCCGCATCCGGACTGGTCAGGTGGTGGTCAATGCTCGGACCAGACCATCGGGCATACCGGGTTCACCGGAACAGGGCTCTGGATTGACTTCGCGGCGGGACATGCCTGGTCCCTTCTGACCAACCGGGTGCACCCCAGCAGGTTCAGGGAGAGTGACATCATCCCGCTGCGACAGGCGGTTGCCACTGCAATCTATGGAAAGGACTGAACATGGAGCCGATCTGGGCCGTGGGTCTGATGACCGGTACCGTCCTCGACGGATATATAGACGTGGCCCTGTTGAAGACCGATGGTGAGACGATCACCGAGTTCGGTAGCTATGAGCTGGTCCCTTATCCGGACAAAACAAATCGTCTGCTTGAAAAGACGCTCGCCGAGGCGCGTGCGTGGGCCTTCGACGGGCCGGAACCGGACATCTTTGTCGAGGCGGAAGCGGCAATTTCCCGGGCCCAGGCAGATTCGGTGCGCAATGTGGTCGAAGCTGCGGGGCTCACCATGGCCGATATCGGCATCATCGGTTTTCACGGCCAGACAGTCCTTCATCGTGCCCCGGTTCCCGGGCGTATCGGCGCAACGCGCCAACTGGGTGATGGCCGGTTGATGGCGCAGCTTCTGGGCACGGATGTTGCCTATGATTTCCGCTCGGCCGATATTGCCGCCGGCGGACAGGGCGCACCCCTGTCGGCGATCTACCACAAGGCCCTTCTGGCCAGCGCGGGATGCCCGAAAGACACTGCAGTGTTGAATCTCGGCGGCGTTGCCAATGTCACCTGGATCTCTGGTGACGGGCAGATTGCAGCCTTTGACACCGGTCCCGCCAACGCGCCGATCAACGATTTCGTTCGCTCGAGGGGAGCGGGGGATATGGACCGCGATGGCGCGAATGCACTCGCCGGAACCGTCGATGAGCCACGTTTGGCGGAGCGACTGACGATACCTTATCTCAGTCAGCCCTATCCGAAATCGCTGGACCGTTTTGACTTTGGCTACGACTGGGTGGAAGACCTGTCCCTTGAAGATGGTGCCGCGACCTTGACTGCCTTTTCTGCCGCAGCCGTTGGTGCCGGTCTCGACACGCTGCCGACCCGCCCGACCCGCCTGGTGGTCTGCGGCGGTGGGCGCTGGAACCCGGCGATGATGAAAATGCTTGAGACCTACGCGAAGGTCGAGGCCGTCGCAGCCGAAGATCACGGTTGGCGCTCGGACGCCGTCGAGGCAGAGTGCTTCGCCTTGCTCGCGGTAAGAACGCTGCGCGGTCTGCCGATTTCCTTTCCGACGACCACCGGTGTTGAGACACCGCAATGCGGAGGACGGATTGTGCGTGCCAACCGCCCTGGTGACCCAATCCTGACGATCACCGACGCGCCGGTCGACCACTGGCAGACGATCCATGAGGATCTCTTTGCCCATAACGCTGCCTTCGTCGGAGAGCCGAACCGGTCCGAATTGCAGGTCATGCTGCACGATCAGAAGGGGCAGGTGATCGCCGGAGCTTTCGGTTTCACGATTTGGAACTATCTTTACATCCAGTGGCTCTGGGTTGCGGAAAAACATCGGAAACAGGGAATGGCAATTCGGCTTCTGGAAGCGGCCGAGGAACGCGCTCAGAAACGGGGCTGCACCGGAGCCTGGATCGATACATTCAGTGAGGCGGGGCTCGCTGCCTATCGCAAGGCCGGTTACGAAGTCTTCGGTGAGCTACCGGATTTTGCCGCAGGGCAGGCGCGGATTTTCCTGCGAAAATCGCTTGAAGCAACAAACAAGGGCTGAAGCATATGGATAGATTGCGTATCAGGGGAGGCAACGTACTGCGCGGTGTGGTTGACATTTCCGGCGCAAAGAACGCTGCGTTGCCCCAGATCGCCGCCGCATTGCTGAATCCCAATCCGGTCGAGTTGACGAACCTGCCTGCCGTACGCGATGTCGACACGATGCTGACGCTGGCCTCTTTCCACAATGCCGAGGTGGACAAGGGCATCGGCCGCGTGGTGATCACCACGAAGGACCTGTCGCAGCAGGAAACCCCTTACGACACGGTGCGCCGCATGCGCGCGACTGTTCTGGTGCTGGCGCCGTTGCTTGCGCGCTGCGGTCACGCCAAGGTTTCTCTGCCCGGCGGATGTGCGATCGGCGCCCGGCCGGTGAATATGCACATTCATGCGCTTGAAATGCTCGGCGCTGAAATTGCACTGGAGCGCGGGACAATTGTCGCCTCCGCTCCGAATGGACTACGGGGCGCGCGGGTCGTGCTTCCCGGGCCTTCGGTTGGGGCGACTGCGGCAACGATGATGGCCGGTACCATGGCAAAGGGCGAGACAGAAATCCTGAATGCTGCCCGGGAGCCGGAGATTGCCGATCTGGCTGCATTTCTGCGCGCCATGGGTGCGCGTATCGAAGGAGAGGGGACGCACCGCATACTCGTCAGCGGCGATACGAGCTGGCGTGCTGCCCGGCACCATTGCATTCCTGACCGTATCGAAGCCGGCACCTATGCTGTTGCAGCTGCGATTACCGGCGGTGAGCTTGAATTGCTCAACGCCCGGTTGGAACATCTCGCGTCCGTCGTCCAGGTTCTTGAGACCATGGGGGTGGAGGTGTGGCCGAGTGATCGCGGCATGGTGGTTGCCCGTCGTGGCCCGCTCACTGGAGCGGACGTGACAACGGAGCCGTATCCAGGTTTCCCGACGGATCTACAGGCGCAGTTCATGGCCCTTGCGACCTGCGCGGAAGGTGCGTCTCTCATCCGGGAGACCGTTTTCGAAAACCGCTTCATGCATCTGCCCGAACTCTGCCGTCTGGGTGCCGAGATCAAGCTCCAGGGGCCAAGTGCTCTGATCCGTGGAAAAACGGAGTTGTTCGGAACAAGCGTCATGGCGACGGATCTGCGCGCTTCCGTTTCCCTTGTACTGGCCGGTCTCGCCGCGGAGGGGGAAACGGTCGTCAACCGGATCTACCATCTCGACCGGGGTTACGAGCAGCTTGATGACAAGCTCAGGCGCTGTGGTGCCGACATCGAGCGGTTGACGGCATGAAGGAGGGTCCCTTTTTCCTCGGTGTTGACGGCGGCGGAACGGGCTGCCGGGCGCGGATCGAAGACGCGGCAGGAAGGGTTCTCGGGCAGGGTCTTGCCGGGCCGGCGGCGACGCGGCTCGGAATTGAAAAGACATGGGATGCGATCATGGCGGCGAGCGCAGATGCCATGAGCGAGGCTGGTCTCGGACAAGACGTTCTCGGACAGGTTCGGGTCGGCGTTGCGCTGGCGGGCCTCAGCCGGAAAGGGGTACTGGAGGCCCTTTCGAACCATCCACATGAATTTGCGGGAATCGTTTTCGTCAATGACGGAATGGGCGCCTGTCTCGGAGCGCATTCCGGTGAAGACGGCGCGATTGTCATCGCCGGAACCGGTTCGGTGGGGATTGGTCTCGTCGACAGGCAGGAACTCCGTGTTGGAGGTTATGGTTTCCCGATTTCCGACGAGGGAAGCGGTGCGTATCTGGGGCTGAACGCGGTGCGCGCGGCCTTGCGCGCCCATGATGGCCGGGAGGATAAGACGGCGCTACTTGCGGAAGTAATGAAAAAATTTTCGCACGATCCGATGGAGGTTGTCAGGTGGATGGACCAGGCGACAGCCACCGACTATGCCGTCTTCGCTCCCACGGTATTGCGCCATGCCGAGCAGGGTGATCCGGCAGCCCGGCAGATCGTTCAGGCCGCCGCTGGCGAGATAGACACCCTGGTGCGCGCACTGCTTGCACAGGGAGCCCCTCGCGTTTCTCTGCTCGGTGGATTGGCAAGCCCTCTGGAGCCGTGGCTTGCCCATGATGTGCGCAGACGTTTGAAACCGGCAGACGGAGATGCGGTCTCAGGTACTATTCTCTTGGCACAGCGCTCTGCCGGGGAGCAGGACAAGACGTAAAGGAAACGTCTTGAACACCCTACTTGAAAGTCAGGACCTGGAAAGCCTGGTAGGTCCGTTGCAGGATCGGCCTGAGACCCAGGTCTTTTTGCATATAGTGAGGGCACATCAAAGGCAGCAGATACTGTCAAGCAATGCCTGAGCGATCTTCAGCCTTTTTCGCGACCTGCAAAGCTCATGCTGCTTCCACCTTCGGATCCCATGCATAGGGTGCAAAATTCTCATCGAGCGGCAGCTCCAGCAAGTTGGCAGTCATGTTGCTCAGTGTTTTGTTTGCGACGCCTATGATCACTTCCAGAGCCTGATCCGGGCTGTAACCGGCCATCAGAAAATCCGTGCATTCTTTGGCGCAATTTCGGCCGCGTTCTGTTGTTAGTTTCCGGGCAAACCGCGCCAAGGCACCAAGACGATCATCATCAGGGTCCCGGCCATCGCGCATCGCGCGGACGTGGGCGTCTTTGAGACCCGCGTCAGCGGCAAATGCCGTGTGACCAGCAACGCAGTAACGGCACCTGTTGGCGACACTCACCGCAAGTTGGACCACTTCGCGTTCGGCGGGAGACAGGCTGCTGTCGCCAAATGCACCTGTCAGCCCGACAAATCCGTTCATTGCGCCGGGAAGGCTGCCATAGACGGCATAAACGTTGGGAACGAACCCGCGCGCTTGAGTGATAGCTTCAAAAATCGCACGTGATTTAAGGGCTGCTGTTTGGGCCGTGTGGATAGGTAGGTTCATGTGTTCTCTCCGGTTTGCAGGCCATGGACTGGGTTGCCTGATGCAATGAGAGTTACCTGACCCTGACGAGACTGGATGCTTTACAAGTTGGAGCAAAACACTATACGGATTGGAGCGCCTTGCTACACTTTCTGGAGTAACCTTGATGTCGCACAGCTATGGCCAGTGGTGTCCAATCGCCAAATCGACCGAGATTCTGGGCGAAAAATGGACCATGCTGATTGTGCGCGAACTGTTGATGGGGAGCACGCGGTTCTCCGAACTCCAGCGAGGGTTGGGAGCAATTTCGCCCACGCTCTTGACGCGCAGATTGGTCACTTTGGAGGAGTATGACCTGGTGTACAAGCGTCGTATCCAGGGAGGCCGGGGTCACGAATACATACCGACCGCGAGCTGTCGGCAACTGCAGCCAATCTTGTTGGCACTGGGCAGCTGGGGCATGGAATGGTCGAAGGCATTCATGAGCGACGCGGATTACGATGTTGAACTGCTGATGCTGTATCTTCAGCGCAGCATCGTTCCCGACAATCTGCCCGGCAACAAAACGGTTGTCCTGTTCCAGTTTACGGATTTCAACGAGCAACCAAAGTGGTGGATCACGGTTGAGGGTGACAGTGTTGATGTCTGCACCACCGATCCGGGCCTGGATGTTGACGTGTTTATCACAACCAGGGTTCGCGCGATGGCGGACGCATGGTTGGGTCGCACAACCTACAAGGCGGCCAAGGCTTCTGGAGCGATGGAGATCACTGGGCCTACCGCTCTGACACGTAACATTTCAAGTTGGCTCTCCGATTGCATTTTTGCCAGCCTGCCGAATGCCGAGGACATTTTGGCCACGCGTTAAGGCAATCGCAACGCGGCATACGCCTTTGCCATAATGCTGTCTACAATGGCGCCGGTGGGGTTGACGCTGTTTACCAGACCAACGCTTTGGCCGGCCCACATTGACAGAGCCTCAATCTCGCCAGTCATCGTGTGGTGAGGGGTTGTAGATTGATAGGCCACGATGGAGTTGCTGCCTCGCTTGGCTATGATTTCACCGGATCGATGGCGTGTCTGGTTGTCGGGACGGCCTTCTTCAAGCCAGCGATCCGCTAACGCGTTGCGCAACACGCGATGTGCCGCATTTGACCATCCGACATTGTACAGGTTGGTTTCGTGAACCGTGTCCGAATGCTGGGCCGCAATGACATGCGCGATGTAATCAGCGTGCGCTGCACTTTCTGGCGTCGCCAGAAAACGGGTCCCCATGACAACACCGCTTGCCCCTAAACATAGTGCGGCCGCCAATCCGCGTCCGTCGGAGATACCACCTGCAGCCAACACGGGAACTGACCCCGCAGCATCTGCCACAGCGGGAAGCAGGGGCAATGTCGCGACTGTGCCTTTAACATGTCCGCCAGCCTCCCAACCTTGTGCGATCAACACATCTACGCCGGCCTCAACGGCACGTTTCGCCTCTTTGGAGGTTGAAACGGTCTGCATCACCAACGCCCCGTTTGCATGGACGTGCTCTACAAAGGGAGCCGCGTCCCCCCAAAAGAAATGAACTGCATTGGGGCGATGTGACAGGCAATACTCCAGCCGCGCGTCCTGGGGCATGTCCAGGCAAAGATTGACGGCAAATGGTGCGTCAGTCTTTGCGCGCAGGTTTGCCAGTTCGGTGTCAATGGTCTCCTTGCTGCTCCAGGAGCAAGGCATGATTGGATACCCGCCTGCGTTTCCAACGGCGGCGGCCAGATCGCTTTCCACCGCTCCTGCCATTGGGGCGAGCACGATGGGATGATCTACTCCGACCATTCTGGTGAACGGCGTTGGGATGGCCGGACAGATTGTCTTCGTACCCATGATCGATTTCCTTCAGGCAGCGCGCTTGCGTCGATTTGCAACAAGATGATCGGCAAGAGCCTGGGTGTCGCCGCCCACGCCATCGATCAGCGCGGACTTCCGGCGCCGCATGAAGGGTAGCCCCAGCACATAAAGACCAGGTGCGACCACGCCCTGGTCGTGGATCAGGGTGTCCTTCTGATCAAACACGGGAAGCTTCAACCAGCTGAAATCCGGAGAATATCCCGTTGCCCAAACTATGGTGCGGAATGCACCATTGTTCAGGTCGGCCGTCAGGTGCGGTGAACTGGGAAAACATGTCGGAGGAAGTCGCCGCGGGACTTGCAGATCAGGGAGGTTTACGCGCATGGCCCAATCGTCGAAGTGTTCAAGGAGCCGCCCGATTTTCAGATCCGACATGGCGCAATGATTGGCCAGAGAGCCAGAAAATTGGGCCTTTCCGTGCCGAATGCCAACCAGTCTGCCGGTGATGGCTACTCCCATGGCTTGAAGCGTATTCAGATCGATCGCATCCAACCCCGCGTCGCCCATCAGCTGGAAGGACGGTACGCGACGCGCCCGGGCAATATCGTCTACATCCTTGATGGCTGCATCCAGGACACCAGTGCGATCCAGCCACCACTGTATGTCCCGCCCGCGATAGTGACGCGGCGCGCGAATATGTTCACCTACGGCAAGGGTCACGGAATGCCCGGCCGTGCTGAGCTCAGCTGCAATCTGCACACCGCTTGCTGAGGCTCCGACAACCAAAACACCGCCCTGTGCAACCTGGTTAGGCGATTTGTAGGTAGCGAGAGAGAGTTGCGCGATACTTGTCGGAACGGTGTTGGCTATCTGCGGCAGTCTTGGTTGCGCGCAGGCTCCGCTTGCGACGACGACATTGTCACAAATCCAGTCGCCCCTGCTGGTGCAGACCAAATAGCTGTTCCCGTCCGGGGTTACGGAACTAACGGTCGTGTGTTCTTCCACGGGCGCGGCAATCACATGAGCATAATCACGCAGGTAATCCGTAATTTGCGGCATGTTCATGAATCCATCCGGATCCGGTCCTCGGTAGCTGAAACCCGGCAACCGGGATTGCCAATTTGGGGTGAGCAGGCGCAAACTGTTCCATCTGTCTTTTACCCAGGATTGTGCTATCTCGCCCCGTTCCAGCACGACATGGGTGACGGAACGGTCCGAGAGACATTTGCTCATCGCGAGCCCGGCTTGCCCGGCGCCAATGATGACGGTCGAAATACATCGCATGACACTCGCTCCCTGTTTCCATCGGGTTTCTAGGCAACGACAACATGCACGTTGGTGGGGTTGGTCATCAGATCAAAAACAGTCGATCTTTTCTGCGACTGAGCGACCAAAGCACGGATATCGTCATCGCTCGCATCCGCGTCGATGTTAAACGTCACACGGACGGCACTGAAGCCGTTGCGAATGTCGGGATCCATGCCCAGAATACCACGCATGTCCATATCGCCTTCGACAACGGCCTGAACTTTGTGCAACTGGATGCCACGATGCTGTGCAACCGCAGCTATGCCGCCGGTCAGGCAGCTTGCCAATGCGGATAACGCGATTTCCGGGGGTGTTGGTGCTCTGTCAGTGGCCGAAAACACCGCCGGGTGATCAGAGCTGATGACGAAGGTTTGCTTGCGGATGTGTTCTTCACCCAGGCCGAAATAGCCGTTGATTGTGTTGCGGCTCTCGCTGCCATCAACCCAGTCGCAGTTGCTACGGAATGTAAAAGACGCTGCTTGCGGCATCTCTGCAAATACACCCCGTGCACCAATCAGCGCTTCGGTGTTTACGCCGTTTGAAACTGGCTTGTCTTGTGTAGAAGTTGTCATCGTAAGATCCTTTCAGAAGTGTCTTGAGCTGGGATTGATCAGCTCCATGACGCGTCTTCTAAGGACTGAACGAACCACGAGATACTTCTCGGACGAAAGCAATCCACTACACAAATGATAGTAATCACCGAGCTGACATTCAGCGCCGCGAATTGAAGATCCGCAATGTCCCGCATCTCGGTCATCTGGATAAAGAGCAACAAAAGTCAGCTTTGGGCATCCTTGCGATGCCGCAACCTATCGGACTTGAAGATGCCCATTCGACGAACCATTGCGCGGCAATTACCAGAAGGGAGCTTTTGAATTGCGACCAATTTTGCTATCCAGCGGGTGCGTTGTGTGTTCTCCAGAAGATCATTACGCCGCGAAAGACAGACAATTTTGTCCGGCCTGGACCTTGCCCGTGCAATTCCGGTTCCTTGAAAACAAGAAAAATGAAAAAATATCAAGAACATAAGATCGCCGTTGCGCCCATGATGGAATGGACTGACAGGCACTGCCGTGCGTTTCACCGTCAGTTGTCGCGACATGCGTTGCTCTATACGGAGATGGTTACGACAGGGGCGGTCATTCATGGTGACCGGGATCATCTGCTCGGGTTTTCCGGTCTGGAGCATCCGATTGCATGTCAACTGGGCGGTTCAGACCCGGTGGAGATGGCCGAGTCGGCTCGGATCGTTGCCGAATACGGCTATGGTGAAGTCAACATCAATGTTGGCTGTCCGTCCGACCGCGTGCAGTCCGGGCGATTCGGTGCCTGTCTCATGCTGGAGCCGGAACTCGTCGCTTCCTGCGTTTCGGCCATGAAGGATGCTGTCGAGATACCGGTGACCGTCAAGTGCAGGATCGGTGTGGACGACCAGGATCCCGAAACGGCTCTCGACCGCATGGCCGAGTTGGTATTCGAGGCCGGTGCGGATGCGCTCTGGGTACATGCCCGCAAGGCCTGGCTAAAGGGACTGAGCCCAAAGGAAAACCGTGATATTCCTCCCCTTGATTATGATCGTGTCCTGCGCCTGAAAAATCGGTTTCCTGAAATGTTCATCGGGCTGAACGGCGGACTGCAAACGCTCGACCAGTCGGAGCCATTTCTTGACACGCTGGACGGTTTGATGTTCGGCCGCGCTGCATATCACACGCCGCAGATGCTGGGAGAAGTCGACCGCCGTTTTTATGGAGGCACGACAGGGGACGTCTCACCTTGGGATGCGGTGCGGGCTCACAGGAACTATCTGGAAGAACAGCTTGGCAAGGGTGTCAAGCTTGCACGTATGACCCGGCATATGCTCGGCCTGTTTCACGGACGTCCCGGAGCACGGTCATGGCGGCGGATCCTGACGGTCGAGGCAATCAAGCCCGGTGCCGGACTGGAGGTCGTTGACAGGGCCCTGGCCGCAGTCAGCCCGACGGATCTTGACGTGGAAGCCGCTGAATAGCAGGAAATTTTCCGCTTGTTCTAAGGAGTCATGATCAGTCTGTCACCTTCGATCCGCCAACTCTGCAGCCGGTCGAGGGCGGTGAGGCCGAACAGGCTGCCGCTTAGCGAGCCCTCGCGTGCGACGAAACCGCGGATGTTATTGAATGAATGGTCTCCCACGGTGATCGTGTCGATACGGATCGGTGCCACAAGTGTCCGGCCGTTTGCGGTCGAGACAGGTACGGTGAACGACAGGTCTTCCGGATGAAAACCTGCCCGTTGGGCGTCGCCGTATGTCAGGACAACGGCGCTGGCACCAGTATCGAGCAGAAAATGGGTTTGCGCACCGTTGACACGGCCATCAAGTACAAAATGACCGGTTGCGTCGCGCACGATCAGGATCGAACCGTCAGGTTGGGTGACGGCAAGTCCGGGGGCCAGTGCGCCGAGTACACGGTATCCGGCCTGAACCAGATCGGTGCGGTAGGTGTAGCCGACGACAAGCAGGGCGCACAGACCGCCCCAGAATAGCGTCCCTTGCACGATTTCTCGGATTTTCGGTTGACCGAAAATGAAACTGGCAAGAAAGACGAACGCCAACGCTGAAAGCGCAACGAGACGCGGTCCACTGTCGTCGAAATTGATGTTTTCCGGATCTGTCGGATTGCCGAAAAAGGCCAGAAATATCATGACGCCGCAGATAATGATCAATGCGGCGACCACCAGGCCCCGGATCTGTCTGGGGCCACCCATCAGTCGCTGCCTTCGGCAGCCTCGGGCAGGCGGCGGTTGGGGATTTGCGACAGGATTTCCATGCGTTGTTTTTCGCTGAAACCCGTCCAGCCGGCGATTTCATCGAGAGACCGGAGGCAGCCGGCGCAAAGGCCGGATTCCTGATCGATCTGGCAGAATTTTATACAAGGCGAATTCATGAAGCGGATATGGCGACAGATTGTGGCTTTGCCAAGACTGGAAAGCGGCTGGAAAGAACCCAGATACGGCGTCAGCCGCCACCCCCATAGGTAAAGGGCGCGGTTATGATGTTCACCGGCAAAGCAACCGTGTTGCCGACGAACGTTCCCAGGTTATCACCGAGCGTCGCCCCGCGTCCGGCGTCGGTGGCAGAACGAAGCCCCGATTGTCCGAGGGTTTTGCGGAATTCCGGACTGAGTTGTGCCAGCTGTGCAAATTTCGAGTGATTTGCTGAATCCAGCGAATCGAGTTGTGTCACATCGATCACGATTGCGCCAAGTTCGGCAAGTTCCTCATCATTGGAATAGGCGCCGACACGCTCTTTGCCACCGGCTATCGCCCGGGAGATGCGGAGCGCCTTGTCGTCCCGGGACACTACGACAACATACGGATTGGCCGGGGTGCCGAGTTTCTTCAGTTGGGCCTTGAAGAGATCGATGTCGATATCGGGCGCTGCGAGTATGACGACATCGACTTTGCCCTCAAGAGCTTTTCTTTGCGCCGGAGACGACTGTATTGCGGTTTCCATCAGCAGCCAGTTGCCCATGGAATGCGCCAGGATGGTGATTTTTTCTGCCTTGGAGTTTGCAAGCTGTAGCATCGTCTGCGCCAGGGCCTGTCGGGCGATGGCGGCGCTGTTCAGATCATAGACATAGTCCTGCAACTTGCCGCGAGACGCCCAGGTGAACAGAACCGGCACGGCTTCGATGTTTCCGTCATGCACGACCTGAACAAACCGGTAAAGCGCCTCCGGAAACAATGTGTTATAGCCGTGAATGAACAGGAAGACCTCTCGCTTGCCCTTCGGCAATCTCGATAGCCTGCTGTTGATTTCCCGAGTGAAGGCGTCCTTGTCGGCAATGTATCCGGCATTGCGCGCCACAAAATCCGTATCCGGGTTGCCGGGCAAGCTGTCAGGCCATTCGACCTGGCTTAGCTCGTGGCTCGGCGGCACGGAGATTGTTGCCTGCGCGTAGTTGACCTGCTCGCCTCGTTCACCGTTGAAATATGTGTCGGGGCGACTGTCGCGTTCTCGCGTCGTGACAACAAGGATCTCGTGGGTCTTGGCCCCTTGCGCCGGGACTTCCGTCAGTGCAAGCGCGCCGACTTCAGGCCTGCTTCCACAGGCGGACAGACAAAACAAGACTGCAATCAGAACCACAATCCTGTTTGCCCAGAACCATGTTTCGATCGGTTTTCCGAGAAATTCGTTTTTCATGACGTGTAGCTGCCTGCACCGCACTTTCTCAGTGCACCATAAGCATCCCGGTGAGGAATCCAAGTCCGCAGATTTGCTGAATAGCGCCCAATACGTCGCCTGTGACGCCGCCGATTTTCTGCACCGACAGGCGTCCGGTGCCAAAAGCCGCCGCTGCAGCAACCAGAACGCCGACCAGAAGAGCTGGCACAGTCAGGATCAATGCCGCGGGAATGAGCAGTGGAATAGTTAAAAACACGGCCTGCAACGCAGATTCGCCGCCGGGTTTGCCATATCTGGCCGCCAGGCCGTCCAGGCGGGCAAGAGGTCTTTCGTACCACTGCCAGACAAGCATGGTCCGGCTGATGGCTTCCGAAGCTAGAAAGAGCAGCGCAGCGTCTGCGGGGCTGAACTTTTGCCATAATGAAGCGAGGAGAAAAATGCGCAGGACAACGGTCAGCACAAGGGCAAGGGCACCGAATGCTCCGATCCTGCTGTCCTTCATGATGTCCAGACGCCGTTCCCGCGTTGTGCCGCCGAAAAACCCGTCCGCGACATCGCTCATTCCATCTTCATGCAGGGCACCGGTGGTTGCGCAGAGCAGAGCTATCGCGATGGTAGCTACCACGAGCCCCGGTAGATGCGTATAGGCGAGAAACATGCCCAGACCGGCGGCCGGGAGTGCAACGGCAACACCGGCCAGGGGCGCGGCCCGCGCGATCCGGGAAAAGTCGGGTGGCGATGAAGGGTCGTCGGCAGAATTGACCTGCGGCAGTGGGAGGCGGGAAAAGAATCGCACGCACGCGGCGGTGTCTGCTGCAAGCTTGGAAAAAGCACCTGTCAGCCCGTTCGACCTGTTTTTGGTATTGTTGGAACCGCGGTTCTCCCGAGAATTGGAAGTTTGGTCGGTTTCGGGGTTCATCAGGCCGGTCCTGTGCTTGAGTTTTTTCAAGGCGTCGTTATAGATCAGCCGCCTGACAGCACCAAGTATCGGCTCATTGACCTTCAAACAGACCGGGAAAAACAATATGTCCCTTTCCGAAACCGCGCTTCCTTTCGATGATATCCGCAACCTGGTGAAATCGATGCCGGGACCGGACGAAGAAGCGCTGCACAAAGTCCGGGAGCGGGACAGCCAATTGACAAAACCTGCCGGTTCGCTTGGTCGCCTGGAAGAGCTTGCCGAATGGCTGGCAGCCTGGTCTGGCAAGGCGCCTCCCAAGGTCACCCGGCCCATGGTCGCAATCTTTGCCTCTGCGCATGGAGTTGCCGACGAAGGGGTTTCGGCTTTCCCGAGCGCCGTCAACAAGCAGATGGTCGAGAATTTTGCTGCCGGCGGTGCCGCCATCAATCAGCTTTGCCGCGTGAATGACATCGGCCTGAAGGTTTTTGATCTGGCGGTAGACATGCCGACGCCCAGCATCACGCGCGAAGATGCAATGGACGAAGCCAATTGCGCGGCGACCATGGCTTATGGCATGGAGGCACTTGCCGGAGGCATTGACCTCATTTGTCTCGGAGAAATGGGCATCGGCAACACCACTGTTGCAGCAGCCGTTTTTCATGGGCTTTTCGGTGGTGAAGCTTCGGACTGGATCGGGCGCGGAACCGGGGTCGATGATGAAGGCCTTGCCAGAAAACGGGCGGCAGTAGAAACGGCCGTCGCTCGGCTCAATGGCGAAAAAGATCCGCTTGAAATCCTTCGCAGGGTTGGTGGCCGGGAGATTGCCGCCATGGCCGGTCTTATCATCGCTGCGCGTTTGCAACGTGTACCGGTGATCATCGACGGCTTCGTCACAACGGCGGCCGCCGCGGTTGTGTACGCGATGGACCCTGCCGGACTGGATCATTGCGTGTTTGCGCATGTCTCCGCGGAACACGCACATGCCAGGGTGCTCGAGCATATGGAAAAGGATGCGCTGTTCGATTTCGGCATGCGACTGGGAGAAGGATCGGGTGCGGCGCTTGCGGCAGGAATAGTCAAGGCTTCCGCGGAAATGCATTCCGGAATGGCGACATTTGCAGACGCAGGTGTCTCTGCAAAGTCCTGAACTCAGCCAGAATTCGCCGTTCTCAGACGTGCGTCCAGGCTGCCGGGTGCAACGGACTTGTCGTCTGCTGGGTAATTCATGTTTCGCGAAGGAGGCAGACAGACCGTTACCTCTGTACCTTCGCCCAGCTGCGACTTAATCTTGAACGTGCCGTCATGCATGCTGATAAGGGCCTGCACGATGGAAAGCCCGAGGCCCGTTCCAGGTTCCGCGCTCTTGATCGCATGTGAGCCCTGGCCGAAAGCTTCCAGAACGGTGGGAATTTCCTCCTCCGGAATTCCGGGACCGTTGTCCCGGACAGACACATACTGCCCGCCGTCGCTTGTAGGACCCAGGTTGACGCGAACTTCACCGCCGATTGGTGTGAACTTGACCGCGTTGGACATGAGGTTGAGCACGACCTGCCGCAGAGCGCGTTCATCGGCCCACACACGCGGAAGATCCGACTGATGCGCGTGATGCAGCACGATCGACTTTGCTTTGGCGCGAACCTTCATCATGGTGCCGCACTCGGCAACCACGTCCTCAAGCAAAATTGGTTCTTCATGCAGCTCGTGGCGTCCCGCCTCGATCCTGGACAGGTCGAGAATTTCGTTGATGAGATTGAGCAGATGTTCACCCGAGCCGTGGATGTCTTCCGCATAGGCGCGGTAGGTCTTGTTTGCCATTGAACCCAGGACCTCGTCCTTCATGATCTCCGAAAACCCGAGAATGGCGTTGAGCGGAGTGCGCAGTTCGTGGCTCATCGTTGCAAGGAAGCGGGATTTGGCAAGGTTTGCGGCTTCTGCACGCCTGCGCGCCTCGTCGGACATTGAATTCGCGGTTTCGAGTTCGGCAATCAGGTGATCCTTGTCAGCCCGATACTCCAGCATCGTGTTTGCGTTCTTGAGAAGCTGATTGCCGAGGATCAGGAAAAACCCCTGTGCACCAATAGCCATCGCTGCCAACGTGTAGTGAACCGCACTGGATTGCTGCAAAAAGCTGAAAGTGACAAAAAAGGTGATCGGCAGCGTGCTTGCCAGAAGGCACTTCGGCAAGTTGGCGGATTGCATCGTGTTCATGGCAATCACGATCAACAAAGCCGCGAAATGGAAGATGACCAGACCTTCACCTGCGCCGCTTGCAACCGGCATCAGGAAGAAAAGGGCCCAGCTGCATCCGTAGATCAGGTCACCAATGATAAATCGACGGCTCCAGACAATCCGGACTTTCTGGTCAGATGGCGCCTTTTCGTAAGAGTGACTGATAACCACCATCAGAAAGTGGGTGCAGATAGTAATGAGGAACCAGGCTCCCATGAACTGCGGGCTCACCCACAGGGAAGATATGGCAGCCACGATCAATGCCAGCAGGGGCGCAGCAAAAGCCGCATTGATGCGTGTGTCCGCAAACAGGTGCTGGCGCTCGTGTTCGAATGTGGAGTGACGGCTTTCAGGCGCTCCCAGGCGGCTGCGAATATCTCTGACCGAACGGGCCATCTCCCGTCGCCGGAGAGCGCGTTGCCTGTTGATAGCCAGCGTGTCGCTGCCGTTTGCTGACGCTTGGGACTTCATGTGACGCCCGGACGGTGTTGATTTCGTTATTGTGATACTGCTTGTTTTCCAAGACTGACTCATCATTCCTTAAGATCGTCCTCAAGATCGTGGTAAGAAATGTGTTAATCAGCTGTATCAAGGTGCAACTCTTTGTCTTCCAAGCAGAATTCGCCAGGACTGGACCAGCTCGCCGCAGGCATTCGTGCCTGCCGGAAATGTATTGAAAATCCGGATGGAAAGCCGCTGCCGCACGCGCCTCGGCCAGTGCTGCAGATATCTTCAGCGGCACGGTTGTGCATCTGCGGTCAGGCACCGGGTACGCGGGTGCATCAAAGCGGCAGACCATTCACCGATCCTTCCGGCGACAGGTTGCGCAGCTGGATGGGGATTGGCGAAGAGACGTTCTACAATCCCGACCGCCTTGCGATCGTGCCAATGGGTTTCTGCTTCCCGGGCCTGGATTCCAAGGGAGGGGATCTGCCGCCGCGCAGGGAATGCAGAAGTCTCTGGCACGATGAACTTTTTGCAGAGATGCCTCAGATCGAACTGGTACTGGTGATCGGGCAATATGCTCAAGCCTACCACCTTGGGAGTGAGCGCAAGAAAAGCCTTACGGAAACCGTGGTGAATTGGCAGGCTTATTTCGAGGCAACCCGGCAACCGGGCAAGCCGGCCGTAATCCCGTTGCCGCATCCTTCCTGGCGCAACAATGGCTGGCTGAGGAAAAATCCATGGTTTGAAAGCGATCTGCTTCCTGTGCTGCAAGAAGAGGTTTCGCGGTTGACTTGAAATCGTTGCGGTTACGAAAGTGAGATTTTCGAAAAAAATTCTCATTTGAGGGGGAATTGACAGGCAAGTTGAAAAACCGTTACGAGTTCAGCCTGTGAATTGAAATTTTTTCCTGCCGAGTGGTTTGATCTCATTCTGGAAATATCACTCGCGACGCTGGAAGCAGAAACCATGATTGATCGCATCGACCGACGAATACTGTCCATCCTCCAGGAAGACTGCACCGTACCTGTTGCGGAAATCGGGCGACGGGTCGGCTTGTCGACGACACCTTGCTGGCGCCGGATCCAGAAGATGGAAGAAGATGGCGTCATAACCGCACGTGTCGCGCTGCTGGAGCCCGCCAAGGTGAATGCGAAGGTGACGGCATTTGTGGCAATCACGACGAGCCAGCATTCCGAAGACTGGTTGAAGAAATTTGCCGACGTCATTCGGGAGTTTCCCGAAGTCGTCGAGTTCTACCGGATGGCCGGGCAGGTCGACTACCTGTTGCGGGTCGCGGTTCCCGATATCGAAGCCTACGACGCGTTCTACAAGAAGCTTGTTTCAAAGATTGATATTTCGGATGTCTCAACGACATTCGCCATGGAGCAGATCAAGAACACAACTGCGCTGCCATTGTCCTACGTGGCTACGGAAAAACCCCGCACAGGGTCGTGAGATTGTATTCCGTCTTCGGAACACAAGTGAATTCTGGCTCACAGCTTTACCGCGATTTCCAAAAGAAACCTGCCGGTTGTACGGTGTGAACGGGGCATTAAGCACGCGGATTAACGGCAATTTCATTTCGCCTGCGTACTACGGAACCAGCAAGCATTCACAAGGATGAGGCTGGAATTGGTTTCCGACGGGCATGAGGCATTTGCAGTGGGTTTCGCGCGGGTTTTGAAACTGCGTGCAAGGGTGCTTGACCTTCTGAAAGCTGACGATCTGAACGCCAGATTTGGAGGTCCGTTTTTTGCCTTCATGCTGATAGCAGTCTCGGTGTTTCTGGCATCTTCCTGGGTTCAGACCGACTTTGGTGGGCTTTTTGACTTCCACGCGGATTTGTCGCTTGTACAGCGCGAGGATTTCGTTGCGTTTTACCGGGCAGGTGAGCTCGCTCTGAGTGGTCAGGCTGCCGATGCCTATGATCCGGCCATCTTCAGCGAGAGATTTTCGGAAAAGAACGAAAATCTTCTCTTCTTGAATCCACCCCATGCATTGCTCTTGTTTGAGCCACTGGCCTATTTCAGCTATCCTGTTGCAAAGTTGATCGGGATGGCGGTCTTTTCCGCCTGCTTTTTCGGGATGATCCATCTCGTCAGACCAGGTCTTGCGGCATGGCCCTATGTCTTCATGTTGTTGTCTCCGGGAGCCTATTACGCGTTTCAGCTTCTGCAGCTATCGCCGTTGATAACGTTCCTGTTGTTGTTTGCGATGTTGCACAGCCGTGATCGACCGGTCCTGAGCGGCCTGGCACTCGCGCTGGTGACAATCAAACCGCAATATGGCCTGTTGATTCCTGTGTTCCTTGCGGCCAATCGTGACTGGCGCACGATTTTTTATGCTGCTCTTGGAACCGCAACACTGATCAGTCTTTCTGTCGGCGTCTACGGCTTGGGGCTGTGGGAAACTTTCTTGGCGTCGATGCGGGACGGGGCGCATTCCTTCCAGTTTTCGGCAAACCACGGCATGATGTCGACGATCGGCAGTTCCTTCGGCAAATGGGGGGCTTCTGCTGAAATACGAATGGCAACGCAAGTCCTGTCGATCGTGTTGGCGGCCTTTACGGTCTGGTTCTCCGTTCGGTTGCTTCCGCGGCAAAGAGCCGTTGCCGTTTCACTGTTCGCCATTGCCCTGGCCGCGCCATCATTCATGTTCTACGACTGGCTCTTTTATTCCGTCGCGTTGATCTTGGTGGTGAAAGAAGTACCCAGGTGGCCCTTGATGCTCCAGGCATCGGCCGCATTGCTTTGGATATCGCCAACCGTTCACGACGTGCTTCTGACCCGGGACTGGCTGATTTCCATGATCTTTTCAAGCCTCGTGCCACTTGTCGCATTTATTGTCTTGTGCCAGGTGCTGGCCCTGTTCATGAAAAACAAACAGCCTCAATCCGGCTTTGATCCGGAGGACGATTTCCGCTTGCGCGCGTCTGGGCAATCGGCTGCGTGAAATTGTCTTCGACTAAACTTCGGGCAGCGGATGCCTTGCAAAGAACCGTGCTGTTTCAGCGTCCGTAACCGGCTGCCCGGCGAAGATCTCCGCATAAAGCAGCATGCGTTGGCGACGGGGTTCGAGCGGTTCTGCCGGGCCGTCCTTCTTCATCGAAATGTAGCCGATCTGTGTCTGGTAAACCGTATTTGCCCTGACACTAGCGTGTTCGGGGTTGAAGCCGAAGCGCTCGAACATCGCCTGCAAGACGTCGACACGAATTTGGTCTGCTTCTTCAAGCATCTGCGCAAGCCGGGCATCAGAATGCGCCCAGTTCCTGACAGCGAATTCGAGGCGGGAATCAAACAAGTCCGGCATCAGCCAGAGATCGAATACGTTCAATATCGCTTCGGTGATTGTCTCTGAATATGCCTCGGTGCGTTTGATCAGGTTGCCTGTGTTCTTGGATTGCCACAAACCAATCAGCGCTTCGAGCAGGTCGCCCCTGTCAGAAAAGTGGCCGTAGAAACTTGTTCGTGACAGGCCCAGCCGTTCAGCCAGAGGCATGACTTTTACCGCATCGATGCCGTTGTCGAGCAATGCCTCGTAAGCTGCCAGCATCCAGATCTCGCGCGTACCGCGCCAACCACTGGACTTTTCTATCAAAGGTTCGCTCATGGCGGTTCGATAACAGCAGGCATGACCGGATACAACAAAAATTGACATGAGTGTCTTTAAAAGCGACATAGATGTCGTTTTTACGCCTTTTCACCCGTAGCCGATGCGATTTAAGTTCGCCAGCCGTCGTGGCTTGGTCGCGGCAGGACGCGAATTGAGGGAAACACATGTCCAGGGATCCGCTGCTACAGCCATATCAGCTGAAGAATCTGACGCTGAAAAACAGGATCATGATCACGTCGCATGAGCCGGCATATCCTGAAGACGGCATGCCGAAAGACCGCTACCGGGCCTATCATGAAGTGCGCGCAAAGGCGGGTGTTGCGCTGACCATGACGGCAGGCTCCGCCGCGGTTTCGAGAAACTCACCACCTGTGTTCAACAACATCCTTGCCTACAAGGACGAGGTCGTGCCGTGGGTGAGACGCCTGACGGATGCCTGCCACGATCACGGTTGTGCCGTGATGATCCAGCTCACCCATCTTGGGCGCCGAACCCATTGGAACAAGGGTGACTGGCTCCCCGCGGTCGCGCCAAGCCACGAGCGCGAGACAGCGCATCGCGCCTTTCCCAAACAGGTCGAGGACTGGGACATTGTTCGGATAATCCAGGATTATGCCGATGCCGCAGAGCGGATGAAGGAAGGCGGTATGGATGGCATCGAACTGCAGGCCTACGGGCATTTGATGGACCAGTTCTGGTCGCCGGTGACAAACTCCCTTGAGGGGCCCTACGGTGGATCACTGGAAAACCGGATGCGGTTCTCGTTCGAAGTTATAGACGCGATACGCAAGCGCGTCGGGGACGATTTCATCCTTGGCATTCGATATACGGCAGACGAAGACCTGCAAGGCGGCATCACGCCGGAAGAGGGGCTTCAGATTTCACATCGGTTGAAGGAAACCGGTCAGATAGATTTCCTCAACGTGATACGCGGCCATATTGATACCGATCCGGGTTTGACAGACGTGATTCCCGTTCAGGGTATGCGCAATGCGCCCCATCTGGATTTTGCAGGCAGGGTGCGCAGGGAAGTGGGGTTGCCGACTTTCCACGCTGCCAAGATCCCGGATGTGGCAACTGCGCGCCATGCGATTACAGAAGGTCTCCTGGACATGGTGGGTATGACCCGGGCCCATATGGCCGATCCGATGATTGTGCGGAAGATAAAAGAAAAACGGGAAGGGGACATACGACCCTGCGTTGGCGCAACCTATTGCCTAGACAGGATTTACCAGGCCGGGGACGCGCTGTGTATCCACAATCCTGCGACCGGCCGGGAACTGACAATGCCGCACGAGATTGCGCCTGCGGACGTGAGCAGGAAAGTCGTCGTGGTTGGCGCCGGGCCGGCCGGCATGGAGGCGGCCCGCGTTGCTGCAGAGCGCGGTCATGAGGTGACCGTCTTTGAAGCAGCACCTGACGCTGGAGGTCAGATCCGTCTGACCGCCCGGTCCGAGCGGCGCCGGGAGATGATATCCATCATCGAGTGGCGCATGGAGCAGTGTCTTGCACGTGGTGTGAAGTTCAATTTCAACACGTTTGCCGAAGCGGAAGATGTCTTGGCGGAGTGTCCTGACGTCGCGATCATTGCAACAGGGGGCATGCCGCATACCGACGTGCTGTCGGAGGGCAATGATCTTGTCGCGTCTTCCTGGGATATCATAGCCGGCGACGTGAAATCGGGCAGGCGTGTCCTTGTCTATGACGATGCGGGCGACCATGCGGCATTGCAGGCCGCCGAGTTGATCGCGGCGTCAGGAGCGCATGTTGAGATCATGACGCCGGACAGGTCTTTCGCCCCCGATGTCATGGCGATGAATCTGGTTCCGTACATGCGCGCCCTTCAGGACAAGGACGTCCGTTTCACGGTGACCTATCGACTGAAGGCCGCCAAACGGTCCGGAAACATGATCACAGCTGTCATCGGGACAGACTATTCAGCTTTCACCGAAGAGCGCGAATTCGATCAGATCGTGATCAACCATGGCACCATTCCCCTGGATGAACTCTATTTCGATCTGAAGCCTCGCTCGAAAAATCTTGGGTTTGTAAAGCAGGAAGCTCTTGTTTTCGGTCAACCGCAGCCGTTGGACGCCAACCCGAAAGGTGAATTTGCGCTGTACCGGATCGGCGACGCTGTTTCGGCGCGCAACACACACGCCGCCATTTACGACGCGCTGCGGCTTGTGAAGGACATCTGAGTTCAGCTGCCCGGTGAAATTCTTGGGCAGCGTCTCACTTGAATAAGACAATGCCGTTTTTGCGCTACGGCTTGTGACCGCTGCAAGCCTAATTTCATCTCAACGACGGGCCGGCCAGACCGGCAGGATCAGGACATACCGAAATGAACAGCAACGCGGACATTCTCTCACTGTTGATGAGACGCCGGGCAGGGTACTCGCTGCCACAGGCCTTTTATTGCGACGAGGATGTGTTTCAGGCCGACCTGAAGCATATCTGGCAGCAAGAATGGATTTTTGCGGTCCCAAGCGCGGAATTGCCGAAGTCCGGAAACTACGTGACGCTCCAGATCGGAGCGTATTCAGTGATCATCGTACGCGGGGCCGACGGCGCGATTCGCGCATTCCACAATTCCTGCCGTCACCGTGGGAGCCGGATCTGTGCGGCCGCCAAGGGCTCCGCACCCAAGCTTGTCTGCCCTTATCACCAGTGGACTTATGAACTGGACGGCAAGTTGCTGTGGGCGCGTGAAATGGGGCCGGACTTCAATCCGCAGGAGCATGGACTGAAATCCGTTCATTGTACCGATGTCTCAGGCATGGTTTTCATCTGTCTCGCCGACCGGGCTCCGGACCTTGGCGGGCTTCAAAAACAGGCTGCTCGCTACCTGGGTCCTCACGATCTCGGCAACCTGAAAGTTGCGCACCAGTCAACGATCGTTGAAAAGGGTAACTGGAAGCTGGTTCTGGAAAACAACCGGGAGTGCTATCACTGCTCCGGGTCGCATCCATCGCTTTGCCGCACTTTTCCTGATGATCCGAATCTGGTCGGTGCAGACGATGCATCAACGTCGAATGTCGGTAAAACCCATGTGGATCGTTGCGAAGGCTCAGGCCTTCCCGCGAAATATCTGGTCTCACCGGACGAACAATGGCGTTTCGTGCGTATTCCGTTCCTGGGCGAGGCCGTAAGCTATACGATGGACGGAAAGGCAGCAGTGTCCAGGCGGATCGGCACGGTTCCCTTCGACAGCGCCGGAACCTGCCTCTATTTCCATTATCCAAATACCTGGAACCACTTCCTGTCGGATCATGTGCTGACCTTCAGGGTGTTGCCGATCGGTCCGATGGAATCCGAGGTGACGACAACCTGGCTTGTACACAAGGATGCCGAAGAGGGTGTCGACTATGATCTCGACCGGTTGACCGAGGTCTGGATGCACACGAATGACGAGGACCGGCAGATCGTTGAAGAGAACCAGATCGGCATCCGGTCTCCGGCCTACGAGCCCGGGCCCTATTCTCCCGTCCAGGAAAGTGGCGTCATCCAGTTCATCGACTGGTACGCGCAAAACCTCGAAGCGGCCCTGATTGGCCGCTTCCGTGTAGCGGCGGAGTAGATCGATGATACCGATGCCGGGGCGCGACACGCCGGTCTGGAACGACAGCGAGCTTCTGGAATGCGTGATGGTGGTGCCCGAAGCCCCCAACGTGAAGACATTTTCCTTCCGGCCGCCTTCTGGCGCAACCTTCGTATACCGGGCAGGGCAGTTTGTTACACTGGACCTGCCGGTCCCGGGTGGAAATGTCCAGCGAACGTATACCCTGTCATCGTCTCCGGTTTCCAACGCCTACATTTCGGTCACCGTGAAGGCACAGCCGGACAGTCAGGGTACGCGATGGATGCTGGACGAATTGAAACCCGGCATGCGGCTGAAAGCCTTTGGGCCTGCCGGTCTGTTCCATCTACCTCCAAGTCCGGATGGCAAATACCTGTTCGTCTCGGCCGGATCCGGTGTGACGCCGATGATGTCGATGGCGCAGACGCTTTTTGAGCGGGGGGAAGATCCCGATATCTGCTTCATTCAGTGCGCTCACAGGCCCGTTGACCTGATTTTCCGCCAGAAGCTGGAATATATGGCAAGCCGTGTCACTGGTTTGCAGTTGCATTTCGTCGTCAAGCAAAGCGACCCGTATGAGGTGTGGACGGGTTATCGGGGCCAACTCAATCAGCTGATGCTCGGATTGATGTGCAATGACTACCTTGATCGGGACGTCTTTTGCTGCGGTCCGGAAGGGTTCATGGATGCTGTGCGCGAAATCCTGAATGCGCTTGGCTACGACATGGACCGCTATCATCAGGAAAGCTTCCAGGCGCCTGCCGAAACCAAGGCGGAATTGACGGAATTCGACGATGTTGTTCCTCAGGAGGACACGCAGGCGCAGATCGTCTTTGCCAATTCGGGTGTCTCTGCCTGGTGCACTGAAACCGACACCGTTCTTGCCGTGGCAAAGGATGCCGGCCTGAACATTCCCTCGGGCTGCACATTTGGCGTTTGCGGGACTTGCAAGGTCAAAAAACTGGCCGGGGAGGTCCACATGGTGCATTCGGGCGGTATCAGCGAGGACGATGTCGAGGCCGGCTACATACTTGCCTGCTGTTCCAATCCGATCGGCACACTTGAGGTCGAAGTCTGAAGAGGGGCTATTTTGTTCCCAGGCGGGCAAGGACTTTGTCCGATGAAAGCTCCTTGACGGTTTCGCGGCCGACCTTGCGGGCGGTCTTGTCGCTTGAAGCGGCGAGGTCTTCACCGAGAGCGAGGGCAGGTCCGTGCAGCTCGATCGACCGTTTGCCGATCTGCCGCAAAGCCCAGTGAACGGCCTTCCAGACAAAATTCCTGTCATCAGTCGACATCTTCCGGATCAGGTCCAGGTAGCCGAGGAATTCACTGTCCGGAGACGATTTGGCGTGGACGGCGCGCCAGGCGATAAGCGCAAAACCGGCGCGCCTGACAAATTCTCTCGTGTCGCTCGTCAGTTCACTGACAAGTTTGCCTGAATCCGTTCGACGGGCGAGCACATTTGTGAGTTGATCACACAGATCCCAGGAGTGAGTGTCATCTAGCCATGATCTTGCCAGTTCATCAGTCATCTCCTTGGGGGGAGTGATCAGGATTGCAAGCAGTCGGGCCTCGTGAATTTCCGAGGCCCAGAGGTCAAGAGCCAGGTCATTCGATTTGTGGATCGTCCTGGCGAAAGGCCGCAAAACCGACATGGGAACGCCAAAGGCCCTGGTCATGTCGATGCCGAATCGCGCCATCCCGGCGCGGTTCTCTTCAGAACCGCTTTGCTCAAGATGCTTGAGGATGTGCGCGACCGTCCAACTCGTCTCGGCGGCCTTGACCATCAGGTGACTACCTACTTTCTTTCAGCATTTTCGAGCCGCGCGATCAGGCTCGATGTGTCCCAGCGGCTTCCGCCCATGGACTGGACTTCGGCATAGAACTGATCGACCAGGGCCGTTACAGGCAACCTTGCGCCGGTTTCATTGGCGGTCTGCAGGCAGATCCCAAGATCCTTGCGCATCCAGTCGACCGCAAAGCCGAATTCGAATTCGCTGTCGCGCATGGTCTCCCAGCGGTTTTCCATTTGCCATGACTGGGCAGCGCCGCCCCGAACGGCGGAGATGACCTTTTCAACGTCAAGTTCTGCCTTCTTGGCAAAATGAATGGCTTCCGAGAGCCCCTGAACGAGACCTGCGATACAGATCTGATTGACCATTTTTGTCAGCTGTCCGGCGCCGCTGTCTCCCATCAGCCCGACGAATTTTGCAAAACATTCGATAACAGGTTTTGCCTTGTCGAAGTCTTCAGCATCCCCGCCGCACATAACCGTGAGAACACCGTTTTCAGCACCCGCCTGCCCACCTGAAACAGGGGCATCGATAAAGCCGCAGCCTTTTTCCCTCGCCGCGGCATGAAGTTCGCGCGCGACATCGGCGGACGCCGTTGTGTTGTCGACAAAGATGGCGCCTTCTTTCAAACCGTGAAAGGCTCCGTTTTCACCCGTAGTCACCGAGCGCAGGTCCTCGTCGTTGCCAACACAGGCAAAGACGAAATCACAACCCGCTGCAGCTTCCTTTGGGGTTCGTGCAAAACTGCCGCCAAATTCGGCAGTCCATCGTTCGGCTTTTGCGGTGGTCCGGTTGTAGACCGTGACATCATGACCGCCCTTTGTTTTCAGGTAGCCTGCCATCGGGTATCCCATGACACCCAGACCGATGAATGCAACCTTTGCCATGACGCGCTCCCTTCGCAAAACAAGGCCCGGCGGTCGAGCCGGGCCTTTTCTAAACTGGTTTGTCATGGTTTTAGGGTATTTGTCTGCGTCTGTCAGCCTGGGTTTCCTGCAAAGATCCTTGACGGGATGTGGGCAGGCGCACCCTGCTTGTAACCCGGCCCCCGACTCAGACCCAATAAGGTGGGCGCCACCACAAACGCGCAGCCTGTTCCTTTTGGGCAGCTTCCTGCGCGAGGCGCTTCTTGGTCCGCGGATCCTGCTGATCATTTTTTGAGGAACGGGTTGCTTCCAAAAGGCTGCGGGCATAAATATCTAACATGGTCTTACACTCCTCGCTTCGTCTCTGAACCAAACATGTGCTTTTTTGCTCGGAAAAACGAGTCAGGAAGATTTCAATAATGTAAGGTGTAGTTACATATGGATTGGCGAGCTTTACCCTCCCTGAACAGTCTCAAGGTGTTTGCGGTCGTAGCGGAAACCAGAAGTCTGTCAGCCGCGGGCCGGGAACTTAACGTGACCCATGCAGCCGTCAGCCAGCAGGTACGCAGCCTGGAAAATTTCATGGGACTGCAACTGGTGGCACGGGAAGGCCGCGGTGTTGCGCTGACACCGGAAGGCGAACAGCTCTACAGCGGATTGAGTGGTGGATTCGAAACGATACGCGAAGCGGTAGACGCGCTTTTGAAGGACGATACCGCAAGGCCGCTGAACATTACGATGACGCCTTCATTCGCTGTCAGCTGGCTGATGCCGCGTATCAACGACTTTCGCCTGCAGTATCCCGACATCGAACTGATGCTCAACCCGACTGCCGAAGTTATCGAGCTGAAACCGGGCGGCGTGGACCTTGCGATCCGCTTCGGCGGCGGCAACTGGCCTGGGCTGGAGTCCGAACTCCTGTTACCGACCAATTTTGCTGTGGTCGGAGCAAACTGCCTGATCGGAGACAAGGTAATCGAAACTCCTGAGGATATAATCGAATTCCCCTGGTTGCAGGAATACGGGACAAACGAGCTTGCCATGTGGATGGAAGAGCAGGGTGTCGTCCCGAAGGGAAAACTGAACATAACCCACTTGCCGGGCTATATGGTTCTTGAGGGCCTCAGGCGCGGTGATGGCATCTCGGCAACGGCAATGGCGTTCATTGAACCGGATATCGCCTCCGGTAGCCTGCGCGTCCTGTTTGAAGACACGGTTCGCCTGGGTACCGGATACTACATGCTCACGCGCCCCGGAGTGATACGACCGCCACTGAAGAAACTCATGACCTGGTTGCGATCGATGAGAGATGAGAGAAAAGCCGGCAAAATCTGAGTCAGATTGTTGTCAGTGCCCGGTCGAAATCGGCAATCAGGTCATTGCCGTGTTCTATGCCAATGGAAAGTCGCAAGAGGTTTTCCGGAATTCCCGAACCTTCACCTTCGATTGTAAATCGATGCTCGACAAGGCTTTCAGTCCCTCCAAGCGATGTGGCCCGCTGAAAGATATCCAGGGCACCGGCAACTTTCAGCGATTCGTCCTTGCCTCCGTCGATCATTATGGACATCAAAGACCCGAACCCGTTTGTCATCTGGGACTTGGCAAGGCTGTGCTGGGGATGGCTTTTCAATCCGGGATATAGAACGGATTTGACCTTGGGGTGAGCTTCCAGACTGCGGGCGAGATCAATCGCATTGGAGTTCATCCGCTCGACCCTGAGTGCGAGGGTTCTGAGCCCACGCAGAAGAAGCCAGGTTTCGAAGGACCCGAGCACTGCACCTGCATTTTGGCGTTCTTCACTGATGAACGTCCAGACCTCACTGGAGGCATTGCTGGTGGATACGACACCGCCAAGCAGGTCCGAATGCCCGTTGAGCGCCTTTGTTGCTGAATGCATGACCAGGTCCGCACCGAAAGAGAGCGGCTTCAGGATCAGCGGCGTTGCCGCGGTCGCGTCAACGCAAAGAACCGCCGAGGTTCCATTGCACAGCTCTGCAATCTTGCGAATGTCTGCGACCTTGAGGAATGGATTGCTCGGGACTTCAAGCCAGACCAAATCCGGCTGTGTGACGGAAAACTCGTCTCGAAAAGCCGACAGATCACTGGCATCGGCTTCCACGAGGGCAATGTTGTTGCGTGCGCAGTGTTTTCTGAGGAACAAGGTAGTACCCCAGTAGATGCCGGACTGCGCGAGCAGGGTCCCGCCAGGTCTGACGCTGCGCACAATTGCGGCGATTGCTGCCATCCCCGATGCAAACAGACGGCTGTCTTCCCCGCCCTCAAGGGCAGCGAGAAGCTTTTCAGTCTTCCGGTAGAGCGCATTGCTGTCGCGGCTGTAGATGTGACCGGGAAGGACCGGCTCATAGTCCTCGTCCCGGACGAAGGTCGTCGCTGTCTGGATCGGCGGTACGACGGCACCGGTCGCCGCGTCGAACCCGCCACCTGCGTGGGCAAGCAGACTGTCCGGGTGGAGACCATCGGAATCGGAAAGCGAATTGGACATGAGAGACTTCCAGGCAATGCGTGTTCAGTTGACGCGGATCTGTGCCGCAGGCTGATACCCCTGATATCAGGTTTGGCAAAGAGATGAATGCCGGGCTACGCCCGGCTGCGATCAATTTTTTGGACCCGATATCACCGCTTCAGGTGGCGCGTGAGCCGGGCTTCGATCTTGTCCCAGATTCGGCGCAGGGTTTCGACGATCAAAAGATAGGCCACCGCGGCCCAGATATAGGCCTGGAAGTCGTAGGATCTGGAATATGCACGCCTTGTTTCGCCCATCAGGTCGTAGATCGTGATGATGGAGGCAATTGCCGAGCCCTTGATCATGAGGATGATTTCGTTGCCATAGGGGCGCAGCGCCACCATCAGAGCCTGAGGCAGGATGATCTTGAAGAAGGTGACCGGCGTTGAAATTCCGAGTGCCTCAGCACCTTCCCATTGGCCTTTCGGCACGTTCAGTATGGCACCGCGTAATATTTCGGCCTGATAGGCGGCCGTGTTGAGTGAAAACGCGAAAATCACGCAATACCAGGCTTCCCGGAAAAACCCCCAAAGCCCGACAGCTTCCAGTTCTGGCCGGAAGGTACCGGCGCCGTAGTAGATCAGAAAAGTCTGGGCGAGCAGCGGTGTTCCGCGGAAGAAATAGACATAGCCATAGGCTGGCCACGAAAAAATCTTCCATTTCGAGTTGCGCGCGAGCGCGACAGGAATACTGAGCAACGCGCCGACAAGCAGGGAAAGTCCGACAATCTGAAGTGTTACGAGAAAGCCGTCGACATATTTCAGCCAGTACTTTTCTACAAACGTGCTCGCGACGTTGCTGCCCAGAAAATACAAAAGAGAAGCACCGGATATGATCCAGAGAGCCATGAGAACATGGCCGAAAATACGAATGTTTGTCCACGCGCGAGGCGGTGCGGGTGGGCGAATTTGCCCGGTTTCAGGATTGGCCGCGATCATCTTGCAACCTCTCCCTTTTTGGTCCAGCGCTCGATGCGTGAAAGGCCCGTTGAAGAGATCATTGCAAGCAACAGGTAGACCAGGCAGGCGATGCCGAAAAAGAGAAAGGGTTCCTTGGTGACACGGGCGGCTATTCCGGCCTCACGAACGAGATCTGGAAGACCGATCACAGAAACCAAGGACGTTTCCTTCAAAAGGATCAGCCAGAGATTCCCGAGCGCAGGTAGAGCAAGGCGAATGAGTTGCGGCAGGATCACAAGCGTCATGGTCTGATATCGCGAAAGTCCGAGTGCGTTTCCGCCTTCATACTGGCCTTGAGGAATGCCCCTGAAAGCCGACAGAAATGCCTCCGATGCATAGGACGAAAACACCAGGGAAAGCGCAACCATGCCCGCGACGAAGGAATTGACCTCGATAAAGGCATCGAAACCCATCAGCTTCAGGCCTTGCTGGATCCCGATCTGTACGCCGAAATAGACCAGGAACAAGGTCAGGAGTTCCGGCAGGCCTCGAAAAATCGTTGTGTAGATGTTTGCCGCCAGTTTGAGGCTGGGTTCGCTCGAATTTTTCGCCAAAGCGATCAGGAAACCGAGGACAAGTCCGAATGGCAATGTAGCGATCGCCAGGAGAACCGTAACCATGACACCTGCAGCGATGGTGTCTCCCCAGCCATTTTCCCCGAAGGACAGCAGCGTCAGAGCTTCTTCCATAAGCCGGCGCTTCTTTCTTTTCTTGATGTTGTGGTTCCGGCCACCCCTCAGGCCGGCGCCGCGGGTTTGTCCCTCCGGCAAAACGCGGCACGCTTGTGGCGCCGCGTTTCAATGGTGTTGAACTGACTTGAAAATCAGCCGCCGTAAACGTCGAATGTAAAGTATTTGTCGTTGATTTCCTTGTACTTTCCGTTCGCCAGAATGGCTTCGATGGCTGCGTTGAGTTTGTCTTTCAGCTCATCTTCACCCTTGCGGATCGCAATACCTGCACCTTCACCGTTGATGACCGGATCCGGAGTAAGTGTTCCGAGGATCTTGCAGCAGGAACCGTCATCGGTGTCGAGCCACTCGGACAGAACAACAACGTCATCGATCACGGCATCAACACGGCCACTGGCGACGTCGAGCTTGTACTCGTCCGGGGTCGGGTAGAGCTTCAGGTCGGCAGACGGCAGCTTTTCTTCGGCATAGTTGGAGTGGGTTGTCGAAGATTGGGCACCGAGAGCAACGCCCTTGAGGTGCTCGTCGCCCGTACCGGCGATCTTGGAGTCCTTCGGTACGGCAATCGCAGGCGGCGTATTGTAGTACTTGTTGGAGAAGTCGACTTTTTGCAGACGCTCTTCGGTTATAGACATGGAAGCGATCACCGCGTCAAACTTGCCCGCCTGCAGAGCAGGGATCATGCCGTCCCAGTCCTGCACGACAAATTCGCATTCAACTTTCATTTCTTCGCAAAGCGCCTTGGCGATGTCGACGTCGAAACCGACAAGCTTGCCGTCGGATGTCAGCGAGTTGAATGGAGGATAGGCGCCTTCTGTCCCGATACGTACCTTCGACCAGTCTTTCGCCTCGGCCGCACCAACGGCAGCCAGAACAGCAACAGCTGCTGCAGCCATACGCAAAACACGCATATTATATTCCCCTATTATTTTTTCGCAGCGCAGACGGGTTCGTCCCGCCTTTTTGCTCGATGGCTCTATTCCATACACTTCGAACCAAATTTCAACCGTTCCTGCGAAAAAAACACAGTGCAGCGCATGGTTTTATGCAATTTATAGGTGTGTATCTTTGGGGAAAGCATCGACAGGCTGCGAAACAGGCTTCGATAATCGGAGCAGGTCGGCAAACTGTTGAACGATCTGCTCATGACACTCACCCCGTTTGCTGCCGGCAAGAACGAAGGATCAAACTTGTTCATCAAAACCATGAAACACTTGAATTTGTGTCGCACGCCCGGACGCTTTAAGCAATTTCACATGTTAATTTCCAACTTGATCGCGCAGCCGATAATTTTTCACTGCCGATAACTGGGGGACAGGATGACATCTTTCGAACTCTTCATCGGAAACAAAAATTATTCCTCCTGGTCATTCCGGCCGTGGATTGCGTTGAAGCACAAGGAGATTCCGTTTGAGGAATCACTGGTTCCATTTGATTTTGAAAATGGCAATCCGAAGTTCCGTGCCTTTTCTCCCAGCATGAAGGTACCCGTTCTGCAAGATGGCGACCTGACGGTCTGGGACAGTTTGGCGATCCTTGAATATGCGGCCGATTGTTACCCTGAAAAGGGTCTTTGGCCGGCGGACAAGGCAATGCGTGCCCGGGCAAGAGCGATTGCTTCCGAAATGCACTCTGGCTTCAGCGCGTTACGTGGAGCTTGTCCGATGAACATGCGCCGCCCGGTGGAATTGCTTACCGTCGACGAGGCTGTCAAGGCCGACGTCAGCCGGATTGTCGAGATCTGGAGCGAGTGTCTGGAAAAGTCCGGAGGGCCATTCCTCTTCGGAGATTTCACCATCGCCGATGCCATGTACGCACCTGTCGTCAGCCGGTTCGTGACCTATACGCTGACGCAGTCGCCTGTCTTCGAGAAGTATCGTGCTGCAATGACCGAAACAGCTGCCTGGCAGACATGGGAAGCCGATGCTTTGAAGGAAACTTGGTACGTGGCCGTGGACGAAATCTAGGCCTCTCTATCGCTTCAGGGACAAGCATCACCACGGCAAGGACTTTCAGTCATAGAGATGGCCGGCCGAGCCATCCAAAGCTCCCATATCCTTGAAGTAGTCCTGCAACCGGTCGACGAACCGGCGTACCTTGAATGGTATGAACCGGTTGGAGGGATAGACCGCGTGGATCGGGTGAGGCGGGTATTGCCATTCGGGCAGGACCAGTTTCAGCTCTCCTGTTTTCAGGTAGGGTTCGATCATCCAGCGATTGGCTATGGTTATGCCGAGACCTGCCAGCGCCGCCTGACGCAATGTGGAAGAGTTGTTCACGATCATTGTCGGATTGATCTTGATCGAAAGTTTCTCTCCGAGTGTGCTGATGAAAGGTACGTGGTCTCCGGTCGAGATGTTCTTGTAGAGCAGGTAGTCGTGATCCTTCAGCTCTGCCGGATGAACGGGCTGGCCGTTCCGCTCGAGGTAGTCAGGCGAAGCGACCAGACATCGCCGGGCGACACCAAGTCTTCGCACGATCAGGCGTTCGTCCTTGATCTCTCCCATCCGGATGGCGACGTCCAAACGTTCCTGGATGATGTCCACGAACTGGTCAGACAGGGACACGTCCAGCAGCAAGCAGGGATGTTCTTTCTTGAAGCGGATCAGGAAATCGGCGAGCACGCTTTCAGCAAAGCCAAGCGGCAGACCGATCGAAAGCGGACCTGACATCTGTGTTTCGTCACTTTGAACGGCCCGGTCGGCCTCCACCAGCCGGTCGAGGATGTCACGCGCATAGACATAATATCGCTCTCCGGCTTCCGTGAGGCGAAGCTGCCGTGTCGTACGGTTCAGCAATCGTGTCCCCAACTGGTCCTCCAGACCGCGAATCTGCTGGCTGATTGCGGGCTGCGAAACGCCAAGGTGTTTGGCGGCGGCTGAAAAACTTCCCAGATTCACGGACTGTACGAAACCTGAAAGTGCACTGAGCTTGTCCATATTGGCCTTTGCATCGAAAACGCACATCGTTGCAGCTATATATAAATAGTACTTATGAGTTTTATAAGGTTTACCGCTCTTCAAAATCAAATTGAATGAAACACCTATAAAAGAGCCCCATCGGAGTCACGATCGGGGCTTCTCAGTAATATCTTTATCAGGTCAAGCCGGGAGGCAGTTCATGACCAAATCCGACATTTCTCTTTCCAGACGAACCATGCTGGGCGCAGCCGCCGGGGCAGGGGCTTTTGCAGCTGCCGGCGGTGTCACCCTTGTTTCCGGTGTTGCAAATGCAGCCGCTCCCAAAGCTGGCGAACCGATGGCGGGGGCGCTTCGCTACAAGGTAGGCGACATGGAAGTCACCGCGCTTCTGGACGGTTACCTTGATGTGACACCGGAAGTTGTCGTCGGCTACGATGCCGCAGAAGGTGAAAGGCTCCGCGACGAGGCATTCATTGAAGGAGACGCTCTGCGTATCCCGGTAAATGCGTATCTCGTCAATACCGGTGACCGTCTCGTTCTTGTCGACGCAGGCACGTCAGATGCACTCGGTCCGACTATGGGACGTCTGCCCTCAGCCCTGAAAGCTGCAGGCGTATCACCCGACCAGATCGATGCCATCCTGATCACACACATGCATCCCGATCACCTGTTCGGCGCGATCGATGGCGATGGCAACAGGGTCTTTGCCAACGCGGAACTGATCCTGCCGGAAGTCGACAACGCTTTTTGGTTTGACGATGCCGCAATGAACGGTGCCCCCGAGCAGTTCAAGCCATTCTTTCTTGGCGCACGCCGCGCTGCGGAAGCCTACAAAGGCAATCAGACCCTGTTCTCCGGCGACAAGGAACTGATGCCGGGCGTTCAGGCAATGGCATTGCCCGGGCACACGCCGGGACACACCGGATATGTTTTCGACAGCAACGGCGAAACGCTGGTAGTTGCCGGCGATATCATTCACATGACGGTCTACCAGTTCGACAAGCCAGGATGGGGTATCGGGTTCGATATTGATTCAGGACAGGCCGCCGAGACCAGAAAGAAGTTTTTTGATCAGGCCGCTACCGACAAACTCTTCTTTGCAGGCGCGCATATCCCGTTTCCGGGGATGGGACGCGTTTCCAAGGCAGGGGACAGCTACCGGTTTGTTCCGGCCAGTTGGCCTTACGCCTACTGATCTAAGACCATCCAGAAACCCGGCGGGAAACTGCCGGGTTTATCTGATGCCGAAGCCGGAAAACGGCAGAAACGTAACCATGTCACCCTTGCCGATTGCCGTGACCTCTTCCGGGATCTCTATTAGTCCGTCCGCCTCACGCAAACCGGTGATCAGACCCGACCCATCGCGCATGAACTTGTGCGCCACAGTGCGGCCTTCGCCGTCTGTGTCCAGGTATCCACGGTAAAACTCGCGTCTGTCCGGTTTCTTCCTGGAAATTTCAAATGCGGAAGGCATCTGGAAGGCTTGTGGCTCCCTGAAAGCCCCCCCCGACAGCAGGCTTATGACCGGTTGCGCATATAGGAGGAAACAAACCATCGCAGCGACCGGATTGCCGGGAAGCCCCAGGAACACACAGGCCCCGATGTTTCCGAACATCATCGGCCTGCCGGGCTTGATGGCAAGTTGCCACATGTGCCGGTTCCCAAGCATGTCAAGAACATTGAGGACGTGGTCTTCTTCACCTCGGCTGGCGCCTCCGGTTGTCAGAATGACATCAAACCTGTCGGCAGCGTCTCTTAGAGCAGCCTCGACAGTAGCCATATCATCCTTCAGGATACCGAGATCTTCAATTTCCACGGGGACGGTGGATGCCAGACCGCGCAACAGATAGTGGTTGGAATCGTACACATCACCAACGGTGATCAGGTTACCCGGGCGCCGCAACTCGTCGCCGGTTGATATCAACGCGACCTTGAGTTTCCTGTAGACACTCACTTCTGCCTGTCCGGTTGAAGCAATGGCGGCAAGATCCTGCGGACGCAACTTTTGGCCAGCGGTCAGAATGGACGTGCCCTCTGCGACATCCTCTCCGGCTTTCCGGCAATTTGCGCTCCACTTCAAGCCCTGCGGTACTATGACAAATTCTTCTCCGTCCTGGCTGTGCGTTTCACAGTCTTCCTGCATCGCGACAGTATCAGCTCCAGGCGGCATGACGGCGCCGGTGAAAATCCGCGCAGCTGCCCAGGGGCCAAGCGTTTCGGCACTTGCGTGACCGGCTGCAATCCGTTGCTGAAGTCTGAAAAACCCTCCGGATTCATCAAAGTCAGCATGCCGGAAGGCATAGCCGTCAACGGCGGAGTTATCTGCGAGCGGGATGTTGCGCGAAGCGGTTATGTCTTCGGCAAGAATCCGTTCAAGTGCATCCTCCAGTTTGACAAGTTCGGTCCCTGCGATCGCAGTGAGCCTGCTTTTCAGGATCGCCAGGGCCTCGTGGTGCCGTAACCTGTCCTTGTCGTGCAAAAAGCAGTCGTCAAGCAGGGGCTTGCCAGTCATAGCCGCGACCTTTTGAGATCCAGGTGGTGTTGAATGAAATCCGCCATTGCCGAAATGTCATCGAGGTCGAACACCGGCAAGCTTTCATCAGGCAGCTGGTGGTCGGCTGCAATGGCCAGTATGTTCGGATCCTGAGGTGCCAGCGGTCCGCGGTCCAGCGTTTCTGTTCGTCGGGCTTCTATTTTCGGATGGTCTTCACGCTTGTAGCCTTCAATCAGAATGAGATCGCAGGGTGCAAGGCGGGACAGTATATCCTTCAGCGTCGGTTCATCTTCATTTCTGAGCTCGTGCATGAGCGCCCAACGGCGCCCGGAAACCAGGGCGACTTCGCTCGCACCTGCCTCCCTGTGGCGATAGCTGTCGGCACCGGGCCTGTCGATATCGAAATTGTGGTGCGCGTGCTTGACGGTGGAGACTTTGAAGTTTCGGGCCGTGAATTCCGCAACAAGCCGGGTAACGAGCTGTGTCTTGCCGGAGTTCTTCCAGCCTGTGATGCCAAAGACGGGTGTTGCTGTCATGAGATGCGGGAGCTCAGGGTATCGCGAACGGTCGCCAGATCGTCGGGTTTGTTTGCATTGAAGAAAGGATCTAGGCCTGTTGCCGGATCAGGGTCGAAGGAAACTTCCACACTGTCGTGCCGGTCGACGAATGCGAGAACTTTTCCGCTTTGACCGGTTTCAAGCCAGGTGTGGAGATCATCCTTGAGTGCGACCGGCCACAGACCGAAGACAGGGTGAAGCTTGCTCGATGACGACGCCAGCGCGATCACCGGCTTGTCGGCAGGAACCGAGGAACACAAGCGGTCCACCAGGTTCGTCGGGAAAAACGGTGTGTCACCGGCGATGGAAACCACGTGGCTGACATCGGGTCTTTGCGCCTTCGCATGCGTCAGTCCGGCAAGAACACCGGCGAGAGGCCCTGCATAGTCTCCGACCGGGTCCGGGATGACCGGAAGGTGGAATTTCGCAAAGCGGTCCGGATCACCGTTGGCGTTCAGGACGATCTCGGACACCTGTGCAGATAGTCTATCCAGGATCACGTCGAGCATGGATTTGCCACCAACATCCAACAGGCTTTTGTCACCGCCCCCCATGCGCCTGGACTGTCCGCCCGCCAGAATGCAGCCGAGAACCTTGTCGACGGTCAAGGCAGTGCGCTTCGCCATCATCGTGCAGTCATGCTCCCCTTGCGTTTCACCTTGGCTGGCTCGTCTTCTGCCACCTCCGGGTCCATGTCAAACTCAATTCGCTCTGCCCCTGCAAGCGCAACGAAACGCTTGCCGCGCGCCCGGCCGATCAGTGTCAGTCCGGACTGGCGCGCAAGTTCAACGCCCCAGGCAGTGAAACCGGACCGGGAGACAAGTATTGGAATGCCCATCATCACCGTCTTGATGACCATCTCGGAGGTCAGCCGGCCGGTGGTATAAAAAATCTTGTCGCTTGCCGGAATGTTGTTCAGCACCATCCAGCCGGCGATCTTGTCGACGGCGTTGTGCCGCCCGACATCTTCCATGTAGACAAGTGGTCTGTCTTCCCGGCACAGCACGCATCCGTGGATCGCACCGGCTTCCAGGTAGAGCGACGGTGTCGTGTTGATGGATTTGGTAAGTGCGTAAAGCCAGGACGTCTTGAGATTGGCCTCTTGTGGCAGCGCGACCGTATCGAAACCTTCCATGACATCGCCGAAAACTGTTCCCTGCGCGCAACCGGACGTGCGCACCTTCTTTTTGAGCTTCTCCTCGAAGTTGGTTTCCCGCTCGGTCCGCACGATGACAACGTCGATATCGTCGTCATGGTCAATGCCGGTGATGACATCGTCCTCGGCAAGCATGTTCTGATTTTTCAGGTACCCGACGGCAAGCAGATCCGGATGATCGCCAATGGTCATCATCGTGACGACTTCCTGCGAATTCAGGTAGAGCGTAAGAGGTTTTTCGGTAACAACCCTGGTATCAACCGTCTGGCCATTCTGGTCGATGCCGCTGACAGAGGTCGAAAGCCTTGGATCCAGCGGATTGGGTTTCAGCACGTAAGGGCCTGACAACAGCGCGCGACTCCATATGTGTTTGTTTTGGAAACACTATGGGAGGGTAAAGCAGGAGGGCAAGGTCTTAAAGGCTGAAAATGCGGTGATCGGCTCACCGCTCACGGGCATTGTTGCTGCGATGAGCAACACGCGGATCGTGTCGATCGAGGAAAGAGCAGGGTGTTGAGACCGGCTCCTTGCAGCATTGATCGCATAGAGTGCTCGACAAGCTGAAGCAGGTATTCCTCGTCAGATGCCTGTCGGCGCCCGGCCTTCAGATCATGAGCATGTCGTTCGTCAGCCTGCCTGCCTGAAGTTCAGTCGCAAAATGGCTGAAGGCCAGATAGGCCTCGTCCCTCGTAACGTCGCCCGGGTGATCCAGCAGCGGACGCAATACCGGATGGTTGGATGCCGCGATGCCGTCAGTCAGATCCCGGAAGAACATAAGTGAATTTGGAAACAGGCGAAAATCGACCGGCTCGTGGATGATGCCTTCGATATCATTCATGCGCGGATCGTTCATGACACAGTAGACCGTGTCCAGAACTTGGCCGGTTTGGCCTTCCAGAACCTGAATGACGTGTTGATCCACCAGCAGAAGCGCTCCGGTAACACCAGCCTTGCGGTTGATCCGACGGATCCTGAGCAATGTGCGATCGATCTCGTCGGGAAGGGGCAAGCGCATGTTGTCCCATTTGATTTTGCTGCGATAGCAGGCGCGGTAGAGCTCCATTGCATGTCCAATCTTTTTTGCCGATGGAACCAGCCTGCGCCTCAATTCCTCACATTTGCTTAAAATGTTAGTCAAACTCAAAGAAGAGAGTGGGAAATTACACTTTGGCTGCAAAGTTATGGGGAAAAGTGTGCTTCACAGATGTATTCTTGGTTAAAGAAAGCTTTGGATAATTTCGTCCGCTAATCTTTATGTGGATAAGAGCGTCACCGTTCTTCTGCAAGCTTGAAATCCAGCCCCGTTCTTACCGCTGGCCATTCATGAGACAGAATCGAATAGACTGCGGTATCTCGCAATGAGCCGTCAGACGTGCGTTGATGCGATCTCAGGACGCCATCCAGCTTGGCGCCCAGACGTTCGATTGCCGCTCGGCTTTGGCTGTTCATGAAATGGGTGCGAAACTCTACCGCGATGCAGTCAAGTTCTTCAAACGCATGGGCCAGCAGCATGCGTTTGCATTCGGTGTTGACCGGCGTGCGCTGAACGGCTTTGCAGTACCAGGTTGAACCGATTTCAACTCTTTTGTGCACGGGATCAATGTTCATGTAAGTCGTCATTCCGACGGCCTTGCCGTCGGGGGTGAGTACCGAAAACGGCAGCATGGACCCGATATGCTGGAGAGAAAGTCGCCGATCGATTTCCTCGCGCACAAGGTCTGGCCTGGGCACTGATGTGTACCAGGCTTTCCAGAGATCTCCCTCGGCTGCCGCTTCCGCGAGGTCGTCAGCATGACAATAGGCTAGGGGTGCAAGCGTCACGTGCGTCCCGGTGAGGGTGAGAGGGTGGGGCCAGCTCATGTCGATGCTCCAGGGTTTTTCGCGTGGTTGGTTCAGAAGGGACGCTCTTCGCCTGTCCATTTGAAGAACTTGCCCGTGTCTGCGAGTTCGAGTGATCGTGCAACGTTCAAGATTCCCGCCGCAACCTCGCTTGGACAGTTGTCGGCAGCAGGCCCGCCCATTGATGTACGCACCCAGCCCGGATCGATCAGTGCTACTGGAATACCGTCTGGCTCGAGGTCGGTCGCCAATCCTTGCATGACCTTGTTCACGGCTGCTTTGGAGGCACGGTAAGCGAGCGTGTCCGCCTTTCGATATCCCATCCATGACATCTGGCTCGATATTGTCAGTATTCTGGCCGCGTCTGATCTGCGAAGGTGAGGTAGAAACGCTTGCGAGACTGCCAGCGGCGCGAGAGTGTTAACTTCCAGTGTTCGCAAAAATCCTGCGAAATCCATGTCGAGCGGGGTCTGTCGCTCGGGTGTGATGATACCCGCGTTATTGATCAAAAGCTCGAGACGGTCGTCAAGCTTGCGTGCCGCCGCGTGCAACGCGGAATGGTCCGTCACGTCAAAAACAACGGGTACATAGTCTTTATTGATGCCCAGCTGTTCCGCGGATTGTCGAGCGGCACTCTCGGATCTGACTGAGCCATAGACCTTCCAACCATCGGAAAGAGCTGCTCTGGCAAGTTCGAAACCGATCCCGCGATTGGTCGCGGTGATAAGGCATGTTGGCATTTGTTTTCCTGAAGGTTTGAAGCCGGGATGCAGAAACTGGCGAGAATCTGACTGAAAAAGATTATCTGTCGTGATCAAGGGTGCAACCCGATCGAGTGTATTTTGTAGCATTTGCGAAGGTTCAAGGATATTTCGGGCGTGCACGAACGCGTGCAGCATTTTGGCAGGTTGTTTTTGCTGCCAAGGAAATTAGATTTCCGTCGAAATAGTCGGCCCTGAGAACTTGGGCTGGCGGCAACACAGGACGAGGCAATGAGCGACACAATAAAAAGCGCCGTCATCGAACAACTGCGGCAGATAAAGGGCCCGGATCTGGAAGGTGACATTGTTTCGCTCGGCCTTGTGTCGGACGTTTTTGTTTCCGACGGCCGCGTTGCATTTTCGATCACTGTTCCGGCCGCGCGGGCGCAGGAACTGGAACCTTTGCGACAGGCTGCCGAAAAGGTGGTCAAGGAAGTTGAGGGCGTGGAAAATGCGATGGTGGCACTCACGGCGGAACGCGCTCCCGGTGGAGACCGCAGCACCCCGCCGAAGCCGGCACCGCGTCAATCGCAACGTGGACCCGACGAGCAGGCTGCCCCGAAACCTGGTGTGCCCGGTATCAGGCACATCATTGCGGTGGCCTCGGGCAAGGGTGGCGTCGGAAAATCGACGACAACTGCAAATCTCGCACTGGGGATGGCGTCGAACGGGCTGAAGGTAGGTGTTCTGGACGCCGACATTTACGGGCCTTCCGTTCCGCGGCTCTTCAACGTTTCCGGAAGACCGGAAACTGCGTCAGGACGTGTTTTGAAGCCGTTGGAAGGATACGGCATCAAGGTGATGTCGATGGGGTTCATGGTTGAAGAGGAAACACCCATGATCTGGCGCGGGCCGATGGTCATATCGGCGTTGACACAGATGCTGCGGGAAGTTGCCTGGGGTGATCTCGATGTCCTCGTGGTCGACATGCCTCCGGGAACCGGCGATGCGCAGCTGACGATGGCGCAACAGGTTCCTCTGGCAGGTGCCGTCATCGTTTCGACGCCGCAAGACCTTGCGCTGATCGATGCGCGCAAGGGCTTGAACATGTTCAAACGGGTTGATGTGCCGGTTCTTGGCATTGTCGAGAACATGAGCTACTTCCTTTGCCCGGACTGCGGCGGACGTCACGATATCTTCGGCCACGGAGGTGCGCGCGCGGAAGCAGAACGGCTCAAGGTACCGTTTTTGGGCGAGGTTCCGTTGACGATGAAGATCAGGGAAACGTCGGATGCGGGAACACCCATTGTCGTATCCGATCCGGAAGGACCGATGGCCGCCATCTACAAGGACATCGCAAGCAAGGTCATGTCGACGATCGACAATCCGGAAGGCGCGGCAGGAAGGGCTGCACCGCAGATCGTATTTGATTGAGAATTGAGAACTCAGTTGCGGTGGCCGGATTGAAATCCGGCCACCGCAACGTTGTTTGATCAAGCTATTTCCCTGTTTTCAGACCTGTTTTCACCGGGACGGATCAGGCCTTGATATTGACTGAGGTCGTGCCGGAAAATCCATGAGTTTCTTGTTATTGCCCGCGTTGGTACCAGTTTCACGCGCGGATCACGCCCTGTCTGTAAGTTACCTCTCGTTGAGTCTTCGTATAATTTCAATCCTATGTAGAGGGTGTGTCTCCGCGCATGGATTCCCGCCAGGCAGAGCAAAAGAGTGTTGAGGGAAGACCCTCTCTCGGCATGCTGATTGCGATTTCGACAATGAGCCCGTTGGCGATGCAGATTTATCTGCCGTCATTGGCCGGGATGATGGTTGTCTTTTCAGCTTCATCAGGTGAAATCCAGCTTTCCATGTCGGCGTTTTTCATTGCGGTTGCGGTCTCGCTATTGTTCTGGGGGCCCTTGTCGGACCAGTTCGGGCGCCGTCCCGTCATCATCATTGGAATGTTTCTGTTCGTTGTCGGAAGTATCCTCTGCCTGATCGCCTCCACGATTGAAGCCCTGATAGCAGCACGTGTTCTTCAGGCCGCAGGAGGCTGTACGGGATTGGTGCTTGGTCGCGCGATCGTCAGAGATCTTTACGGGCCGCGGCAATCGGCAAGCATGATCGGCTATGTGACGATGGGAATGGCTGTCATACCGACCATAGCCCCCGCGATCGGTGGCATTCTGGACCAGTTCTACGGCTGGCAGGGCGGGTTTTTTCTCTTGCTGATAATTGGAATTGTCGTGCTGGTGGCAAGTGTTCTGTATTTGCCGGAAACCAACAAGACACGCACCTCTATCGGTCCGGGTCAGGTCCTTCGCTCATACCGGCTCCTCATGAAAGAGCCGCTATACTGGAGCTACGCACTTACGGCAGCGTTTTCCGCACTGACCTATTTCGCCTATCTTGGCGGCGCTCCGTTCATAGCAGCGCAACTCCTCTCGTTGAGCGCTGCCGAAATGGGCTTCTATTTCATGTTCGTCGCGCTCGGATACATCGTCGGAAACTATATTTCCGGCAGGTTTGCCGAACGGATCGGGCTCTATCCAATGATCCTCGCAGGCACTCTTATCGCCGCGCTGTCCGTCGCGCTTATCGCCGGGTTCGCCGCATGCGGAATCGTAACCGCTGCAAGCTTGTTTCTGCCGATGTTCGTTCTTGGTCTTGGCAACGGCGTCTGCCTGCCGAGCGCGATTTCGGGTGCTGTCAGTGTCCGGCCCGAACTTGCAGGTGCAGCTTCCGGACTTGTTGCCTCCATGCAGGTCGGCATGGGGGCGATTGCAGGCTCGCTGGTCGCCTGGTTGTTTGCCGACAGTTTTCTGGCAGGTTCGCCCTGGAGCATGATTTGGGTTATGGCGATGGGAATCGTCATGAGCCTGCTGGCTGCACTATCCATCAAACGCGCAGCCACAATGCGAGAACTGATACCTGCAGAGTAAGACTGCGCTTTCAAGGACCGGGGGGCGGAGAAACCCGGGTGCTAGCCGCCGGTGACGCTCATGTGACGTGAAACGGCAGGTTGTCTGGATTTCCTGTCAATCACGAAGTCATGCCCCTTCGGTTTGCGACCGATAGCCTCGTCGATGGCATTGTTCAGAAGATCGTTGCCCTCTGAAGCACGCAGCGGCTCGCGAAGGTCTGCCATGTCGTCTTGACCCAGGCACATATAGAGCTGTCCGGTGCAGGTGATGCGGACACGATTGCAACTTTCACAGAAATTATGTGTCAAAGGCGTGATAAAGCCCAACCGGCCGCCTGTTTCCTCGATCGTGACATATCGCGCCGGACCTCCTGTCTTGTACGGGATGTCCGTAAGCGTGAATTTTTCGGCGAGTCCTGCCCTTACAGTGGACAATGGGAGATACTGGTCCGTGCGGTCCCCATCGATTTCTCCAAGCGGCATGGTTTCGATAAGGGTCAGGTCATGTCCCTGTTCGTGGCACCATTGCAGCATCGGGACGATCTCGTGTTCGTTCACATCCTTGAGCGCAACCATGTTGATCTTGACCTTCAGCCCGGCATCGGTTGCGGCACGAATGCCGTCCATGACCTTGCCAAGATTGCCCCAACGGGTGACGGCCTTGAATTTCTGGGCATCAAGCGTGTCGATGGAAACATTGATCCGCCGGATGCCGCATTCGTATAGCTCGTTCGCATATCGGGCGAGCTGCGAGCCGTTCGTCGTAATGGTCAATTCTTCGAGAGCACCACTCTCAAGATGTCGTCCGAGGCTCCGGATCAGGCTCATGATGTTCTTGCGCACCAGTGGCTCACCACCGGTCAGGCGGAGCTTACGGACACCTTTTTCGACAAATGCAGTGCAGAGACGGTCCAGCTCTTCAAGACTGAGAACCTCCCGCTTCGGGAGAAATGTCATGTCTTCCGCCATGCAATAGACACAGCGAAAATCACAGCGGTCCGTAACCGATACCCTTAAATATGTAACGGCACGGCCGAAGGGATCGATCATCGGTGACGGTAGACCTGCAGCGTCCGAACCTTCTGAAGGAATAACAATCTTACCGTCTGTCACGCTCTGCTCTCCCACAATTTCTTCTTTATTGACCACATCATATGGCGCGACCGGAAACAATATCAATTTGTTCCGGACATTCGTTATCTGCATTCAGCCAACAGGTAAACTTGGCAGTGTATTTTTGTCAATCCGGCCGAAATTGTCCTTTAGTCCCGATTGACGTCAAGAACAGCCCGAATGTCTGCAAGATCAGGAACGAGAGCCCGGATCTTGTCTTCGGGGTAGCGCGCGCGAAAGGCCTCGATATCGGGGTCAATCGATCTGATCGCCTCGTCTCTGAACCGGCGGCCCGCATCCGTCAGCCAGACAGTTTTGCTCCGACCGTCCTCGGGGTTCGGACGAATTTCAACAAACCCGTTTTCCGCCAACCCGTTCAGGGTGTGGGTCATAGTTGTCTTGGGCACCTGGAACGCTCTGGCAATGGCAAGTGGCGTTTGCCCGTCTCTGACCCGGATCAGATGGTTGATCACGCTGAAGTGGGGCAAGGTCAGCCCCTTTGGCAGTCGTGCTTCGAGTGCGGTACGGCTCAACTGCGCTATGATGCCGATTTCATTGAAAAAGCTGAAGAACAGGGTTCGTGTTTCGTTATTCATTCATGATCCGTGTCGCAAGTGGCCACCGGGGAGTAGGGGGCGTCATTGGGCCGTATCCCAATCTACCCAGCATCTGAACAGTTTCTCCGGGATTGGCAAGTAACTCGTGCGCCTGACGGTAGTGCGGTTCCATCTCATCAAACTCCTGCAGGGCCTGACTGACCGGATGCAGGGCCAGGCCAAGCCGCGTCGTTTCCAGATTCAATCGAAGCCAGCGCCGGCCTGCGTCGATCTGATCTTTCCGGTTGTTTTCTGATGTTGTCAGCGCAATATAGGCCGGTGTGGCCGCCAGCATTTTCCGGTAGAGCTTTATCCCTTCCTGGAAACCGGTCGTCGTCGGGTCCAGCTGGTTTTCACGAGTCAGAATCCCTGCAAGCATGAGGCTTTCCAAAAAGGGTCCGCCCAGGTCGATACCGTCAGGATCGGCGTTGATTTCGGTTTTGCCGAAGCGCATCAGGTCCACGCTTTCCTTCAGCGTGCGATGGGTGTGCATTTCCGTCAGCCATGCCTCCCAGGTGAGTGCCTTTATGCGGTCCACCTCCCCATTTTTGGTGAAAACCGTACCGTACCTGCCGAGTTCGATTGCGATTTTCTCTGGAACCGGTTTGTCCAGATACGGTTCCTTGCAGGATCGACGCGCAAGAATGTGATCAGCCAATGGGTCAACATCACCACCTTCTGCCAACTGAACCCGCGCAATCGGGTCAGCTGGGCTTTCCGGAAACAGCTCAATTTTTGCAGTCCTGTTTCGCAGGGTAGCGGCAATCGTCATCAATTCGAGAAAACAACCGAGGCCGACAAAGATCTGTCGGTGATACGGGTCGGTATGGGGAAGGTCCCGGGTCTTGTCCCGATAGAGTGTGAACTGATTGTCCTTTTCCAGATCGATCAGCCACGGTTGCCTGTTATGGGGATTGGGGGCAAGTAGCGCGTATGAGAGCGCGAAAAGTCGGGGGTCTTCATAGTCCCCTGCAGCATTCCAAGGGGCGAGCGCCTTGGAAGGCGTCCTGGTCATCGCAAATGCTCCGGCCGCTGCGCCTGTTGCCACGATAAGTCCGCCACCAAGAAGTGCCAGGGTTTTTCTGCTGGAAAGTGTCATTGAAGACTCCATTAGTACGATTTCGTACAAGTTAATACGATTTCGAACTAAAAGCAATTTCTTCTTTGAATATTAAAAGCGCACGACGCTTGAAATAACACTAAATGGTGTTATATATTATGACACCAAAAGGTGTTGTAAGGAGGGTTCGATGAAAATTGGCAAAATGTTCCAGGCAATTGCAGCCGCCATTGTGCTGGGATCAACTGCGTCAGAAGTGGCGGCTTCGGAAATCAGGTTGTCGATTCAACAGGCGCTGTCCTGGGAAACAACTGTTGAGGGTGTGGCCTTCGCACCATTGAAAGGCAATCGCTTCAAAGAAAGTTACATGGCGATGGTGCGTTTGCCGGCAGGTCTTGTCAGTCCGGTTCATATGAAAAGCGCAGGGATGTATGGCCTCGTCGTTTCCGGACAAATGGTCCACTTGTCCGGTAGCGCTCCGGATGGTGCAGAAACAGTTCTAGGGGCCGGCGACTATTATGAGATACCGGCGGGAGTGGCACATGTGAGCAAATGTGTCTCTGCGGTGGAATGTGTGACATTTCTTTACCAGGACGGGCCCTTTGATTTTCTGTCGATCGTTGAGGATCGCAAATGAATACCGGTCCTCAGGAGGTTTTCCGTGCATTGTCAGACCCGACCAGACGTCAGATTCTCTTGTTTCTGGCACAGGAGGATCTGGCGATTTCCGATATCGCCGAACGCTTCGATATCACCCGGACAGCGATCAACAAGCACTTGGCCATCCTCGAGGAAGGAGGGCTCATCAATAGCGAGGTAAGTGGACGGGAGCGTCGAAAGAGCCTCGCGCCCAAATCACTGAAGTCGGCATTTGAGTGGCTAGGGTATTTCGAACAATTCTGGGATATCAAGCTTGCCGATTTGCAGCGTGAGATTTCCAGGGACATGAAAGAAAAGAAGGAATCGGGAAAATGAGTACAACAACGATCACAAAGACCATTTTTCTGGAAGCGCCTCGCGCGGTCGTGTGGACGTTCCTGACCGAGAAGGAAAAACTGGCACGCTGGTTTCATCCGGCAGAACACGATCTCAGGGAGGGAGCAGACTACACGCTGCTTGACCATCACGGCGACATGTCCCGGATCTGTTGGGGCAAGGTGTTGGAGATGCGCCCTTACGACAGCCTGGTTTACACGTTCACAGTAAAACCCCTGAAAGGCGCCATGACCACCGTGCGATGGACGCTCGAAGACGCAGCGGGAGGAACCAGATTGACGCTATCGCATGAGGGCATTGAACAGGCCGCCGGAGAAGCCGCATTCATGATGCTCAGCGCGTTGGATGCGGGTTGGGACGTACACTTCGGCAAGTTCCGCGAGGCAGCCAAGATACCTGTAGCCGCATAGATCGGCCGCCGGAAAGCGGAAACCGGTGCCACCGGCACCGGTTGTTTTGCTGATCCATCCGCTGGCTCCGACGTATTCCTTTGTGGCACAACATTTTGAGGCAGCATGACAACACTGGTTTGGTTCCGGCAGGACCTGAGGACAACGGACAATCCGGCGCTTTTTGCAGCCGCGGAAAGTGGATCTGTGTTGCCCGTCTTTATCCATGAAGATCCTCAACAGACAGGCGACACCCATCCCATGGGTGGAGCGAGCAAGTGGTGGCTCCATCAAAGCCTTACAGCCTTGAAACAAAAGCTGCCCGGCCTTGTGTTTCTGAAAGGTGACGCGCGACACCTGATCCCGAAACTTGCCAGGGACGCTGAAGTGTCGAACGTTTTCTGGAACAGGCGCTACGAACCGCACGCAATCGAGCGGGACACGGAAATCAAGGCCGTCTTGAAGGAAGAGGGGTTCAATGGAAAAAGCTTCAAGGCATCTTTGCTCTTCGAACCCTGGGAACTGAAAACCAGGACGGGCGGACCGTTCAAGGTTTATTCTCCGTTCTGGAAGACAGCGCAGAATTTGGAAGTACCTGATGCGTTGCCGGCGCCTGAGGAGATCAGGTTTGTGGAATGTCCGCTGAGCGGCCGGTTGGAAGATTTTGACCTGCTGCCTTCCAGTCCCGACTGGGCGGCCGGCTGGGAGGACATCTGGAAACCGGGTGAAGACGGGGCTTTGAAGCGTTTGAACTCATTTTTGACAACAGGTTTGCCCGGATATGGCGAACTGAGAAATCGCCCCGACCTGCAGAACGTATCGCGTTTGTCACCTCATATTCATTTCGGCGAAGTGTCGCCGCGCCAGATCTGGCACGAAACGCGAAAGCGGATGCTTTCCAATGCCGAAACCGGCAACGATGGCCATAAATTCCTGTCCGAAATCGCCTGGAGAGAGTTTGCGCATCATCTGCTCTATCATTTCCCCGACTTGCCAAGTTCCAACTGGCGATCGACATTTGATGCCTATCCGTGGCGCGAGGAGGCAGATGACCTGAAACGCTGGCAACGGGGTGAAACGGGTTATCCGATTGTTGATGCCGGCATGCGGGAGCTTTGGCAGACCGGATACATGCACAACAGGGTGCGCATGATCGTTGCGAGCTTTCTGGTGAAGCACTTGCGTATCCATTGGCATCATGGCGAGGCCTGGTTTCGAGACACTCTTTTGGATGCCGACCTCGCCAACAACTCTGCAAGCTGGCAATGGGTGACCGGGTCCGGAGCAGATGCGGCACCTTATTTCCGTATTTTCAATCCGATCACGCAAGCGCGGAAATTCGATCCCGAAGGGCACTATGTCAGACGATGGGTACCGGCACTGAAGAATCTTGAAGCCCCCCATCTGTTTGAACCCTTTAACGCGCCGCAAGCTGCACTGGAGCGGGCAGGGGTCGTTCTTGGGAAGACCTATCCGTTGCCGATCGTCGATCATGCTGCTGCAAGGCAGGCCGCGCTCGACGGTTATGCAAGCGTGAAAGCGGCGGGTCAAAACGCCGCTTGACGGGCAAACAAGAAAACGTATCGTCGCCGTCATGCAACGATCAACAGACACCCGGACGGGACCTTGATGACCGAAGAGAGCACTCCCTGGCCAACCGAATTGCGTGTCTCCAATGACAGGAAATCCCTGTCGATCGCCTTTGATAATGGCGAGCGGCATGAGCTGTCTGCGGAATATCTGAGGGTTTGCTCACCGTCTGCCGAGGTCAAGGGACACGCACCCTCTCAAAAGAAGACAATCCCGGGCAAGAGGAATGTTGAAATCATGAAGGTCGAGCCCGTGGGAAACTACGCGGTCCGCATTCATTTTGACGACATGCACAATTCCGGCATTTTTTCCTGGCGGTACTTTCTGGATTTGGGTCAACAACCGGAAAAACACTGGGGTGTCTATCTTGAGGAGTTGCATCAAAAAGGCTTGAGCCGCGATATCTAGGTGACGGTGTTTCTGGAAATCATCTGCCAGAATCAGTTAGCATCAGCTTAGGCTCGACCCACGCCTTCTCCCTCCAAACGGAGCAGCAGCTGACCTGCAGGGTGCTTGATGTTTGAACTGCCTGATCATGCGTTCGCATAAGGAGGGACTGCGCGTTTCGCATGTGGCTCAGGAGGTCGCAAATGCATCTGTCAGCTCCAATTTTCCGTCTGAAACGCAAGGCAAGACTTCTTGCACGCCGCGAAAACATTGCGCTTAGCCGGGCTCTGGATCGTATTGCCTCAACCGAGGGGTTCCAAAGTTGGGGGCAATTGGCGAGTTTCCATCATCGGTCGCGCCCGGAGGCTGCGATTTTCTCCAGCCTCAAGCCGGGCGAAATGCTGCTTCTGGCTGCCAGACCGGGCCAGGGCAAAACGGTTCTGGGACTTCAGTTGCTGTCACAAGCGTCCGCTCAAGGCTTCAATTCCGTTTTTTTGTCTTCAGAGTTTTCCCATGACGATGTCCAGGAGACCCTGGTGCAGGCCGGTATGGGTCGGCAACGCAGCGCCGCGATTGACATCGAGCTGTCGGACAACTTGTGCGCCGAAATGATCATTGAACGCCTGTCGGGAACGTCGGAAGAAACGATTGCAGTCGTCGATTACCTGCAGGTCCTGGATCAGCGTCGTGTAGCGCCCGAGCTTGCGGACCAGGTTGCTGCCTTGAGAAAACTTGCGGACACCAGCCATGTCCGTTTGGTGTTTTTGTCGCAGATCCACCGGTCCTATGATCCGTCGAAAAAGTCCTTGCCGGACGTGTCGGACATTCGGTTGCCGAATCCGGTCGATCTTTCGGTCTTTGACAAGGGGTGCTTCTTGCACAACGGTGAAATGACCCTTTGCTCGCTTTGAGCAAGGTGACAGGTAGCGAAACGACTGCTGCGGAAGCGGATGGTCCGGTCAGTGCAACGCCGTTCGTGGGGAATGATTGGCGTCACGACGAGGATTTCAAAAACGCCTTGAGTTCAGCGTTTTCTTCTTCCAGCGCCCGAATGCGGTTGCGCATAACGTTCAGGTCAGGGGCAAGTTCGGCAAGCGTGAACCGCTGTGGAATATGTTGCGGACAATTCCAGTCAAAGGCTTCAACTGTGAGCAAAATGACGCGCTCGGGAAGGCCCCTGTACCCCTTTTCAGTTACAGAGGCGGCAAGTGTTTCGTTTCCGGCAATCGTTTTCTGCTGAGCTTGCGCCCAGATTTTCAAGCGGGCGCGGTTCGGGTAATCCATCAGGATAATCGAAACGCGACTGTCCGAACCCAAGTTGCCGTGACTGATATATTGCCGGTTTCCACGAAAGTCCGCATAGGCGAGGGTCTTGTCGTCAAGTACTTTCAAAAAGCCGACAGGTCCGCCTCTGAATTGAACATAGGGCCATCCGCTTTCAGAAACTGTCGCCTGATAAAAGCCGTCCCGAGCCCGGATGAACTGCGCCTCGGCCGCGGTCAACCGGTCACCGCGATCGGCCGTCTCATCATCGAGCGCCGCATAACTCTCACGCGAACCTTGTTCGCTTTGTCTTTCCCTGACACCCTTGGTGAAGGCAATTTCAGTGAATGCACGGGTCATCGCACACGTTCCTTTTGAAGCGGGTAGCCACTCTCGTCTTTCAAAGCCCAAGCTCGCTGAGCCCGGGATGGTCAACGGGACGCGGGCCAATTGGCCAGTGAAATTTTCGCTCACTCCCGGAAATTGCCAGGTCATTGATGCTTGCATAGCGCCGGTGCATCAGACCGTTGGCAGCGAATTCCCAGTTTTCGTTGCCATAGGAGCGAAACCAGTTCTTGTCGCTATCATGCCATTCATATGCAAAACGAACCGCGATTCTGGTGTCCTCAAACGTCCAGAGTTCTTTAATCAGGCGGTACTCGTGCTCCCTTTGCCATTTACGTGTCAGAAATTCGATGACCTCGAGCCGGCCGACCGGAAACTCGGCGCGGTTTCTCCAGATGGTATCGGATGTGTAGGCCTGGGCGACCTTTGTGGGGTTCTGTCCGTTCCAGCCATCTTCGGCTGCGCGTACCTTCTGAATTGCCGTGTCGCGTGTGAAAGGTGGCAAGGGAGGTCTTTGTTCGGTCATTGGTTCAATTCCATGGCTAGGATTTGCGCTGAAGGCGTAGGCGTCGACGCCTTCATATGCTGCGTCTCGGCGGGATCGGCGCTCAAGGCAGCTATCACCAGCAGAGCCGCGGTCGTTGCGGCACCCACGACATAAAAACCACTCGGAAATGCGGGTCTAAGTGTGAACATGCAAACTCTCCTCTGGTGAAAAGTTCCATTATGTACTGATCTGTACACTCAATATATGTACCGATCAGTTCATTAAGTCAAGTGAAGTTTGATTGATCGCCAGGTCGTTCACACGATGCCAACTGCGCATTGCCTAATGAATTGGGTGCCTTGTGACTTGAACGAGCACTCGTATTGAACTATGTACAAACCAGTACAGAAAGGATCGTGATGCGCCCGAGCAAACGCGACGAACTGGTCAGAAAAGCCCTGCCGATATTTTATCGGGAAGGATTTCATGCCACGGGCATGGACGCACTGGTTGCCGAAACAGGCATTTCCAAAACGACAATGTTCAAGCACTTCCGCACGAAAGATGAGCTGATACTGGCAGTGCTTCGATACCGTGATGAAACGTTCCGGAACTGGTTTTTCCGCAAGCTTGACGATACAGCCTTGCCGCCGAAAGATCGCCTCGCAGCCATATTCGACATTCTGGAGGAATGGTTCGAGGAACCCGCGTTCAAGGGTTGCATGTTCATCAAGGCATCAAGCGAGTTTCAGGATCCTGATCATCCGGCATATGCACAGTCAGCCGAGCACAAGAGACTGTTGCAAACGGCATTCAGATCAATTTGTGCGGACGCCGGTGCGCATGATCCTGATCTGCTCGCCAGACAATTGCTGATCCTGAAGGAAGGCGCGATCGTTGCAGCGCACATGGGGTTTGATCCAGAACCCGCGGCGATTGCCAAAGCAACAGCTGAACAGCTGATCGCCAATCAGATCGATGTGTGATTTGGAATAACAAAGCGAACCAGGCCGCGGGATGGTCCCTGGAACAAAAAAGAAAAAGACCGGATCAATTGACCCGGTCTTTTTAGAAGCGAGGAGGTGTTCTGTTCAGCGCTTGACGACGATCTTGGCGCCGACAGTGACACTCTTGTAAAGGTGGATGACGTCTTCGTTTGCCATCCGAATGCATCCGGAAGACACTTCCGAGCCAATCGTCCACGGTTCGGTCGTACCGTGAATGCGGTAGAGGGTCGAACCGATATAGAGTGCACGTGCGCCCATCGGATTGTTCGGGCCACCAGGCATGTAGCTCGGCAAGATGCGGCCCTTCCTGCGTTCGCGTGCGCGCATCTGCGCCGGCGGTGTCCAGCTCGGCCATTCAGCTTTGCGAGTCACGCGGTGCGTTCCGGCCCACTGGAAACCAGTCTTGCCGACACCCACACCGTATTTCATTGCCTTGCCATTCGGCAGGACGTGATAAAGGCGGCGCTCCGAAGTATCGATAACAATGGTGCCCGGCGTATAGGGACCCTTGTAGCTGACTTTCTTGCGCCGTACAGGTGACTTGCCACCTGGATGATACTTGGGTGTCACCCAGGTATTGGTGCTGTGGTCGAAATATCCGGCTCGCGCTGATACTTCGGCCGGTAGCAGGAACGATCCTGCCAGAATTGCAATCATCGCATAAAAATAGGTCTTCATTTCTATCCCCCTTCAGCGCCTGCCCAGTTCAAGGCGCGCTACACATCGAAGGTTACGTTAGGAAAATCTCCTTGCTGCACTATTAACAATCATGGCCTAAAAATGATTGGAAGGGAATCTCACGTTGATGTGAGCGGATTGGACTTCGATCAATTGTGCCGCATTTGCAACGCGAATAGCGCCTTAAAGGCGTTTGGAAAAATTTTTCAATCAGAGATTGCCGGAATACCGTCGTTTTTGGAACAGACCGTTAGGCATTCGTGAAATTTTGGAACAGCCGAAGGTCGGGTCGAAGAATCAAAAGACGCTACCGGCTCGGGAATCAGGCGCTGAAGCGCAATTGTATGTGTGCTCAGTGACCGCCGCACGCTGCCTTGACCCTGTCGAATTCATGGTCATGCAGATCGCTTTCCTCGATCATGAAATCGAACTCACCGCCATCGCGGATGCTCATTTCCGCACCCCAGTCGTTGAACAACTGCAGCAGTAACTGCTCGGCGCTGTCATGCGGCAGGTTGAATTGCACCGAAGACAGGTGTCCGAACATCTGATGGTAACAGTTGCCTGAGCGGGCACCGGGAAATTCCGGGCACTTGATGCCATTTTCGTCTTTCAGAAAAACCGGGTGTCTGTCTGAGGCAGCGGCATACACCGCTTCGGGAACGAGTTTTGACAGGTTCGGACTTCCACCGGTTTCGGTGACCAGTCTGTGCAGGGCTCGCTCTATGTCGGCCTTCAGATAGGCGCTGTAGCGTTTGTCGGCGGCTTGTTCCAGAAAGTCGTTCAGATCTTCAATGAACGCATTGACCATTCGCTGTTCGAACTTGCTTTCCTTTAACGTCTCGGCTTGCATCTGCCAGTCTTCGAAACAGGTTTCAAATCCGGTTTCTTCCAGTTTTGCTCCGTGCCGGTTCCGCAGAATTCGGCAAATGAGCGACATTCCCCTTGGTGCAAAGGGAAAGCCCGTTTCGGAATGCGGCCTCAGGACAAGGGGCTTGCCTTCGGCACGCTCCTCTTCTGTTCTGGGCTGAAACAGATGAAATTCGCAAATGTCGGCATTGTCTGTTTCCATTGTGGCGAAGGCCGCTGTCAGCTGTGCCGTAAGATGATGTTTGTGAGCCGGATCATATCCCTCTGGGGAGGCAAAAGGCAGAGCTGCGCTCTCCGGCATGGTTTCGACTTTCGCAAAATTCAGCGGCCATTCCGGAAATACCCTGGTCTTCTCATCGCCCGGGAGGCCGAAAAGCAGGTCGAAATGATAGTTGCCGTCCTTGATGGGCGGCAGGTTTTTCGGGAAGGCTGTCGCAGTGCCGGAGTACTCTGCATCATAAAGAACTTGCATGTCGTTTTGGGGGGCGACATCCGGTTCAGCCCATGTGAGGCTCTCATCGAACCGGCCAAAAAAGAGCAGCAATCCCGTTTCTGGAATACCTTCCGGGCGCCAGGGAAGGTCTGCAAGATCTATCTGAGCAAGGAAATGCAGCGGCAGGCCGGCCTTCACGTGACCAGCGGCTCCGGGCGCTTTTGGCCACGGGACATTTTTGGGAAGACTCGGTAAGCCGCCAACCTTGCTGCGACCGTGTTTCTCGCGATGCGGCGGGTAAGGACGAAAGGCATAAACCGCGTTGCGGGCAAAATGCTCCCGCAGGCTGTCAAAGGACGCGTCCGGGTCGCCTTCTGAAACAGACGCCAGCTCCGGAACGATATCTTTTCTGACGGCGGAGGCAGGTTCCTCGCGTACGGTGCTGACCCTGGATTGCTCTTTCGTCAGGACCTGCTGAACACGTTCGTCGTTGATATCATGGGGTTCCGCGTGTTGCTCCCGGTTGGACTTGGTCGGCAGCACCGAAGCAGTCGCTTCAAAGATCTGCCGGAACAGTGGCCAGAGTACCATACAGGCAACGCTGCCCAGAATCGCAACCAGAAACAGAAAATGTAGACCAGAAAAGCCGAGCTTCTGACTACCATACGCAAGAATGACAAGAACCAGCAGGTATAGCGCGAATTTTACCATGTAAACATCTATGATGTTGAGATTTCACTCACATTTGTTGCCTGCATGGAATAAAGATCCGGTAAAGTTTTTAAGACAAATACAAACTGGTGGGCACAAAAAAGGCAGCCGAAGCCGCCTTTATCTTTCGTTACACCGGCTGATTAGCTGAGGTGCAGCTCCTTGAAGAAATCGTTGCCCTTGTCATCCACAACGATGAAAGCCGGGAAATCCACGACTTCGATTTTCCAGATGGCTTCCATGCCGAGTTCTTCGAATTCGACCACTTCGACCTTCTTGATACAGTCCTGTGCAAGGCGGGCGGCGGGACCACCGATGGAGCCGAGATAAAATCCGCCATGAGCCTGACAGGCTCGGCGGACTTGCGCAGAGCGATTACCCTTTGCCAGCATCACCATGGAACCGCCTGCCGCCTGAAACTGGTCGACATAGGCATCCATCCTTCCGGCGGTGGTCGGCCCGAAGGATCCCGACGGCATGCCTTCTGGAGTTTTTGCCGGCCCCGCGTAGTAAATCGGGTGGTTCTTGAAATAGTCGGGGAGGGGCTCCCCGCTCTCAAGTCGGTCGCGCAACTTGGAATGCGCCAGATCCCGGGCAACGATCAGAGGACCTGTCAGCGACAATCGGGTTTTGATCGGATGTTTGGTCAATTCACCCAGGATTTCTGACATTGGCCGCGTCAGATCGACATTCACAACATTGTCGGAAAGGGAATCGTCGGTGATTTCCGGCAGATATTTCTCCGGATGCATCTCCAGTTGCTCAAGGAAGATCCCGTCTCTTGTTATCTTGCCGACTGCCTGACGGTCGGCAGAACACGAAACCGCAAGGCCGATCGGCAGCGACGCACCGTGGCGGGGAAGGCGGATGACGCGAACATCGTGGCAGAAGTACTTGCCGCCGAACTGGGCACCGACACCCGTTGCCTGGGTCAGCTTGTGGATTTCTTCTTCCATCGCCAGGTCCCGGAAGGCATGGCCGCTTTCAGACCCTTCCGTCGGCAGGCCGTCCAGATATCTTGCCGATGCAAGTTTTGCGGTTTTCAGGTTCATTTCCGCCGACGTGCCACCAATAACGATGGCCAGGTGGTACGGCGGACAGGCAGCAGTTCCGAGCGTCAGAATTTTCTCTTTCAGGAATTCGATCATCCTGTCATGAGTGAGCAGCGACGGTGTTCCCTGAAACAGGAATGTCTTGTTCGCCGAGCCGCCGCCCTTTGCCATGAAAAGGAACTTGTAGGCATCTTCACCGTCGGCGTAGAGCTCTATCTGTGCCGGCATGTTGCTCTTGGTGTTCGTTTCCTCAAACATGGAAAGAGGCGCAAGCTGCGAATACCGCAGGTTCTTTTTGAAGTAGGCGTCACGCGAACCTTCACCGAGAGCGGCTTCATCGGAGCCGTCGGTCCAGACCCTTCGGCCTTTTTTGCCCATAATGATCGCCGTGCCGGTATCCTGGCACATTGGCAAGACGCCGTGTGAAGCGATGTTGGCATTCTTCAGTAGGTCAAAGGCCACGAACTTGTCGTTGGCAGTTGCTTCCGGATCATCGAGGATCTTCTGGAGCTGCTCCAGATGTCCCGGTCGCAGATAGTGATTGATGTCCTTGAAAGCCTCTTCAGCCAGCAGCCTCAGCCCTTCCGCGGCCACCATCAGGACCTCTTCCCCCTGAAACTCCGTGGTACTTACGTGATCAGAAGACAGCTTGCGGTACGGCGTCTTGTCTTCGCCATGCGGAAAAAGGGCACTATGCAGGTATTCCGGGGGCGTGAGGGAAGCGTTCATGAGGCGGTTTTCCTGATCTGGCTGTTTCAGCGGGGTGCTTGCCGAAAGTGCTGGAACTTGGTTGCCATTCTCATACGGCAAAAAGGCCGGGGACGCCAAGTCCCGCGGCCTGCTCATTTGGTTGCATCCGGAACTGGCCGGACTATCTGGTGGCTGTCAGGTCCAGGGTCACCGTAACGGTATCTCCGACCGTATCGGTTCCAACACCGGCTCCGAGCATGTAGTCAAGTCTGTTGAGTTTAGCGGTTCCCTTCGCATTTGCCGTGTCGCCGTCAATATTCAGCGTGAAATCCAGTTGCACGGGATGTGAAACACCCTTGATGGTCAGCGTGCCGCTGGCCTGATAGCTGTTGCCTTCGACAAGGGACGCTCCGTCTGCCTGGAATTCGGCGACCGGAAACCCGGCGACGTTGAACCAGTCTTCCGCCGGCATTGTCGTGTCGAACTGAGGATTGCCCGTGGCAGCACTTGCAGGTTTGATTTGTGCTGAAATTTTCGCAGTTTCCGGCGAGTTGACATCAAAATCGATGCTGGCATCCCAGGATGCAAAGGTTCCCGTCAGTGCCCCGGAGCCCTGCTGGACTTCGAAGCCGAGTTTGCTTTGCGCTGGATCGACGGTCCAGGTTTCGCTGAATGCGGGCGTCGTGATGCATAGGGCAGCAGAGAGTGAAAGAGAATAGGCGATATTTTTCATGATCATGAAACGATACTCTGATGTTGAGATTTAAGAGTCACCTTTGGCTGGGGCAGTCGATACCATGCGCTTAAGTGTATCGTCCCGGGCGATGAAATGATGTTTGAGTGCCGCAGCAACATGAACCACGACAAGCGCTATGAGCAGGAACGCGCCATACTTGTGCAGAATTTTGAAGAAAGCCTCTGCCTGTTCCTTTGTCCCGAGCGCATCCGGCACAGGAAGATGGGGAACCGGCTGAACGTTGAAGAGAACCGTCGGAATGCCCCATGGTGACGCAGAGGCCATGAACCAACCGGTAATGGGCATCGCGAAGATAAGCGCGTAGAGCCCGGCATGTCCCAGATGGGCGGCAAGTTTCTCAAGCGGGTGCATGCCTTCCGGCAATTTTGGCGAGGGGTTCACCAGTCTCCAGCCCAGGCGAAACACCGCAAGGGTCAGCACCACGAAACCAACCGATTTGTGCAGTTGATACAACTGGAAGGTTTCCGCGGCCGTGGGTGGCAGCGTTGTCATGTAGAGACCGAAGGCAAGCATGCCGACAATCAGGACTGCCATTGTCCAATGGAACGCGATTGCTATGCGTCCATAGCCTGACGAGGTGTTGCGCAGCACGGTCCTCTCCTTTGGAAGAGAGGCCGGTCGAACCGGCCTCCACAAGACTGAATCAGTTGGTCGCGTCCGCCTTCAGCGTTTCGGCGTGGAACGTAACGGTCACCTCATCTCCCACATAGGGCACAAACATGTCCATGCCGAAATCGGAGCGCTTGAGGACTGTCGACACTGCAAATCCGGCAGCCGCCTTTTTGGCCATGGGATGCTCGCCTATAGCGGTAACGTCGACTGTAAGGGTAACTGGCTTGGTTACGCCTTTCAGCGTGAGGTCCCCGGTCACTTCAAGTTGGTTTTCGCCGGTCTGCTCAACTTTGGTGCTCTTGAAGGCTGCCTGCGGATACTTTGCGGCGTCGAAGAAGTCCGGGCTCTTCAGGTGAGTGTCACGATCCGCCCAGAACGTGTTGAGGCTGTCGATATTGACTGTGAATTCAACGGTGGAATTGGCGGGTGTGTCCTGATCGATCAGCAATTTGCCATCCCAGTCGCCAAAACGGCCGTCCGTGGTCGAATAGCCGAGATGATTGTAGGTGAAGGACAGGTTGGCGTGAGACTTGTCGAATTCATATGCGACAGGCTCGGCCAATGCCGGTGCTGCAAGCAGGGAAAGCGCCAGTGCGGAAGTTGCTAGACGGATCATGAGAAAGCCTTGTTTCGTGTGGTCAAAAAGCGTTCGCTCATGAACGCTGCAGGCTGGAAGATAGGTACGAAATCCCGCTGTGCAATTTGACTGACCGTTCGGTGTGACTGAACAATGTTCAGGTGGCATGCCCGGTTGACATTGACAGTGCGGTATTTCGGCACCGAAGTGGAATCAAGTCAGCTTGAAATGTGCGTTTTCTTGATGTGCACGAAGACAATCTCAAGGTTACTTAAGCAGCAGCAAACCTTGCTACCTGGATGATTTGGCCGGCAATGATCGTTCGTATTTTGTGAATGCGACGCGCAGGGATGCCGATCAGAAGAATATCGATATCTTTGCCCCGTTTCGGGGTGTCGAACTTGAATTCGAGCTTCCGACGAGTTTGTCCGCCGGACGACATGAGACTTTCTTTGACGGAATTTACACCTTGGAAACCCTAGTTTGTTAAAGTTGTCAATGTAACGGATGGTTCACCTTGAGTTAAGCAAGAAAATATAAGAAAGAAATCTAAGTTTAGCTGTGAGGTGATTTAGCTATGATTGATAATATATTTAAAAACAACGTTAGGTTGTTGGATCGCGCTAATAATTCTCACCAGAAATACTGGTTGGCTAAAAAATGGATTAGATTTTTTGCTGCCATTTTCTTAATACCGATTATCCTTGCAGGTTCCGGCGTTGGTGTTTTGGCGGCGGATTGGACCGTCAAACGTGTTTCAGGGATCGTCTATTTCGTTGCACCCGGAGTCGAGGCATTTCGGGCGAAGAAAGGCATGGTCTTTGAAAAAGGCTTCACCCTCGGCACAAGGGCCGGTGGCAGGGTGCTGATCGCCAGGGGCGAGGAGACCATATCGGTAGGCCCCAATACGACATTCGCAATTTCCAAATATCAGAGCAACAATTCGAAGACGACTTTGCTTCAGCGCAAGGGCAAGGTAACCGTGGACGTTGCGAAACGTTCAAGACCTCACTTTTTCGTCGAAACACCCTTTTTGGCCGCAGTCGTCAAGGGAACGCGCTTTGATGTGCAGGTGGGTTCAGGTCGAACCCGTGTATCCGTCGAGCGTGGTATTGTTGGAGTTCAGGATTTTTCTTCAGGAGATCGAGCCGATCTGACCAGGGGGCAGAATGCCTCGAGTTCTCGGTCCGGTTCTCAGGGCCTCAGCGTCGGCGGACCAACCAAACCAAGTATTAGCAAGGGCGCCAAAAGGAGTCCGATGGTCGGTTTGTTGGACAATGTCGCCGAGGTTGATCCTGAAACGGCCAATAATGCGTCCGGCAACAACGGGAAGGGACTGTTTGGTGGCTTGTTCGGCAGTAACGGCAATTCGAACGGCAACGGCAACGGCAATTCGAACGGCAATTCGAATGGCAACGGCAACGGCAATTCGAATGGCAACGGCAACGGCAATTCGAACGGGAATAGCAACGGCAATTCGAACGGCAACGGCAACGGCAATTCGAACGGGAATAGCAACGGCAATTCGAACGGCAACGGCAACGGCAATTCGAATGGCAACGGCAACGGCAATTCGAATGGCAACAGCAATGGAAACTAGGCATGGGTGTGTCGACTTTCGGTCGAGTGCCGGCTGCCACTAAATTGAACGGGTGAGGTGGGTGCAACTTCGGTTGGAGAATTTCGGAAAGCGTTTTATCAGCGCTGTCCTGGTCGCGGTTCTCCTGACCGCGGCCATTCTCGTTCTGCGGGTTACCGGCCTTCCGGCAACGGTCGACCGGTTCCTCTGGGAAGTTCGGTTCAGCCTCGACAAACGCCCGGTTTCGGACCAGATAGTTTTCGTCGATATCGATGCCGGTAGCATTGACAAGATAGGGCAGTGGCCGTTTCCGCGCCGGATATATGCAGATCTGACGGATAAGCTGGCGGCAGCCGGGGCCCTTGATCTTGTCTATGATATCGACTTCAGTGCGGTGTCGAACCCTGAAGATGACGCGTTGTTCGCTGCTTCAATTGAGCGTGCTGGAAATGTAAGTCTGGCTGCTTTTCGGCAGTCAGCATCAGCGGGTTCCGTTGATGCCGAAATAATCAATTTGCCCATAGATCCGTTTCTCGATCATTCCTGGCCTGTGGTTGTCATGGTGCCGATGGAAAGCGACAGCCGGATCTGGCGAAATCTTTATGGGTTTGAAATTGACGGGACGACGGAAGTTTCTGCAGCCGCTTTCATGGGAGAACACACCGGCGAGACCAGCGGTTCGTTTTTCCTGGACTTCGGTATCGCGATTGATGAAGTGCCCCGCGTTCCACTTGTCGATGTTTTGAACGGCGCCGTCGACCCTGACCGGTTCGCAGGCAAGAAGGTGATTGTTGGAGCGAGCGCCCAGGAACTCAGGGATCTCTTTGCAGTCCCGGTTTATGGAATCCTGCCTGGCGCAGTGATCCAGGCTCTTGGCGCAGAAACGCTTCTTCAGAAACGGGCGCTTGTACAACAAGGTCAATATCTTGTTCTTCTGGTCGCAGCTTTGGTACTCATCCTTTTGCTGATGACCAAAATCGAAGGCTGGGCAGTCAAGCTTGGAATTCTTGTTCTGTCGGCCCTGGCGATTGAGATCGTTGCAATCAGTTTTCAAAAGTCGATGCCTGTGCTTGTGCCGACTGCAAGTGCCTATCTGTTGCTCATGTTTGCGGGCGTGATTGTTGTTCTGCGCGAACTCGGCTTGCACAAGCTGCTCGCGCGTGTGGCAGACATCAAGCAGCGTAACAGCGAACGTATGCTCGGCCAGGTCTTTGATGACAGTTTCGATGCGATCCTTGTTCTCGACAGCGATTGTGTCATCACAGCTGCCAACCAGACCGCACGTACCTTGTTTTCAAGCGAGGCACTGGCTGGCAGCCCCGCTCGCTCCGTTCTTCCAAATGCACTTGTTGAAGAAGTCATTGCCGTGCTTCAGGCTCCCGACAGCCGTATGCCGGTTCCGCAAATTCTCGTGTTGGCCCAGGATGGTACCAGGCGTCGGTTCATAGAATATGTCGTAACGAAAGCCGAAAAGACACTCGCGGCAAGGAAGGGGCATGACAAGACGGAAATCAGGACACTTGCCTGCATGACCTGTCGTGATGTGACCGACGAGCGCGAGTCGGCTTCACGGCTGGAATATCTAGCAAGATTTGATCCGATCACCGACCTCCTGAACCGAAGCGGTTTCGAGCGTGAAATCTCACGTCAGGCAGATGGTGCCTGCAACAAGAACGAGACTGTGTGCGTAATCCAGTTCGCGGTCACCAACCTGGATCAGATTGTTGCCACCCTCGGGTTTTCCTATGGCGATCGAGTGCGTCAATCGATTGCATCCAGATTGAAAAGTCACCTTTCCCAGGGGATCACATGGTCGGCGATTACCGCAGATGTTTTTGCCGGAGTGTACGTTTCCAGGTCTGGTGACGACCGGGAACTTGAAATCGTGGACGAAATTCAGCGCGTAATCGGTGAAGACTACTCGATCGACGGCGCGCGAATTTCGATGCAGCTGAATTTCGGTTACGTGGTTTCAGGTAGCGAGCAGACACCAGACACACTCCTGATGAGAGCCGGAAACGCGTTGTCCAAGGCCAGGCGTGACAACAAGAACCTGACCGTTCGCTTCCAGTCGGAGATGGACACGGCCTTGCAAAGGCGCCGTAAGCTGGAAACCGAATTGTTCAAGGCGATTGTACGGGACGAACTGCGGCTGGATTATCAGCCACTGGTCAATCTCAGGGACAATAGCGTTTTTGGTGTCGAGGCATTGCTTCGCTGGGACAGCCGTGAATTCGGTGCTGTCTCGCCCATGGAGTTCATTCCGATCGCCGAGGAAAACGGCTACATTCAGGAAATCGGATCCTGGGTGTTGAACCGGGCGATGAAGGAGGCACTGACGTGGGATGCGTCGTTGAGGCTGTCCGTCAACGTGTCTCCTGCACAGTTCTTCAGGGGCAACCTCGTCCAGACTGTTTCGGAAGCTTTGGATCGCGCCCGTTTCCCGTCGGAACGCCTGGATCTCGAAGTTACCGAATCCCTCTTTATCGATGAAAGCACGGACCTGAAGTTCCGCATGGAAGAGTTGAGAGAGCTCGGATGCAAATTCTCAATGGACGATTTTGGTACTGGCTACTCTTCGCTGGGATACATAACCAAGTATCCGTTTTCCAAAATCAAACTCGACAAGTCCTTCGTCAGGGACACCCTCGACAGGGAAGAGGACATGGCTGTCATTGAAGCAGTGCTTCTCCTCGCCGAGGGGTATGGCATGTCGGTGATCGTCGAGGGCATTGAGACGTTCGAGCAGTCGCAGAGATTGCAGTCTCTGGGATGCAAATACGGGCAAGGATACTATTTCAGCCGTCCGACAAGTACCTCTGGTATCGCCGCACTTCTTGCCAAGGCTGCGTGAGCCATGCTCATTTCGGGAAGCGCGGCGGGCAGGGCGCGCCGCTGAAATATCCTACATTCCCAGGCCACCAAGGCAGCTGTACTTGATGTTGAGATAGTCATCGAGCCCGTACTTGGAACCCTCGTTGCCGATGCCGCTCTCCTTGAACCCTCCAAATGGTGCGACTTCGGTCGTTATGACACCTTCATTGACACCGACAAGACCGTATTGGAGCGCCTCCATCACCCGGAAACAGCGGCCAAGATCCTGTGCATAGAAATAGCAGGCAAGGCCGTATTCGGTGTCGTTGGCCAGCTTGATGGCTTCGTCTTCCGTGTCGAATTTGAACAGGGCGGCAAGCGGGCCGAAGGTTTCGTCATGCGCCACCTTCATGTCCTGGCTGGCTCCGGTAACAAGCGTCGGCTCAAAATAGGTGCCGGTTCGGTCGGGCCGGTGGCCACCGGTCACCAGCGTACCGCCCTTGTCCAGCGCGTCCTGAACGTGTGCGGCGACTTTTTCAACCGCAGCTTCGTTGATCAGGGGACCCTGTGTAACACCGTCTTCCAGACCGTTGCCCACGGTCAGTTGTTCCGCCATAGCGGATTTGAGCTTTTCTGCAAACGCGTCGTACACGCCGGCCTGTACATAGAACCTGTTGGCGCAGACGCAGGTCTGGCCGGAATTGCGAAACTTGCTGGCAATGGCGCCGTTTGCCGCCCTGTCGAGATCGGCATCGTCGAAGACGATGAACGGCGCATTTCCACCAAGTTCCATCGAAATCTTCTTCATGTTCTTGCCGGCATTTGCGGCCAGCAGTTTCCCCACCCGGGTCGAGCCGGTGAATGTGATCTTGCGGACCGCCGGATTTTCGCACATTTCCTCGCCGATCGCCGGCGCGTCCCCGGTAACGATGTTGAGGACACCGGCAGGAAGACCGATCTTGTCCGCCACGAGACCGTAGATCAGCGCTGAATAGGGTGTGAACTCCGCCGGTTTCATGACCATTGTGCAACCGGACGCCAGGGCTGCACCCAGTTTGCGTGCAATCATGGAGTTCGGGAAGTTCCACGGCGTGATGGAAGCAACAACGCCGACTGGTTCCTTGGTGACGAGGATCCGCCGGTCTGCCCAGGGCGAGGGGATCGTGTCGCCATATATGCGTTTGCCTTCTTCAGCGAAGAAACGGATATATTTCACCCCAAGCGTGATTTCGCCCTTGGCCTCCGCGAGCGGCTTGCCCATTTCTGTGGTCAGCAACACCGCGAGGTCATCCAGCTGATCCATGACGGCATCGCACAACTTGTGCATAAAGTCGGCGCGTGCCTCGGCGGTCAGGGCTTTCCAGGCCGGGAATGCAGCTTCCGCAGCCGCGATTGCCCGAGCCGTTTCGGAACGGCCGCAGTAAGGAATGGTCCCGATACTCTCGCCGGTCGCGGGATTGGCGACAGCGATTGTCTGGCCGCTATCTGCATCGGCCCACGCACCGTTGATATAGACCTGTTGTTTGACTAGTGCCGAGTTCAAAGACATGGAGCACTCCCTGATGTCTGGGAAATAGGATCGGCCGGAGGATTGTCCGGCCCCGTTTGATCAACAGATAGAGTGCGTCTGAACGGTCTGGCAAGCGCTTTTGCGTTCAATCCAGTACGTGCGTGACCTGAACAGTCCGTTCGTCCAGTCAGGTGACATGCCTGACTTCTGCGCATACCTGTTCGGAGGTCGCGATTTGGTCAGGCAATATATGGTTTTGGGAGAAGGGTCGCCGCATCAGTGCAGGACCTGGAGAGGTTTAGCCGTCCAGCCGTTCCTGCAAACCGGCGATTTCGTCTGCAAGTGCTTGTGCCTGCTTTTGAATGCGATCAAGCGCAACTTTCATGCTGTCCAGATCGGCAGAGGCCGGTTCTTCGGCGAAAGGTGGCGTACCCCGTCCGACAAGAAGCCAGGTCGGGCTCACATTGAGGACACCTGCAAGCAGAACCAGCTTGTTGGAGCGTGGTTCGGACCGGTCACTCTCCCAGCTTTGAAGTGTTGACGTCTTGATCCCCAGGCGACGGGCCAGCTGCGCAGTCGACAGGCTTGAGGCGTCTCGTGCCTTGCAGATACGTTCACCCAGGGTGTACTCGCTGCTGCGTGTCGTCATTACAGAACTCCCGTCATGACCGGTTCTTCCCGTTACCAAATGAACGGTTTCGTCAGGCAGGAACGGGGAATTTTTTCTATATGGATGGGTCATGGCGCGCACACTTGCATGAACCGCCTGTGCAGTGCAACAGCTGCCAGGCAATTTGTCGCATTGAGAGTGTGCCACGGCGGGAATGAGCAAATTGCTCGGTAATAATGACGGCGGCACTGTTTAGATCAGTACTCGCGTTCGAAGAAAATTCCAGCCTTCGAGGACCCGTCGGCACCAACTTCTCCACGTACTTTCAGACCTCGGTCAAGATCGATATCGACCTTGACACGGCTCGAACCGGATCCTGTTCCCTGTTCAACGCCGAGATAGATATTGTCATTGATATACTTGCCGACCGCCACCGATGGTCCGTCTTCACCATCCGTGTTTATGTCAATCGCATCAAGCCCGAGCGACTTGCGGAGGGTTGCCAGCGGTCCGCTGTCGCTGCCTCCGGTAAGTGTCGCAATGGCGGCTGCAAGGCTCGCTATCTGCGTCGCTGACAGGTTCCCGACACTTTTGCCGAACAGCAGCAGTGCGAGGACCTCGTCCTGTGGCAGATCAGGCGACGAGCTGAAGGCGATCTCCGGATCATCGGCCTGTCCGCTGACGGTGACCGTGATCGTGGTATCGTTGACGGTTGTCGTTGCAGCAAAATCGATCAAGGGAGTGAGAGACCCGTCGAACGTCGCGCTTCCGCGGGAAAATGTCAGCCGCCTGGTCAAGATATCCAGTTGGCCGCGCTTGAGCGAAAAAGCCCCGATCGCTTGCGGGTCTGCAGTTGTGCCGACGACCTTCAGGTTGCCCTGAAGTTCGGCGTCGAGACCCCGGCCGCGAATGAATATTCGACCAGGCGCATTGAGGACGATGTCGAGACGAGGGGGGACCGACTTTTGCTCCGCGCTGCTCTGTTTCGGCTCACCGCCAAGGTCCGCAATCTGTTGCCGGATCGCTTTCGATGCGTTTATGTGCCTGACTTCAACGGGAGGAATTGCGCCAGGCAGATACTCCGGTATCGAGATGTCAGCCTTGTTGATCGTAATCGATCCGCCGATCAGGGCGGAACTGGATGGTGATGCAAGCGGACCTGTAATCTTGATGTCGGCATCGACTTCAGCAGTGACCAGACCCGGGTCGACATAACGGCCCTGGTTCAGTTTCAAGGCAAGATTTGCGGGAAAACCGTCGTTCATCCCGACAGTGCCGGAGGCCGACAGCGAGCCGCCGGTTGCCAGCTCGCCGGTGATGCCGTTCAGCGATGCTTGATCCTGTGTGACCGCTGCATTGCCGCCAATATTTTGGACGGTCAGCCCCGTTGAAAGACTTGTGATCTTCAGACCTGTTGGTGTTGCGGTGATCTGGTAGGTCGGCGAAGCGGCCGATCCGCCGACATTGCCTTTCAGTGCGATCGTGCCTTCACCTCGGATACCCGCTTCGAGCAACGGGCGTTTCAAGGCTGTGACAGGGACCGATCCGTCGAGCGCAACGGCGAGCGTATTGGGTTGGTCAAGGCCAATTTCACCAGACGCGTTGAGCTTCAGGCCGTTGGGATCGCTCACTGTCGTATTCTGTGAAATCCGGTTGTCCTTGAGTGTCCCCGAAGTCTGCAATCCGAGGGCGGCAAGCCCGTTGTTCTTCAGTTCATTTGCCGTCAGTCCTTGGCCGGATATCGTCCAACTGGCCTCAGGCGCGGTCGAACTTCCCTGCGCCTTGACCGATCCCGACAAGGTTCCTCCAAGTCCGAGAGAAGGCACAAAGGCATTCGCGAGATTTAGCGGGATGGAATTCAGCTCGGCGGCGAGATCCAGTGACTGTCCAGCTGTTCCTGAAAGGGCAAGGGAGCCGTTGCCGAGTTTCAGTTCGAGGGGTTGTATGCTCGTGTTGCCGTTTGCATAGGAGATTGTTGTCGGCTGCTGCAACTGGCTTGAAAGACCCTGATAGCGCATCGTAAGTTCTGACAGGGCGACATCGTAGGCATTTGTCTCCGGTTGCGATATCCGCGCAGCCAGTGAAAGGCCATCGTCGCTTCCCTGGTCGATCTTCACATCCGCCGTCACGGAAGTGCCGCCATTGTCGGGCTCGGCCAGCAGTTTGACGGCGTGAACAGGTGTCGCGTCCGTAACAAGGTCCGACAACTCGATATCTGCGGAAGCTGACTGGGGCGTGTAAGGCGCGGCTATGTCAGCCTTCAGCTTGACACTGCCGATGCTGAGCGAAGGAACGTCGATATCCGAGCCGACAACATCGAGCGCCAGTTTCTTGCTGTCCGGATCTGCCAGAACCGTACCTTGCAAACGTCCACCGATTTCGGTGAGCAGCAGAGGCGAGAGAGACGCAAGATCCGGGGCATCGATCTTGAGATTTCCCTTGAGTGTTTCAACCGGATTGTCCAGGTCGGCAACGGCGAGGGCGCCGGTCACGGTGTTGCCTGCGAGTTTGACCGACAGCGGATTGATATCCGCACCGCCGTCTTCGCTTTTGAGTTCGACGTCAATCGCAATCGGTTGACCGTTCAGACTGGCGGAGGATTTGATTGTCGCGCTCGGAGCCGCGGTGTCCGCGATGGCTGTTGCTGAAAAGGAAAGATTGTCAAGAGGGGTGCCTGCGAGCATGATCCGCATTGATGCCGCGTCCGCCTCAACGTTCAGCGCATCGATCGGCCCGGTTGTCTTTGCGGTTACGTCCAGGGAACCCGCCAGTTGAGAGTCCACCTTGCTCAGGTCCTCGAGAGCGATGGAAAATTCGGACGCAAGTGAAGCCTCCTGATAACGGGCATTGCCATCAATGTTGAGCGCTGCGTTCTTGAGCGACAGGCTTTTCACCGTCACGTCTTCAGTGCCAGCGAAGGCAAGGGCCGCATCGATTTGCGTGTCGCCTGCCAGCAACGTATCAGCCTGAGCAACACCCGTGGCCAGATCGCGCGTGGAGATGGCAGCGGTTGCCGATCCGTTGACCGTCGACGGATCGAGGTCGGCGGAAAAGGATGTAGAAACACTGCCACCGAGTTCCCTTTGTGCCAGCGTCGAGAAGACGGCAAGGTCAGCAACAGAAAGGCGGCCCTGACCGGAGACCTTGTTTAGCGATACCAGTGTGTCCGACAGTGTCAGCGCCACCGCAGTGGAAGTGAAAGCCAGTTTCGAGAACGTGACGGACTTGTCAGCGCCGTTGAGAACGCCTTCCGACTTGAGAGACACAGCTCCCGAAAGCGGCTCGGCCTGAGGTGTCAGTCCCTCAAGTTTAGCAACTGAAACCGAAAGAGAAAATGGCGAAGACAACGCGTCAGGCTGCAGGTCAGCGCCGTTCCCTGCCGTTTCCAGCAAGATCTTACCGCTCTTGACCTCGTTGGTCTGGAAGGAGGCCAGGTCGAGCGTGAGCGACCAGTCGGCCGCCGCCTCGCTGCCGGTCACGGAAAACCTGGCATCAAGCGCACCGAACGCAATACGTCTGTCCGACATGTCGACAGCGATGAGAGCATTGTCTCCCGCGTTGATCGATACGGATCCGGTCGCGTTGACCGCCGCGTTGTCAAGATTTGCATTGGCATTCAAATTGACAGTCTGCGTGGTCAGTTCAATGTCTGCGGAAAGCGGTGCAAAATCGGACGAAAAGCGCGCATTGCCGGTGGCATGTGTCGTACCTGTGAGGAAGGCCTTCGCCGTCGGACGGGCAAGCGGTTCCAGGTCACCATCAAGATCAAAAGTCAGTTGCCTTCCTTGCGGTTGCTCTGAAAGTTTCGCGGAGCCTTTGACAGTTGACCTCCCGTCAAGCGCCACATCCAGATTGGCGGCCCAGTCTGTCAGGGGACCGCTGCCATTCAGGGCAAGCTTTACGGCTGGCAAGTCTGGAACATCCAACAGACGCGCGGCCAGTCCACCGCGCGGCTCTGAAAGAACAAGATCGAACGCGAGCGTTTCGGCGGCTGGTTCGAATTCGGCATTTGCGGTCAGACCGGCGTCAATTCCGTCAACGCGGTGAACATCAAGGGCCGCAGTAACGACAGCAGGATCAAGTGCGAATGCACCCGAACCGCTGACCTTGAGCGAGACGGGTTCTCCAATCAGGGAATTTCCGAGATTGATCTCGTCAAATACGAGGCTCTCGAGCGAGACGTTGAACGGCAGCGAAACTCCGCCTGAAGGGTCATTTTCACCGTCTCCTGCCTCGACTTGAGCAACCGGTTCGTTCGCTGGAAGCCGATTCAAGTCAATCCTGCCGGCTGAAATGGAGGATATGTCGAGATCGCCGGTCAGGAGCTGCAATGGGTTCCAGTTCAGGCTGAGCCTTTCAGCGTTCAGCCAGACACCGTCCTTGTCGGCAAGACTGATGTCCTCGACGGTCGCATTCAGTCCGAAGCTCAGGTAGATGCCTTCAACCGATATTGTCTGAGTGTCGTTCGACGCGAGCGAGCTCACGACGCCGGACACCAGGGTGCGGCCGGAAGGAACCTGCAGCGCTGCGATCACGAGCACCGGTATTGCGATCGCCACAACGATCAGGAATCCGAAGATTCGCAGGGCAAGGCTTAAAAAACGCATCTAGAACAGAATCTGCAAATTTAGGGGTCAATGCAAAGGAAAAACAGGATTCGCCAGATTTTATCAGGCCTTTTTGGCGTCAGTTAGACACTGTTTATCCGTTTCACGGCTGAAAGCAGGGCAATTCGGTCTGACATTAGTCGAGGCTGTACTCAAAACGCCTGGCTCAATCCGACATAAAGAGCAAAATCTGGGTCATCCTTGCCAGGATCAAGTGGTATCGCCGCATCTACGCGCAACGGACCGATTGGCGTGAAATATCTGAGACCGGCGCCAACACCCACCTTCAATTCCTCGGAAAAATCGGGGACGCTGTCTTCGTACGCATTTCCGGCATCGACAAACCCGACGATACCGATCGTCTCCGTCACTCTCATCCGGATCTCTCCGGACAATTCGACCAGGGAGCGTCCTCCCACGACCTCATCACCGACCCGCGGACCAACATTGCGATAGGCGTAACCCCTTATGGAGCCGCCACCGCCGGCTATGAAACGGCGGCTGGCCGGAACGGATTCAACCGATGGCGCCAGGATCGATCCGACCGTCACCTTGCCCGCCAGGATGAAACGCTTCGCCTCGTCCAGCGCATAGTAGCTGGACACCGTTCCTTTCATGAAGCCCATGGCGTTGGAGTTGAGCGTGTCATAGGCAGGTTCTGCGAACAGTGCCGCGAACACCCCTTTGGAAGGATTGAGCTTGTCGTCCCTGTTGTCGAAAGTCAGGTCTGCCGGCAATCCGACCAGGAGATATTCATCTTCCCCGAAAGCGTCTTCCTCGTCCGCAAAGAACACTTCGGCTCCGGCACGGCCCTTCAGCTTTTCAGAAAACTCGCGATTGAGAAAGGCGTTGTACGTGACTGTTCTGCTTTTGTAAGCGTCAGGATTTTCCTGCCGTGCCTCCAGGCTGGTGGAGAAGCTGGTGAGGGGACCGAAAACGCCAGGTTTTTCGAACGCTATTCGGGCCGAGTATTCCTGATTTGCAAAACTTTCGGTGCCGATCCGGCCGACGGATCCTTCAACGGAAAGCAATTCGCCGCGGCCAAAGAGGTTCCTCCGGCGCCAGTATGCCTCCACACCAAACCCCTCGGTGCTCGACCAGGAAGCACCGGCGCCGATTACGTGGCGTTTGCGTTCACTGACCTCGATTGCGATAGGAAGCGTTCCGTCGGGTCCGGCAATGTCACCTTCAACGAACCGGATGGATGAAAAGATACCGAGATCATTCAGGCGTTTGCGGGCGCGTGCGATGTCTTCGGGAGAATAGATGCCACCTTGCGGCAACATCGCTTGCTGCTTCACGAAACCCGGATCAGTGACTTCCGTACCGTTGACAGAGACCGCGCCGAACCTGGCCTGCGGCCCGGCGTCGGCCACGAGGGCGACATCGAGTTTGTTGGTGCTGTGGTCTGCAGTAATTCGCCGCTCCGCGATTTTCGCCTTCGGGTATCCGCGACCACGCAGTATCGAAACTATTCTGCCTTCTGCTGATAATATCTTGCCCGAGCCGGCGGTCTCACCGGGTGCCAGTCCCCAGAAGGATGGATCAGTCGACAGGTCACCGCCCGTTGAGGAGATCGAGACATTTCCGAATGTAAATTCCGGACCCGGGTCGACCAGAATGGAAACTTTCACCGGGCGCCCATCCGGAAGGTCGCTTTGTTCAAGTGCGGTTTCGAGCGGCAGTCCGGCAAGCTTGATTGAAACGGTCCCGCCGTAGCGGCCATCGGCGTAAAGTTTTGCCACCAGCCGTTCACGGTCCGAAAGCGCGCGTGCGATGAGACCGGCTTCGCCGGATGGCGGTTTGTCCTGCTGCTGAAGCAGCAGGGAAGTGCTCTTCATGTCGCTGGTCAGATCTTCATTCCCGGTCGAGACGGCAAGCTCCGCCTCATAGGGAATTGGATCAGGAACGGCTTCCCCTTCTTCTTCCGCCCCGCCGAAGGGTTTCCAGCCGAAGATATCGAAGGCATTCGCAGGCAGGGCAACAGCAAAAAGAGATAGAAAAACGAGGCCGAATGCAAAAGTATGTTTAACAACGACAAAAAGGCCGGTCGCTGAGTGAGCAACCCGCTTCTTTTCCACGCACAACCGCGTGTTCCGGCATCGGCCGGAATTGCAAGACGGTAGACCCTTCACTTACTGCCGCCTGACGGGTTGGTCCTGCCGGAGCGCACTCATCCTTTGATATGGCGCTTCGGCTGAACTGCTAACGCAGCCCCTACGAAAGCCAATGTAGGCTGCCATGGTTAAATCTTGCTGAATCTCGATAGACCATGACGTACAGCTGAAAGCAAGAGCCAAGGTGATCCAATGGCTTGGCCAGAACTGTTGATACTAGGGTTTTTTGCCAATTGAACCGTGCTTTTGATCGACAAAAACAAACACGCCGGATGTGCCCGGCGTGTATTACTGTCAATTAACTGATCCGATGAACTAGAAGAGGGGTTCTTCTTCAGGAAGACCAAGCAGACGTCTGGCAGCGGTGAGCGTGTTGACCATCAGCATTGCAATTGTCATGGGACCAACACCTCCCGGAACTGGTGTAATCGCGCCGGCGTGACCAACCGCCTCATCGAAGGCAACGTCGCCCACAAGCCGGGACTTTCCTTCGCCGCGTTCCGGAGCAGGGATCCGATTGATGCCGACATCGATCACGGTTGCCCCGTCCCTGATCCAGCTTCCCTTGACCATCTCCGGACGGCCAACAGCAGCTACGACGATATCGGCACCGCGAACAACGTCGGGAAGGTCCTTCGTTCGGCTGTGCGCGATCGTGACCGTGCAGCTTTCCTGCAAAAGCAGGCTCGCCATGGGTTTGCCGACAATGTTGGACCGTCCGACAACAACGGCGGTTTTACCGGAGAGTGTGTCCCCGAGTGTGCGCTTCAGGAGAACCAGGCTGCCGGCCGGTGTACAGGGGACGAGTGCGCTGTCGCGCTCGCCAGCGGTCAGAAGACCGACATTCACCGGATGAAAACCGTCAACATCTTTCTCCGGGCGAATCAGCCGAAGAACCTTGCTTTCCTCGATGTGGCCGGGCAGGGGAAGCTGTACAAGGATACCGTGAATGTCGGGATCATTGTTCAATTGCTCGACGAGCGAGAGGACCTCTGCCTCGCTCGAATCCGCAGCTAGCGTATGTTTGACCGAGTGGAAACCACAGGCCTCTGCCGCGCGATCCTTGTTGCGTACATAAACCTGGCTTGCCGGGTCTTCACCAACGAGAACGACCGCAAGACCTGGACGTTTGCCGGTGGTTTCAAGCAATGCGGCTGCGCGGCGTGTGATTTCGTCCCGAACAGATTCTGCAATGGCCTTGCCATCGATGATTTGGGCCTGGGGCATTCAGCCTCCTTGTCGCTGGTACGGTTGTGTCGATCAAATCCGGCGACAAGCTATAGGATGACCTGCTGAAATGAGAAAGGCTGTTTGCGTCGTTTCCTACTCTGGTTTCGCCATTGTGACTGTTTGCAAAAACACCACGCTCAGGACCCGCCGGTAAATCGGTCCAGTTCGGATACAGCACAAACGATGTGGTAGAGAGAACTGGCAGGTGCCGGTTCGTCGGCGAACGAGCCGGCCGGGTCCATCTTGTCGAGATATAGCCCGTCTGGAGCTTTGTCCAGATAGATGCGCAATGCACTGACCGCCGCCGGGATGTCCGTGAAATAGGCTGCTCTTTCCGCTCCGCCAGAGACTTCGGTCAGCGCAATCGCGGCTTTTATCCACTCTGTTTGTCCCCAAAGGCGAGCGAGCGAATTTTGAACGGTGAAATCGTCGTTCAGCGCCATGAAAGTGACGCCCCGGTTCTCGTCGATACCGTAGGTCCAGCCAATGTCGTATAGCCTCCGGGACGCTATGATCGCTGCGGCATCCTGGCGCGATCGTCCCCAACGGCACAACAACCATGCCCATTCGAACTGATGTCCCGGTTCCATGATGCGCCCCCTGTCTCCGGGCAAGGGGGTCCAGTCCAGGTCAAAAAATTCGCGAAGACCACCGCTGACCGGATCGATAAAGCTGTTCAGCGCAAGTTCTGCAATTTCATCGGCAAGTTCCGCCCAGATGGGATCATCCGAGGTGTCCTCCCAGGCAAGGCAGGCTTCAAACAGATGCATGTGGGGATTGGAGCAAAGCGGGCGGCGGTCAGGATTTGCCTCGCGGAAACCACCTTCCCGATGCTTGTAGTGTTCTACAAGGAAATTCACCAGGTTGGCGGCCTGTTCGGTGGCTTCCGCCTTCCTGGCCGGAAGATGAGAAGCAACATTTGCAAAACAGAACAGCGCAAAAGCCTGATTGTAGAGATCGAATGTGTCGTCAACGATCTTGTTTTCGATGTCGACCGCCGAAGCGAAATAACCGCTTTTGGTCAGGTAGTTCTGCAAATACCAGTCGAAGAGGGACGTGGCCACCTCGTCGGCCGGACCTTCCCAGCCAAGTTTAGCCCCTTCAAGAAATGAATATATCTGACGCGGAACAACACGCGCACGCCGCGGATCCTTCGTGGGTTTTTGATCGATCAGGTCGATGGCTTCGAAACACTCTCCTTTGGCAAGGTCGACCCCGCAGGTGAACCACACCGGAAGCGCCTTTTCGGTCAGCCAACGGGTCAGTTCCGACGAGATTGGATGCAGCGGTTGAACACCGGTGTTCTGGTTCGCGTATTCCATCAAATTCCTCATTGGCCGCAGAGATGAACAATCGGGCAGAATCGGTAACAGAGATTCTTGATCAGTCTGAAGACAATAATGCGGAATCTGGACTTATCACGATGAAACTGCGCGGGGGCAATCTGAGGTGCTCGATGATAGCCGGAAATTCGTCTTGAAAACAAAAGTGCCCCGGTCTGACCGGGGCACCTGGGTGACTGGCTTCAGACGTTGCTGTCCGGGAATGAGGCCTTGCGCTCGGTGATATAGGCCTGCAGGGCGTCGTCAATGCCAGGGTCGAGCTCCGGCCCGCTATACGACCTGAGCATCTCCTTCCACCTTGAATTGGCACGGGCCGCCGAGTCGAGCTCACCATCGGCCAGCCATTGTTCGTACGAGTTGTTATCGGCGATCGCCGACCGGTAGAACGCGGCTTCAAAATTGCGCTGCGTGTGCGCTGCGCCAAGAAAGTGGCCGCCAGGACCGACCTCCTGCAAGGCATCCATCGCAAGGGTTTCCTCTGAAATCTCGATACCCTTGGCAAGCACGTGCATCATGCCGAGCTGGTCTGCGTCCATCACGAATTTCTCGTAGGAAGAACACAGTCCGCCTTCCAGCCAGCCTGCCGAATGCAGGGCGAAGTTCACGCCGGAATGAAGTGTTGCAAGGATCGTTTGTGCCGATTCCTGTGCGGATTGTGCGTCGGGCAGTTTGGACGCAGTAAACGAACCGCCGGAACGGAAGGGCAATTTGAGCCGGCGAGCCAGTTTCGCTGCACCGTTGAGCAGCAACGATCCTTCCGGACTGCCGAATGTCGGAGCTCCGGACTGCATCGAGATCGAGCTCACGAACGCGCCGAAAACGACAGGAGCTCCAGGGCGAATAAGTTGTGTCAATGCGCAACCGGCCATGGCCTCCGCCAAAACCTGTGACAGTGTCCCCGCCACTGTTACAGGGCTCATGGCGCCTGCCAGAATGAACGGAGAAACGATACAGGCCTGATTATGGCGGGCATAGACCTTGAGTGCGCCAAGCATGGTCGAATCGAACACAAGCGGCGAGTTTGCGTTGATCAGCTGGATCATGACGCAGTTCTGGTCGACGAACTCTTCGCCAAATGCGATCTGAGCCATCTTGACTGAATCTTCCGCACGTTCCGGTGCAGTGACTGATCCCATGAACGGTTTGTCGGAATACTTGATATGGGAATAGACCATGTCGAAATGGCGCTTGTTCACCGGCAGGTCCACAGGTTCGCAAACGGTTCCGCCTGAATGATGCAGCCAGGGTGACATGTAGGCCAGCTTCACGAAGTTTCGAAAATCCTCGATCGTGCCGTAGCGCCGCCCCTGGTCGAGGTCGGTGACAAATGGAGGTCCGTAGACAGGCGCAAACACAAGATTGTTGCCGCCGATTTCCACATTCCGGGCGGAATTTCGAGCGTGTTGCGTAAATTGCGACGGTGCGGTCTTCAGGATCTCGCGCAGCATTCCTTTGGGGAAACGAACGCGCTCACCGTCGACTTCGGCTCCGGCATCTTTCCAGATTTCCAGGACTTCCGGATCTTCCCGGAATTCCAGACCGATTTCCGCAAGAATCCGGTCGGCGTTGGCTTCGATCCTTTCAACGCCTTCCTCACTGAGGACGTCGTAATTCGGGATGTTTCTGGAAATATAGGGAACAGCCTGACCTGCGGGACCCGATTGCCGACGTTCGCGGCGGGCGGATCGTCCTCGGCGGCCTGACGGGGCGGCGTCTGACATTACTTCAGCTCCAAAGGTGGTTTTTTTGTTTGGCGTAGTCTTTATCAGGCACATGTGCAACCCGGCTCCAGAAGCGTCGCACATTGCTATAAATGCGTCATGTTACTTGCTTGATCGATTTTATCCCGCAAATTCGTTCATCACCACGTGGATTCGCGCGCATTTGGTTCTTTTCGGGCAGGCATGATGCGGTCGCATGGTGCACAACCCTCAACAAGGTCGATCGGTACCATTCAAAATCGGTGGCTGCCGGTGCTTATGACCTGAAACGGCCGCTATTGAACCTTCCCGGTTTAGGATTTTTGGATTGTCGTGTCGTGGTGATAATGCCGCAATGACGCATTCAAGCTATTTTGCCCCTTGATCTATCGCGATACTGCCGGCCAAAGATTGAGATCCGGCACGGGCTCCTGGCCAGCCGCAACCGGGTTTCTGTTCGGTCAATCCGTCGCGGATGTCACATGTTGAAGGAAGCGGACTTGTCAGGTCGCTTTCACTTTAATGAAAAGGAATGAATCATGTCAGCATTTCCTGACAGGGCAAAAGTTGTCATCGTTGGTCTGGGCGGCATTGTCGGCGCGTCAGTTGCACACCACCTCATAGAGCGCGGCTGGGATGATATCGTTGGCATTGATAAGTCCGGCATTCCGACAGATATCGGCTCAACAGCGCACGCTTCCGATTTCTGCTACACGACAAGCCACGACTACCTTTCCGTCTGGACGACCCAGTATTCCATCGACTTCTTTGAAAAGATGGGACACTACGCCCGCGTTGGCGGTCTTGAGATCGCTCGTACCGGCGACGACGCGTGGATGGAGGAAATCAAGCGGAAAGTGACATCGGGAAAGGCGTTCGGCACGAATGTACGTCTTGTCAGCCCTGCCGAGATCAAGGAAAAGTTTCCGCTGATCGAAGAAGACCTGGTTCAGGGCGGTATGTGGGATCCGGACGCTGGCCTGGTCATACCGCGGTCGCAGACTGTCGCCGGCAAGCTCGTCGACGAGGGGGAAAAGACCGGAAAACTGAAGGCATTCGCAAACACACCCGCACAGTCCCTGATTGTTGAAGGTGGCCGCATCAAGGGCGTTGTTACGCACCGCGGCACGATCATGGCCGACCATGTCATCGTTTGCGCTGGACTGTGGGGACGTCAGATCGCCGAAATGGTCGGGGAGGATCTCCCAGTCATGCCCGTCGACCACCCCTTGACGTTCTTTGGCCCCTACAACGAATTCGAGGGGACCGGCAAGGACATCGGGTATCCGTTACTGCGTGACCAGGGCAATTCGGCCTATATGCGTGATACGGGTGATCCGAAGACGGCCGAAGGCGGCCAGATCGAGTGGGGTTATTACGAAACGACGCATCCGCGCATGTGTCACCCGCGCGATATTCTGGAAAAGAACCAGGCACGGCTGTCGCCTTCCCAGCGCGATCTTGAAATGGAACAGGTCATCGAACCGCTAGAACGCGCGATGGAACTGACACCGATCCTGGGCGAGCTTGGCTACAACGAGGGCCATTCCTTCAATGGTCTGCTTCAGGTCTCGGCCGCCGGAGGACCGTCTTGCGGAGAAAGCCAGAAGGTCCGTGGTCTTTGGTATTGTGTTGCCATCTGGGTCAAGGACGGACCGGGTTACGGCAAACTGATTGCTGACTGGATCACCGACGGCCGGACGGAAATCGACCATGCCACGATCGATTATTCGCGTTTCTATGCGCACCAGCTGACCGAAGAATTCATCGAGGGTCGCTGCTATGAGGCCGCTCAGAAGATTTATTTCCCGGCCATTCACCCGCGCGAACCCTATGCCAACGGTCGAAACGTAAAGCGGTCCCCGTTTTACGAACGGGAAGTTGAACTCGGCGGACACTTCATGGAGCTTGGCGGTTGGGAGCGTGCGCACGGCTACGCCGCCAATGAGCATCTGCTGGAAAAATACGGCAACAGGGTCCCGGTTCGCGAGTCGGAGTGGGACAGTCGTCATTTCTGGCGCGTTTCGAATGCCGAACAGCTTGCCCTGAGTGAAGATTGCGGCATCATCAACCTGTCGCATTTTTACATGTTCGACGTCGAGGGTCCGGATCACGTCGAGCTGATGGAGTGGTTATGCGCCGCAAGGATCGGTGGGGACAACAACGTGGGCAAGGGGATCTACACCCATTTCCTGGATGACGAAGGCAATGTGCGTGCGGACCTGACCGTGTTCCGCATGGCCGATCGATGCCGCATCGTCGATGGGGCCGATGCCGGGCCTCGCGACTGTCTTTACGTGAAGCGCGTAGCCGAGGAAAAAGGCTTCAAGGTTACTGTTACCGATGTGAGCGAGACATTCACGACCATTGGTATCTGGGGACCGAACGCGCGCGACAACCTCAAGAAAGTCGTGTCTGACCCTGTTGCGCTCGATCCGGATAACTTCCCATTCGCGGCAATCCGGTCGATCGAGATCGCCGGCAAACCGGTCTCTGCGCTCCGCCTCTCCTATGTCGGTGAACAGGGTTGGGAACTGCACATGAAATATGAGGACGGGCTTGCTGTCTGGGATGCTTTGCGCGCGGTTGGTGTCATGGCTGTTGGCGTCGAAACCTACGCCAACTCCAGGCGCATGGAAAAGAGCCTGCGTTTGCAGAATGCCGACCTGTTGACCCAGTACAATCTCTATGAAGCGGATCTGGCGCGCCCGAAGGTAAAGGAGGCCGATTTCCGCGGCAAGGCCAAGCACCTTGAATACCGTGCCCGTGACAGGCAGCCCGCCATGCTATGTACACTGGTGATGACCGAAAACACCGATGCCAGCGGCGTGAAGCGTTATCCGGTTGGGGCAATGCCGGTGATGGATCCGGAGACCGGCAAGACACTTGTAGACAGCCTCGGCCGAATTTCCTACACGACCTCCGTTGCTTACGGTCCGACGATCGGAAAGAACATCGCGCTGGCCTATCTGCCGCAGGACTATTGTGAAGTCGGTCGCAAGCTGACTGTCGAATACATGTCAGAAACCTATCCCGCGGAAGTCGCCGGTGTCGGCTATCAGCCTCTCTACGATCCGGAGAACCTCAAGCCGAGAAGTTGACCTCTTTCTGACGTGACAGGAGATACCCGCGACCGACCCTGACGGCGCGGGCACATCATCTGGAAAACTGTCAAAACCCGCGTGGACATCCGCGCGGGTTCTGCTATTGCAGGCAGCCAATGCAACCAAGACGAAGCCGGAACACGAAAGACCTCCGAATGTCGAAATTTGAAGACCTTTTGGCGCGCAAGGGAGCACTCCTTGCCGATGGTGCAACTGGGACCAATCTGTTCGAGATGGGGCTGTTGTCCGGTGATGCACCGGAGCTCTGGAATGTAGACGAACAGGAGAAAATCAGGGCGCTGCACCAATCCTTTGTCGATGCCGGATCCGACATCATCCTGACCAACACTTTCGGCTGTAATCGTCATCGCCTGAAGTTGCACAAGGCTGAAGGCCGGGTGAAGGAACTCAATGTCGCCGGTGTGGAACTGGCGAAGGAAGTGGCCGCGACAGTCGACCGGGAAGTACTGATCGGCGGTTCGATCGGCCCGACAGGCGAATTGTTCCAGCCGCTTGGTGCGTTGAGCTACGAGGAGGGCGTCGTTGCTTTCCGCGAGCAGATAGAAGGCCTCGTCGAAGGCGGCGCCGATATTCTGTGGGCAGAAACCATGTCGGCCATCGAGGAAATGAAGGCAGTCGCGGAGGCGGCGAAGGATTTCGACCTTCCACTGGTCATCACGGCCAGTTTCGACACCGCCGGAAAAACCATGATGGGCCTTGCACCCAGGGGGTTAGGCGATCTGCAATCCGATTTCGCGTGCACACCGGTCGCAATAGGGTCCAATTGCGGGGTTGGTGCTTCAGACCTGCTGGCAGCGATCATGGAAATCACCGAGGCCTATCCGGATGCGATTGTCGTCGCGAAGGCCAACTGCGGCATTCCGCAGATCCGTGGCGATGAAGTTGTCTACACTGGAACGCCCGAACTGATGGCAAAATATACACACATGGCGTTGGATGCAGGCGCCCGGATCATCGGAGGATGTTGCGGAACATCTCCGGTTCATCTTGCTGCCATGCGAAACGCACTGGACGCCCATTCTGACAGGCAACGGCCAACGCTTGACGAGGTGTTGAGCGAGATCGGTCCGCTTGTGTCGCCTCCCAACAAGGCTGCTGATGCAGCGCGGGCTGAAAGCGAGGCAGCAGGATCTGCAGGTCGGAGGCGTGGGCGCAGGCGAGGCTGAGTTTGTCCATCCCGGGTGACAGGGCGGGCATCTGACAACCAGTTCGTGTGCGCTAACGTTGATGCTCAGCAACTGCCGGGCTGTGCGTTCTTGTAGGACTCTTTGGTTTCCTTGAGCGATGCGGAGACGATCCCCATTGGCTGATATGGCGGATCGCTCTGCATGCCGGGATTGATCATGTGGATCTTGTAACACCCGGTAAAGACTTTGCTCTTGCCGTTGGTCTGTATGGCGTCGATTGCCACCGGCAGGGCCCAGTAGATTTGTCCGGCACCCGGGTCAGGTTCCGTAGGTCCGAATTTCACGCTCACCGTTTTGGTGTCCGCATAGCCTTTGGCCCAGGTTTCGAAATTCTGTGGAGCCGAACTTTTCTGGAAATAACCGTAGGCCTGCACGTAATACCCGTTGCTGATGGCGAAATAGTAGCTTTCAACCAGCTTCTGTGGACTCGACCGGTCATCCATGAAGGTCCAGTCATCGGCGTGTGCCAGTCCGGACAGGAAAAGCACGGCCAGGACGGTCGAAGTTTTTGTTGCAAACTGGCCAGCGGCGCGTGAATTGAGCATCAGGTATTTCTCTTTTTCCGGCATGAATACAAAGAGTGAGCCGACAATACGAAATCTTCGTCGTCAAATATAGTGGAGCGCTGGGCCGCAAGGACACCATGGCTGCAACACTCGAAAAATCAGCTGAACGAAAGTGAATTAAACCAAGGTTTATTGTAATTGAACCATCTCCTGCTACTTCAGCGCTGAATTTGCTCCCAGGCGCTGAACGGAGCTTTCGAATCGGGAGAGTGACTTGAGAATATCCGGACTGGTTTTGATCGCCCTTGCATGTCTCTTGCCAATTATCTGGTTTGTGCCTCTCGCGGCAACGCGCGACCCGGTCGCGCTATTCAGCCAGTATCTCGGGTCTTCAGCGCTGGTCCTGATGGGTATCAACCAGTTCATCGCGACACGGACGCCAGGTCTCGAAACGGTATTTGGTTCGCTTGACCGGATTTATGTCCTGCACAAATGGCTCGGTGTCATCGCCATGGTCGCAATGGGTCTGCACGATATTGTCGATGCGGAAATGAACGGCCTTCGGGGCGGCCCGCTCGCCGGAATCGCCGAAGACATTGGTGAAATCAGTCTCTATGGACTTCTTGTTCTTGCCCTTGCGTCGGTCATAACCTTCATTCCCTATCATTTGTGGAAATGGAGCCATCGCCTGATCGGCATTTTTTTCGTCCTTGCGGCCTTTCACTTCTTTTTCATCGAGAAACCTTTCTCCGTTGCAGACCCGCTTGGGCTCTATATTTCGGCCTTCTGTCTGCTCGGTATCATCAGCTATCTTTGGATGTCCTTGTTCCGGCCAATGGTACCGCGTGGACACGGCTACAAGATTTCTGCAGTCAGGCATCTGGGCGGCCTGACGGAAATCGAGTTGAAACCCAAAGGCCGTGGCCTGAAGCACAAACCCGGACAATTCGCCTTTCTTTCAATCAACGGGAGCGGACTGTCGGAAGAACATCCCTTCACATTGAGCGGGGCACCTCATGAAGATCGAAGCTTGCGATTTTCGATCAAGGATCTCGGCAACTACACGCGGCGACTTCGTCGCGAAGTAGAAACAGGCATGGAGGCGACCGTCACGGGACCATTCGGTCACTTTTCGATGCCGTTCGGCAGGGACCCGCAGATCTGGATCGGTGCCGGCGCCGGTATCACACCCTTCATCGCATTTGCCGAAAGCCTGAAATCTCGGGAAACCGGCCCGGTAAAACTCTACTACTGTGTTCGCGAACGGGACGACATTCCTTACGTGGTCGAACTTGAGAAAATTGCGGAAGAGGTCTCTGGCCTTGAACTGATAATCGTCAATTCCGCAGAAGGTGTTCGCCTGACGCCAGATCGCGTTGCAACCGATCTGGGTGGCGATCTTTCACAGGCTCATGTCTTTTTTTGCGGTCCTGTTGCCATGCGAAAGGCATTGCGGCGCGGCCTCGTGCTGAAAGGCCTGCGCGCCTCACGCTTTCATTTCGAGGAATTTCAGATGCGTACCGGTATCGGCCTCAGCACTCTTGCTGAATGGCTTTGGGACCGTGGTATCTACGCAATTGAAAAGAGGCGTGCTGCGCGGACCCAGCCTGCAGAGTAACGTTTTGTCAGCAACTGCCCTTGCAATCAATTTGCTTTGACGTTTACGTAAAAGCAGGTCGGATTACCGGCATGAATTGAAAGAGGTAGGAGACACCGATGCAGCCGGTAATGACAGCACAGGAGATCGGCGGGTTCCTGGACCGGGAGTTTCCGCAGATCCATGCCGGTGGACGTGCATATTCCATCGACAGTGTCTCGTCTGGCGAAGCGGTCATGCGCCTTGCGGCAACCGACCTCCATCTGCGTCCCGGTGGAACGATTTCGGGTCCTTCCATGATGGCACTTGCAGATCTGGCAGCCTATGTCGTGATCCTGGCGCATATCGGTCCGGTCGCACTGGCAGTAACGACCAACTTCAGCATCAACTTCCTGCGCAAACCCGAGGCTGGAGATTTGCTCGGCACATGCCGGCTTCTGAAACTTGGCAAGCGATTGGCAGTGGTTGAATGCGGTATTGCCGGGGCAGGGGAAGAGGAACTTGTCGCGCATGCGACGGCGACCTATTCGGTGCCACCGCGGTAGAGAGTATCCTAGGCCGTCTGCTTCGGATCTTCCTGTGCAAACAGTCCTTCCAGTTCCTCGGAGTATTCGAAAACCTGACAGCGCCCGTTGCGTTTAGCAGCGTAGACGGCAAGGTCGGCGCGATGAAGGGCGGTCTTTTCCGTATCTCCCTCGGCGGTAAGATATGCCCCAATGCTCAAGCTCGGAATGTAGCTGTTGCCATCGTGTTGAAAAGCTTTTTGCGCCGCGTCCATCACGCGCCCGTACAGTTTTCGAAAGTCGTGCGGGTTTATGTTGGGACAAAGCACGACAAACTCATCGCCGCCAAAACGTCCGACTGCATCGGACTTGCCATGCAGGTTGGCCATGAGAATGTGCGAGATGTGCCGCAACAGACTGTCGCCAAATGAGTGCCCATATTTGTCGTTGACCTGTTTGAAGTGGTCGATGTCAACGAACAGAACACCGAGGCGACTGAGTGTCTGCGGTTCTGAAAATTGCCTGGTCAGAATTCCGGAAATACTGTTGCGACTCAGAGCACCCGTGAGTTGGTCATATCGCGTGAACTCCAGAAACTGTCGATCCTTCCGGATGATCTGACGTGTGATTCCGACATAGGCTCCTGCCGGGATCAACAGAACCGCGATCGTTCCGGCGATCAGGTAACCGCTGATCTGTCGAAACGAATCCTGCAGTGCTGCCTCCAGGACGCTGACATCCAAATAGACCTCGACGACACCGATGCGCTCGCCGGAGGGGAGGACGGCGGGCGTGTAGATCTCGACATACGTCCGCAAGTGCTCCGGATGGCCAAGTTTTTCCTCTGGCGAATGCAGGAAGACGATGCTGTCTCCGGAATCAAACACGCCGAGTGCTCTTTCGCTGAAGAATTGTGTTGGCGCAAGAACACCGTTGTCGGACATGAACGCCAGCATACCTTCACTGTCGAACAGCTTTATGCGGATCACGCCAGTGAGCACAAACGAATTTTCCAGCTTGGCGAAATCCTTTTCCGGAGCGACTCCGGATTCAATCATCTGTCTGACAGACGGTGTTGTTTCAAAGAAGTTTTCGGTCCACTTTTGCGACCGGATTTCAGCGTCTTTCTGGATCGCGATACGGACCTGCCAATCGATCAGCGCATCCAGAGAATAATAAACGACTGACACAAGAACGAACGTACTCAACAGTGCTGCGAGCAACGGGTTCGGTTTTATTCGCCGGAGGCTGCCAAGACCCATCATGCATTCTTTCAGTGTTTGCAGGTGGCAAACTAGGTGGCGGGAATTAAGACTAGGTAAAATAGACGATAATTGTCAGGCGTGACGCAGGTTTGAGAATTTTCGAATAAATCCAAACGATGTAGGAATATTTAGATAAAAGAATGCGGTAGCAGAGTACCGTTTTTTTAACTTATTGAATTTATTGGATTAAATTGACTGGTGGTTCAAACAAGGTTCTTGACGGCATATTTTCACCGGCGTATAAGCTGCCTCGAACGAATTCAGGTCCGTTCGCTGGCTCAATCGAAGCCGCGCGGGCCTTTTCTGTAACTGACCAAGTTGGATCAAACACATGAAGACCTTCTCTGCCAAGCCGGCTGAGGTCGAGAAAAAGTGGATCTTGATCGACGCAGAAGGCATGGTTGTCGGCCGTCTTGCCGCTTTCATCGCCAACCATCTGCGCGGCAAGCATCTGCCGACCTACACGCCACATGTCGACACAGGCGACAACATCATTGTCATCAATGCCGACAAGGTCGTACTCACCGGTCGCAAGTACGACAACAAGAAATACTACTGGCACACCGGACACCCGGGCGGCATCAAGGAGCGCACAGCGCGCGGTATCCTGGAAGGCCGTTTCCCCGAGCGTGTCCTGGAAAAGGCTGTCCAGCGCATGATGCCTGGCGGTCCCCTGTCCAACAAACAGCTGAAGAACCTCAAGGTTTACGCTGGTCCGAAACACCCGCATGAAGCTCAGTCACCTGAATTGGTCGACGTCAAGGGCCTCAACGCAAAGAATGACGGCAAGAGGGCTTAAGAATGGCTGAGCTGCAATCCCTGGAAGAACTGGGCGGCGCGGTCGAGACCGCAGCCCCCGAGGCACCTGTCCACGTCCAGAAGCTGGACGCACAGGGCCGTGCATACGCAACCGGCAAACGCAAGGACGCGATCGCTCGTGTCTGGATCAAGCCGGGTACTGGCAAGATCTCCGTCAACGGCAAGGACTTCACCGAGTATTTCGCGCGTCCTGTCCTGCAGATGATCCTGCGTCAGCCGCTGATGCTGACCGATCGTGACAGCCAGTATGACGTTGTCGCAACCGTCACCGGTGGCGGTCTCTCCGGTCAGGCCGGTGCTGTGCGCCACGGCCTTTCCAAAGCGCTGACTCATTATGAGCCGGAGCTGCGCGGCGTCCTGAAAAAGAACGGTTTTCTCACCCGTGATGCCCGCGTTGTCGAACGTAAGAAATTCGGTAAGCGCAAGGCCCGTCGGTCCTTCCAGTTCTCCAAGCGTTAATCGCCGAAGAAACTGTTTTCAGATTTCGAAGAACCCGCCGGAGCGATCCGGCGGGTTTTTTGTTCGCGCTACCTGCAATCGATTCATGTGAGACTTCTGTATCCCGGAGTTTTCGGCTAGAGCTGGTCCGGTCAAAACATCGCACGCATTCCGCCCCCAGTCATTCCAGCGCGCCCCACTCGTTCAGGTTTCATGTCCCAGGCAAGATTTATCGAAGGTAGTCTGTTTCGCCATGTGACGGTGATGTCGCTGACGTCATCAGTCGGTCTGATGGCGATCTTTGCCGTCGATTTCGTCGACATGATTTTCATATCGATGCTCGGCAAGGATGAACTGGCCGCAGCGATCGGATATGCCGGGGCGATCCTGTTCTTCACGACATCCTTCAACATTGGCGTGGCCATTGCCGCCGGCGCTCTTGTGGCACAGGCACTCGGGGCCGGGGACAAGGAAAGAGCCCGCCAGCGGGCATCGACCGCGTTGACGGTCGGATTTCTGTTTGCGGCCATCTTTGCACTGGCGGTCTGGCTGTCACTGGATGCGCTTGTCGACCTGATCGGAGCCAGGGGTGTGACCCACGGGCTGGCCGTTCACTACCTCGCCATCATCGTTCCGACCCTTCCCGTGCTTCTGCTGGGCATGGCCGGAGGAGCCATCCTGCGGGCGCACGGGGACGCAAGACGTGCGATGATGTCGACAATCATGGGTGGTCTCGTGAATGCGGTGCTTGATCCGATCCTGATCTTCGGACTTGATCTGGAGTTGACCGGGGCTGCACTGGCGAGTGCCGCGTCAAGACTGGCGATCGCAGCTTTTGCCCTAGCGCCGGTCTTCCGCTTTCACGGTGGCCTCAGCCTGCCGAGGCCATTGCAGATCTTCAAGGATTTGCCGCCGATTTCCGCGATCGCGTTTCCTGCGATCCTCACACAGTTGGCAACGCCGGTAGGCCAGGCCTGGGTGACGCGGTCGATGGCGGAATTTGGCGAAGATGCAGTTGCCGGCATGGCGGTAGTCGCCCGCATGTCACCGCTTGCCTTCGCGACGATTTTTGCGCTGTCGGGTGCCATCGGTCCGATCGTTGGACAGAATTACGGCGCAGGCCGCTTTGACAGGGTTCGCGGCTCCTTGCGCGAAGCCTTGCTGTTTACAGCGCTTGTTGTCGGACTGGCAGCACTTGTTCTCTTCCTCCTGCGGGAGCCGATTGCCCGGTTGTTCGAGGCCGAAGGCATGGCACTCACGCTGATCTATCTTTTTTGCGGTCCACTGGCCCTGGCATTCTTCTTCAATGGCGTGCTTTTTGTTTCGAATGCCTTTTTCAACAATCTTGGCCGTCCCTTCTATTCGACCTGGATAAACTGGGGTCGCCATACACTTGGCACCATCCCTTTCGTCTGGCTTGGCGGGGCCTATCTTGGCGCGCCCGGCGTTCTGATCGGGCAAGCCGCCGGTGGCGTCGTCTTCGGCGTGCTCGCCCTGCTGTTGGTGCGCAGAGTGATGAAGGATGTCGAAATCCACCACGAAGAACCCAAAGGCCCGAGCCTCTTCCAGCGTCAGGCCCGTCAGGTAACCCTGTTCTTTTCAAGAAGGTAGTCGACCCTTGTCTGCTTCTTTGCAAGCGCCTTGAGTTTTTTCAGGGTTTTGATCGCAGCCATGTCACCCATGGGCTGAGCTGCGTCCGGGTCGGTTGTTCCCAGAAAGAAACTCCAGGCGAGAAAGACAGGGTTCTTGTACCTCTTCCAGGGTGTTTTTTGAGTGTGTGTGCGCGTGGCCATTATGCGTCCGGTATCAATGTCGATCAGGAATCCCTTCACGGTAATGGAAGGACGAATAACAATTGGTACCCAATAGTCGCTTTCTCCAAACGGCCCGAAATAACCGTATCGAAGGTCGGTGATCGCGAAATGAAAAAGATGACCGCCTGACATTTCCTGATCGTTCGGCACATAGGCTGCAAGACCCAGTGCAGCAGAGAAATATTGTTTCAATTCTTCCTGGCTTGGTTGCCGGCCGGCCGTTGTTCCGACCAATTCACAAAAGGAACTGACGATGTTCCAGTCCAGATGCATCTGAACGTCTCCAAGGTAGACTTTTGGAATTTTTTGTCGGCGAAACAGCCAGTTTATGATCGACATTTCAAAATCTTTGAATGAACCACCCGAATGAACATTATTCGAGAATTGATAGAAGAAATTCGCATTCAATGCCGCGTGGCGGCCGTTGCAAAAACTTAAGCAGTTCAATCTGGGATATAAAGCTGGCCAATGTTATTTCTTCTCTTCGCACCTACAGGTTTTCGCTTGCCTCCCACTCGCAGCAACTTGCGAAATTTCGGGCACTCCATGTGCGAGGGCGCAGAGCAATCCGCTACGTGACGGATCATGTCCCTGAGGCCGGCAAGTCGCTCGATCTGCCGGTCGAGATCATCGGCCTTTTCTTCCAGTTTATCACGGGAGATTTTCGGGCGACCGTCCGGGCCGAACATTGCCTTGATCTCATCAAGTGAAAACCCTGCAGTTTTCCCAAGTGTGATCAGCGACAGCTGGTCCAGAACTTCCGGGCCGAACAGCCGTTTCAGGCCACGGCGCCCGAGGGAAGTGATGAGGCCCTTTTCCTCATAATGCCGGAGCGCGGATGCAGCGATCCCGCTCTGTTGAGAAACTTCCGAAATATCCAGTAACTTCATGCCTTGACCTCAAGCCGACTTGAATTTGTAGAGTGGCGGGACATTTTCTCAAAGGCAAGGAAATTCCCGTGTCAGACGATAGGTTATTCAAGCAACGTCCGCTCTGGATGGATGCGGTGGCGGTTGCGCTCCTGATGACTGCCACCTTCAAGATCATGGCGAATGCGACGATCAGCCCGGCGCTGCCCGCGCTGGAAGCAAGTTTTGCCGAAGTCCCTGGCGCGGACTATCTGGTCAGGTTCCTGGTGTCTGCGCCCTCGCTGACGGTCGTACTTGTTGCTCCCATCGCGGGATTGATTGCAGATCGCCATGGGCGCGGGCCGTTGCTGATTGCCGGTGTCACGCTTTTTGCAATTGCCGGAAGCGCAGGCGCTTACCTGCCGGACCTGAACTCAATTCTTGTGAGCCGGCTTTTGCTGGGTGTCGCTGTCGCAATGACGATGACCGCGCAGGTCTCGCTTGTCGGTGATCTCTTCACCGGCGAGCGCCGCAGCTCATTCCTGGGATGGCAGACTGCGACCGTCAATTTCAGTGGGTTCATTTTCATTGGGTTCGCCGGATATCTGGCAGGCCTGTCTCCGCGTCTTCCATTCCTGATCTACGCAATTCCAATACTTCTCCTGCCGTTGCTCGTGTCCATTGGTCATCGCGAAAAACATGCGGGCGAAGGGGTTGAAGGAGTGCCCGCGAGCTCCACGGAAGTCACGCCCAATCAGAGGTGGGTGATACAGGCCCTCATGGTTGCCGCACTGGCAATGACGACGGTTTCACTTTTCTTCCTGATGCCGAGCCAGTTGCCGTTCTACCTGGACCGGAGTGGTTTTGAGAGTGCATCTGCAACGGCCGTCGCACTGGGTACATTGACCCTGGTTGGAGGCTGTGTCGCGCTGATATTCAAAAGGGCTTGCAGTCGACTGGGACTGGCATTGACCTTGTCGGTTGGATATCTGGTGATGGGAGGCGGATTTGTTGCGCTCGCCGTGGAGGCCACGTGGGTCTTTATTTTGGCTGGTGCTGCATTGATCGGTGCGGGCTATGCGTTCGTCCAACCGGGGTTTCTGCTTCTCGCTCTTAAGGTGGCACCACCGGAGCGACGGGGAACTGTCTCGGGGTTCGTGACCACCGGCATGTTTCTTGGCCAGGTCATTTCGCCGATTGTCATGACACCATTCCTGCAAATTGAAGGTTTCGGCGTGGTCTTCTTCGGTATCGCGCTTGTCCTGATGTTGCTCGCCGTATTGTCGTTGTTACCGGCGTTTCTGCGTCTGGAAAAGAAATCCGGTGCAACCTGATCGGATGACATTCGAATCAGGGTTTCAGACGAACTGACTTCTGTCTGTTTCCCGCGACATAGGTTTCAACGACAGCCCGGTCGTCACCGAGCGTCTGCAGCAGAAACAATTCCTCCGACAGGGTCTCGACGGTTTCCATCCTGAGTGCCATCGGTTGTGTCGCGCCGGCGTTTAGAACCACAACGTCGGCGTCAGTACCGGCGTCTAGCGTGCCGATTCTGTCCGCCAGCGACAAGGCCCTGGCATTTCCAAGTGTTGCCCAGTAGAAACTCGTCAGCGGGTGCATGCGTTGGCGCTGAAGTTGCAGGATCTTGTAGCCTTCGTCCAAAGTGCGCAGCATCGAATAGTTGGTGCCCCCTCCGACATCCGTCGCGATCGCGGTTCTGATACCCGCGCTTTCAATGCCTGATTTGTCGAAAAGCCCGCTGCCGAGGAAGAGGTTGGATGTCGGACAGAAGACGGCGACAGCACCCGTTTCACGCATGACCTGAAGCTCATGCCCGGTCATGTGAATACAATGGCCGAGCAGGGTCTTGGGCCCAAGGAGATCAAAACTTTCGTAAACGCCCAGATAGTGGGCGGCATCCGGATAGAGTTCTCGGGTAAAAGCGATTTCGTTGTGGTTCTCGTTGATATGCGTTTGAAGATGGCAGTCCGGATTTTCTCTCAGTAGGCTTCCGGCGGCATCAAGCTGTTCAGGTGTTGACGTTATGGCAAAGCGTGGCGTGATCACATATCGCGCGCGGCCCCTTTCGTGCCACCTTGCAAGTAGTGCCTTGCTGTCATCGTAAGAACCTTGTGCCGTATCGCAAAGCGCTTCAGGCGCGTTCCGGTCCATCATCGTCTTGCCGCCGAGCATCATCATGCCGCGGCGTTCTGCCTCTTCGAAATAGGCATCGACGGAATTCGGATGGCTGGAACAATAGGCAACAGCGGTGGTTGTGCCATGTGCGATGAGTGCATCGTAAAAACCGTTTGCGATCCGGTCAGCGTGAGCCTTGTCGGCGAATTGTAACTCGGCCGGAAAGGTGTAGTCGTTCAGCCAGTCCAGCAATTGATCAGCCCACGATGCAATCACTTGAGCCTGTGGAAAGTGGATATGCGTATCTAAGAAACCGGGCAGGAGAAGATGAGGGCGATGATCAACGATTTCCGTCCCGTCCGGTGCGTCTGATTGAACTTCCGCAAATGGCCCACGCACTTTGATCTTGCCGTCCGAAAGCAGCAATGCGCCATCTTCCTCGTATGAAAAGGCGGTTATGTCTTCAGGTCCGTTCGGCGCCGCGTGGAAGGTCAGCGTTCTGCCGCGCAGGATTATGGGTTTCTGGTTTGCCACAGGCTGAGATCCTTGATCGGTCTTGTGGGGTTTGGAAACAAGTTAGACAAGTTAGACAAGTTTTAATCCTGCGGGCGGCAACGAACAATGGTTAGCTACAGACCTGTTGAAAAAGCATGTGCCAGCCTGAGTGAGAGCAGGTTCGACAAGGCCCGCCAGGGACTTCGACTGTTTCGATTGGCAGCCACAGATGCCTTCTGTTAAGACCGTGGAGGAGCAACTGCCGGCCAGAACAACGAAGGGCAGGGAACTGTTTGTTGGAATTGCCGGCCACCCGATATCAGGATGTCAGAATGTCTGCTGAATTACCCCGCCCGACTGATAATGCCTTTCTTGGTCAGTCCTTGAAGGGCGGGTCGCACGAGTCGACTTATGCAGGGGCGCTTTCTTTCATGCGACGCCGGTACAGCCGCGATCTGCAGGGTATCGACCTGGCTGTATGGGGTATTCCATTCGATGCTTCCGTTTCCAACCGGCCCGGAGCCCGGTTCGGTCCTCAGGGTGTGCGCCGTGCATCGGCGATCTTTGACGGCGACCCGCAATATCCTTTTCATATGGATCCTTTTGAAGAGCTTGCCTGCGTTGACTATGGCGACTGTGTCTTTGACTACGGTCGCAATGCGGATATTCCAGGTCATATTGAAGCGCAGGCAGCGGAAATCCTCGCGACTGACACGCATCTGTTTTCAATCGGCGGGGACCATTTTGTCACCTATCCGCTTTTGAAGGCCCACGTTGCCAAGCACGGTCCTCTGGCCCTGGTCCAGTTCGATGCGCACCAGGACACCTGGCCCGATGAGGGCGACCGGATCGACCACGGGACATTTACGGGAAGGGCAGTGAGGGAGGGGCTGATTGATCCCGCCAGGTCGATTCAGATCGGTATTCGCACGCACGCTCCCGAAACTTGTGGTCTGGACATGATATACGGTGAGGAAATGGATGAGCTCGGCATCAAGGGCGTAATCAATCGTGTCGTCGAGCGTGTCGGTTCCGGACCAGCCTACATGACCTTTGATATCGATTGTCTCGACCCGGCCTTTGCTCCCGGCACCGGTACGCCGGTGTCCGGCGGCTTGTCATCGCGAGAAGCGCTTTCCATTCTGCGTGGACTAGGCAAACTTGACTTTGTCGGCGGGGACGTGGTCGAGGTTGCGCCTGCATACGATCACGCCGATATCACCTCGATTGCAGGTGCGAGTGTTGCCTTGACCTACATAGGTCTTCTCGCAGAGAAACGGATACGCAAAGGGCAATGAAAAAGGTTGTCCGGAGTATCTAAGGCTTTGCTCTGGCATTGTCGTTGCCCGGAGTAGCCAGCCAGAACCTGTACAGAGGCGCTTTGTCCTTCATTTGCCGGAATAGCTGGATCAGCTTGTGAAAGCATACGAACTGGGTGCAATAGGCGACAGCAAGGCCTGTCGCCGCAAGAACGGGCGAGGCTGTCGCTCCACCAAGTAGTGCAATCAGCGAGCCAAGCCAGAAAACTACGTAAAGCGTTGTGATGCGTGCGCCCAGTTGGGAGGGGATAGGGACTGAAAGTCTGTTCAGCCAAATCCGTTCGCCAAGCCCGACCGATTTTGCCCAACCGCATTTGCCGTTTCGTTTGGCGGGGATACGCTGCAGCAGTATCAGGCAGACTATTGCAAGCGACGTTGCCACAATTGCTGTCATCATTCCCAGGGAGACATGCGACCACAAGGTTGCCGTAAGAAGCGCGGGTGCAATGATCTTTGTGTATGTCGATAGTGCGCCCGCTGGCATTCTCCCGCCTGAACTCAGATTGGACAAGCCGGAATTCGGACGATGAGCGCTGAACCCGGTTGGCCGGGGGCGTGAAAACTGATGACGTTGATTGGTCTGCATGGTTAACGCTGCGCTTACGAACGAGCTGCCACCTTACTCCCAGACCCCGACGCTTGGCAATCGCATGCTCATCAACTGGTAGTCAGCTGACATGGGTTTCCCTTGCACGGTCGTGTGGAGGGCGGCGATGGAGTCGGTAACTTCAACCGCGGAAACTAAAAATACAACCAGTGGTTATGTTTAGTATTCTCTACGTAAGTAGATTGTGTATTTTCAAAATTTTCTTTTCGTTTATTGTTTATTAGTTGGTGAATACATATGATGGCGTTTTTATAGGCATAAATCATAAAGGCAATTCGGCGACGGCATGGCCCAGGAGAACAGCCTCACGGCAGCGCAAGCTGGTTTGTTGACGAGCGGGAAAACTCTTGCCGAGGAACTGGAACGCATCAATCAACTCGATCATCTGAGCAAGGATGATCAATTGCACTTGAGCGGCGATTGGGTGCAGACGCTCGTAAATCATGTCTCGGACTATGTTTATGTGAAGGATCGGCGCCACCGGTTTGTCGCGGCCAACCATCAGGTTGCCTTTGACCTTGGATTTCACGAACCTACGCAAGTCATCGGCAAGACCGACATTGAGCTCCACCTGCCGGATACCGGAAGCAAGTTCGCCGCTGCCGAGGTGGCGATCATGGTCTCGAAAGAGGCGAGCATTGACTATGAAGAAAAGCTGATCCTTGCAAACGGCAAACGTCGCTGGCTGTCTTCCTCGAAGTTTCCGGTCTTGAACGATCAGAATGAGGTTGTTGGTATCGTCGGTATCTCTCGTGACATCACAGAGCGCAAGAAGTCCGATTTGCTGCAGCAGGGACAAAATAAGGTTTTGCAGGAAATTGCGAATGCAAAGCCTCTTCAGGATGTACTCGAAACGCTTGTTCTGACAATCGAAAGCCAGATGGATGGGGTTGTCGGGTCGGTCATGCTGGTCACCGAAAACGGCAAAAACCTTCAGGCCGCTGTGGCTCCAAACCTGCCCAGTGAGTATGTGGACCTGTGTGACGGCCTTCCGGTCGGACCAAAGGTCGGGTCCTGCGGCACGGCTGTTTACAGACGAGAGAGCGTTTTTGTTGAAAACATTCACGAAGACGAATTGTGGGAAGATTTTCGGGAGGCCGTTAGTTGGTTTGAAATGCGGTCTTGCTGGTCTGTGCCGTTTTTTGGAAAAGACACTCAGGTCCTGGGTACCTTCGGACTGTATTCCAACGAGGTCCGGAGCCCGACGGAACATGAAAAAAAGCTTGCCGTGGAAGCCGCGCGTTTGGCGTCGATTGCAGTTGAAAGAGAGCGGGCGGAAAAGGAAATACGGTTTCTCGCAAGCCACGACGTGCTGACGGGTCTGCCCAACAGGCATGACTTCAAGGCGAAGCTCGCGGAAAAAATCGAGTGCAGCAGAAAAACCGGTGATCCGGTGGCCGTACTTTTCGTCGATCTCGACAACTTCAAATTTGTCAATGACAGCTTTGGTCACGCAATCGGCGACCGGGTATTGACGATCGTCGCTGAACGGATCCTTTCGGTCCACGACCGAAGGCACCAGTCTATCCGTTTTGGTGGTGACGAGTTCGTGTTGATTGTCGAGGGCAAGGACGCCGACAAGCCCGCGCTCATTGACTTGATGGCACGGTTGAAGAACGAGATCACCAAAACAATCAGAATCGGCGATCTTTCCTTCCATGTCACTTGCAGCATTGGTGCGGCTTGTCATCCGCTCGACGCGGAAAATGCCGAGCAACTCCTCAAGAACGCCGACAAGGCGATGTTCGAGGCCAAGTCACAGGGACGGGACGGTTACAAGGTCTTTGAAAATACAAGACCGGGAACGTCGGTTAATCGACTGACACTGCTGGAAGACATGCGCAGTGGCATCGCGAAGGGGGAATTCCACCTTAAGTATCAACCACAATACGATCTCTTTACCGGCAGGATTGTCGGAGCTGAAGCACTTGCACGCTGGCAACATCCGGTTCTTGGTGAATTGATGCCGGAGCAGTTCATACCGCTGGCGGAAGACAGTGGCCTGATCGTTCCACTCGGGCGCTGGGTGCTGTTTGAAGCCTGCCGCCAGAACAGGGAATGGCAGAGGGAAGGGTTGGTTCCGATTACCATTGGCGTAAATGTCTCCGCCCGTCAGTTTCGTGATGTGGGCTTGATTACGGATGTTCGTGAAACACTTGGAAGGACCGGTCTGGCTGCCAACTATCTGGAGTTGGAAGTCACGGAAAGCCTGCTTATGCAGAATGCCGACCAGGCGGTTCGGCTTATGGACGATTTTCGAAAGATCGGTTTGAAACTTGCAATTGACGATTTCGGCACCGGATTTTCAAGTCTGATTGCGCTGAAAAGCTTTCCATTGACCCGCCTGAAGATCGACCAGAGCTTCATCCGGGACCTGGAGACTGACGAAAACGACCGCAGCATCGCTCGTGCCATCATTTCATTGGGACGGGAACTCGGTTTGAACGTTGTTGCGGAGGGGGTTGAGACTGCAAAGCAACAGGCATTCCTGGCCAGTTGCAAATGCGAGACTGTACAGGGCTTTCATTTCGGAAAGCCGATGTCCGCAGACAAGCTCGGGAAGCTACTGGGCATGTCCCTTGCACCGATCAGCGCGCAGTTTGGCTAGCGGAAGAACCGCGATTTCTTTCAGGCTGGTCAAAAACCCTGGCCGTAAAGAGCGACAAATCTCGAGAGTATTTTGGCCTTGGTTTCGCGATCAAAACCGTCATCGGCGAATATCTGTTTGATTGCGCGACCCGCATCACTTTCCTCATCGAAAATGTAGGGAACATGTCCGCCGCACATGGCTGTCATTAGAACATTGGTCGTGTTTCCGCTGCCTGCCGGATGTTCAAAGTCAAGTAACCAAACGACATACACGTATCTCACATTGCGTCGTAGTGCTTCGCGTTTTTCTCTGCCGTGGTAGTGCAGAACAATGCTCTCCGGCAAAGGTGAGTGACTGTGGAATATCTCCTTGATGTCAACGTGCAGCCTGTGTTCGATAGAACTGTTTTCGCCGTCTTGATTACTGGACTCAGCAATGATTTCACCGATAAATACCCCGCCAGAACTCAAGGCGTCGGCGAGATTGACCGCCCGGTAGTTCTGGCAAGCCAATGCTGACTGGCTCATCATAACCAGCATCGCGAAAACAAAGTCCCTGTTTCGCGCACAAATCGACAAAACACTTTCAGCACAATAATTTGCCTCGCATCAAAACACCCATTGATGCAATTCAGATTAAAACCTGAAATAGGCTGTTTTTGTGACTACACTTTCTTCATGACGTAAGAGCCGGGCGCGTCTTCCAGTATTTTCACGCGGTTCGCACCGGGTTTTCGCGCTTTGGCCGTGGTCGGGTCGACCGAGCGGATCCATTCGTCCCAATAGGGCCACCACGACCCGGGGTGCTCTTCCGCATTCTTGAGCCAGTTTTCGAGCAAGCCCTTGGGGTCTCCGCCGGTCCAGTACTGGTACTTGTTTTTGGCTGGAGGATTGACGACGCCGGCGATATGGCCGGAACCTGCAAGTACATAATTCACCGGCCCACCGAAACAGCCCGACCCGAGAAAGACCGATTTTGGCGGCGCGATATGATCCTCGCGCGTGGCCAGGTTGAAGATCGGTATCGTCACTTTGGAGAGGTCGAGCGTTTCGCCGGCGACTTCCATCTCTCCCTTGGACAGTTTGTTGTCCAGATAACAATTGCGCAGATAAAAGGAATGGTTTGCAGCGGGCATGCGCGTGGAATCCGAATTCCAGTAAAGTAGATCGAAGGGAAAGGGTTCCTTTCCCTTAAGATAGTTATTGACAACATACGACCAGATCAGATCGTTTGAGCGCAGCATGTTGAATGCAGACGACATTTTCGATCCGTCCAGATAGCCATGTTCCGCCATCCGCTTTTCCAGCATCGAAATCTGCTCTTCATCCACGAAAACCTTCAGATCGCCTGCAAAGGTGAAGTCGACCTGAGTTGTAAAGAAGGTTGCTGTCTTGATGCGCTCGTCACCGGTTTTTGCCATATAGGCCAGAGTGACCGCAAGCAGTGTGCCGCCGACACAATATCCGATCGTATTGACTTCTTCCTGCCGGGTGGCGCGTTTAATGACATCGAGCGTGTCGAGTATGCCTTCCTTCATATAGTGCTCGAAACTTTTCTGGGCCTGACCTTCATCAGGATTGACCCAGGAAATGACGAACACAGTATGTCCTTGATCGACAGCCCACTTGATGAATGATTTGTCGGGATTGAGGTCAAGGATATAGAACTTGTTGATCCAGGGCGGCACGATGAGGAGAGGGCGTTTCAGAACCTCTGTTGTCGTCGGCGTATATTGAATAACCTGGCAAACGTCGTTTTGCGCGATCACCTTGCCCGGTGTATTTCCGAGATTGTCGCCGAGCTTGAATTTCGACGGGTCCGTTTGCCGGATCTTGAGTTCGCCCTGTCCCGACTTCAGATCTTCGACAAGATGTTGCATTCCCTTGACCAGGTTTTCCCCGTTGCTTTCCATCGTGAGTCTCAGCAACTCGGGATTTGTCAGAACGAAATTCGACGGTGAGATCGCGTTGGCGATCTGGGTGACGTAGAATTCGGCCTTGTGGCGCGTGTGTTCATCCAGTCCCTGAGCTTCGTGGACCATGTCCTCGGCCCACTTGCTGGTGATCAGATAAAGCTGTTTCACGAAGTCGAAGAATTGATTGTTCTCCCAGTCCGGGTCTGCGAAACGTTTGTCCCTTGGCGGTGTTGCAACGGCAGGCTCGGAGGGTTCACCCATCATCCGCTTGAGCGACGAATTCCACAGTTCGATGTATCCGCCCCAGAGCCGGGATTGTGCCTCGATGGCTCTCTGGGGGTCTGAAACCCAGTATTCGCTTACCTGAGCAAGCGTCTTCACGACACCTGTCAGTTCATCTGTCGAATCGGTTTTGATTTTCCCCTGTTCACGCGGCTCGATATATGCCGCCATTGCCTTGCCGGCCTGTTCAAGTGTTTTTGCCAGGTTTTGGGCAAACGCTTCCGGGTTGTTGATGATGTACTGCAACATCGGATGCGGTCGATCGTCAGACATGGACGGGAGTCCCTCCGGTAATTTTTTGCCCGCCGGCCAGGGGAAGGTCAGAGAGCCGTGGCGACCCAAGTAACGTTATCTCGTTAATTCTTCGCCGGTATTTTCATCATGAACTTATTTATGACACATGGAATTGGTGCCGTCGATTGGTATTGAGGCGTATGGATCGCACTCTGGCTGGAAGCGATTCATGACATGGGGATGGACACTGAGATCTGATCTGGTGGCGTGTGTGGTCTCAAAATGCTGGATAACCGGCCACGACAGAAGCATGATCGCACGTGATCTGATAGCATTTTGCATAAGAAGCAGAGGTCGCGCACCGCGCCTCGATACAGAGAGTTCGGCAGTCAACATGTTCAGGGGAAGCAAGGTCCCGGTTTTCATTGTGTTGTCCCTCGCACTGTCTGCATGCAGTGTCGGGCCTGGCACACCACTAATCGTTGCCCTGAAGGCAGACAAGAGCCAGTTGAACGGAAACGTTCCCAAGCCGAAGGGTTATGGCCCTCCGGTGAATGCGGGTGTGTCCAGCGGTCTCATCAATCCGGAGGACCGGGAAGAGACCGCAACCTATCTGGAGTCTCTCACAACGCCGCAGTGAAGCCGGATCGGCAGACATTGAAACTCCCGGCAAGTGCAATGTGACGGCGTTCGTCGTCTCGCCCGTTTTGTGGCTCTCAGCTAAGTCTTCCTTTCACAGCGCCAACTCTTGGATCGGGCGAGATCAAACCGGCAAGGGCATGCATCCGCCAATCTCGGCAATGCGTGCCGCCAGAGCAGTGCCCAGGTTGCCACTTGGTATCTCGCAAGACGCGAAAAATCCGGTGAGCTGCGCAGCGGCAAGAGACCTTTTCCATTGAAGAGGAAAGCTGCTTGGCCGTTCTCAGTCAGCAATCGGATCATGAACTTTGGCAGTTTTGGCACTCTGCAGTCAGTCTAATCGTTTTAGGTCAGGCGGATTGAAAAGGCACCGGAATTCCATTTTAACAAACACTCCAAAATTAGGTGTCTAGTTTCGCAAAGACAGATGCGCAATCGGTTCGAGGCTGCTAAAAGAGCCCCGCCAAGCGCACTGTCATTTGTGCTGGTGCCGCAGCTTCGTCAACTCGCAAGGATCCGCGTCATGGAGGAATTCCATAAGATCAAACGGCTTCCGCCGTATGTCTTCGAGCAAGTCAATCGTTTGAAGGCCAAGGCGCGCGCGGCAGGGGCGGACATCATTGATCTGGGAATGGGCAATCCTGATCTGCCCACACCGAAACACATCGTCGACAAGCTGACCGAAGTTGTTCAGGACCCCAGGACACACCGGTATTCAGCTTCAAAGGGCATTCAGGGACTGCGCAAGGCGCAGGCCGCCTACTACGGCCGCCGTTTCGGTGTAAAGCTTGATCCGGACACGCAGGTCATTGCGACGCTCGGGTCCAAGGAAGGTTTTGCAAACATGGCTCAGGCGATTTCGGCGCCGGGAGACGTGATCCTGAGCCCGAACCCGAGCTACCCGATCCACACTTTCGGTTTTTTGATGGCTGGCGCGTCCATCCGCAACGTTCCAGCCGAACCCGGACCGGCATTCTTCGATGCGCTTGAGCGGGCGGTCATACACTCTGTGCCCAAGCCGATCGCAATCATACTGTGTTACCCGGCAAACCCGACGGCCTATTGTGCCGATCTCGAGTTTTACAGGGACGTGGTCGCGTTCGCGCGCAAGCACAACATCTTCATTCTCTCCGATCTTGCCTATTCAGAGGTCTATTTCGGACAGACGCCGCCTCCCTCCGTGCTTCAGGTGCCCGGCGCCATGGATGTAACGGTCGAGTTCACGTCGCTCTCGAAAACCTTTTCCATGCCCGGTTGGCGAATGGGGTTTGCTGTGGGAAATGAACGGCTTGTTTCCGCACTGGCACGTGTGAAGTCGTATCTCGATTATGGAGCATTCACCCCCATTCAGGTTGCGGCAACCGCAGCATTGAACGGGCCGGAAGACTGCATTGTCGAAACCCGTGATGTCTACAGAAAACGCCGTGATGTTGTTGTCGACAGTTTCAGCCGCGCCGGATGGGATGTTCCTGCTCCTGAGGCAAGCATGTTCTGCTGGGCTCCGATACCGGAAAAGTTCCGGTCTCTGGGGAGCCTTGAATATTCCAAATTGCTGCTCGAGCGTGCCGACGTTGCAGTCGCACCGGGCATAGGATTTGGCGAACATGGCGATGACTATGTGCGTATCGGACTGGTGGAAAACGAACAGCGCCTCAGGCAGGCAGCCAGAAATATTCGCCGTTTCCTTGAAACTGCGGATCAAAAGCTGCACAACGTCATCCCGCTCGAGACATCAGGCTGAATAGAACTGGACAAAATTCTCAATGGCTGAAGCATTGAAAGTTGGCGTAGCTGGCCTTGGCACGGTAGGCACGTCCGTCGTGCAACTCCTGGAAAAACACGGAACGCAAATTGCGCGTAAGACCGGTCGCGCTGTGACAGTAACAGCTGTCAGCGCACGTAGCCGAACCAAGGACCGTGGGATCGATGTCTCGATTTTTGACTGGTT